TTAGGTGAAACTTTAGATATAGGTTTTTATTTATATAAATAATATAAAAATACTAAGTGCACTAGTATTTTTTATTATATATATAAAAAAATCTTATAGTAAAGTTATTCTAAGAATTCAGCTTAACCTAGCTCTTAAAATAAGATTTAAAAACAAATTATGTAAAATTAAGTTATAATTAAGCTATATATATTTTTAAAATATTTATTTTCTTTTTTCTAGCTTGTTTTCTTAATACTTAAAGTTGGCTGTGGTTTTGGAAATTTCGTGTGCACAGGCCACTTAGCACTGCGCACAGACCATTACTGTTCAAATAGGAAAAAACTACTGTTCAAATAGGAGGACTCAAAAAAAAAAACCGAGTTTTAACGTATGAGGAAACTTGAAAGCAATATGTTACGTCTTCAAATTGTAATAGTTTCATATTGTTGTTGTAATATGGCTGGACCTGGGAGATGAACGGCTTTCAACTTCGGCATACATACGCCGTCTTAACATACATCATGACCAAAACCTAAGATAATAGACCGGGTGGCGTTTCCCTCATCCGTCCCAGGTACAAAGAACTGAGACATACTCTCTCATCAGTAACAACGAGACAGACGATAAGGTGTTTCCTCTTCTGTATACCCCGCGTTGGGGTAGAAATTCTAACCGTGATAGGGATGATTAGCTGCGGGCACAAGCGTACTCCACACCCTTTATCGCTTGAGCAATCTCTCGCACTATTAGGGACCCCTGGACGATATATCTATAACTCATATTCGTTTTCATTGAGGTCTGTCTTATCACTTGTGATGTTAAGTCATTCTAATTTCGTTACCTGTGTCTTCATCCATCGCTGGCAACATGGGTTCCGTTGACTCAACCTCGCTGCGCAACATTCACAAGGTCCTGGTGGCCAACAGAGGCGAGATTGCCGTCCGTTGCATCAAAGCCTGCCGCGAATTGGGAGTTCGTAGTGTTGCCATCATAACAAATGCCGATGCAACTTCATTACACGCGACGTTAGCAGACGAGGTTGTCTTGCTACCAGGCGAAGACAGTACCGCCTATACGAATGGGTAAGCATTGCGCTTTCCGAAATAAGTTTATGTACTTTGCTAACTTGTCTTATAAGCGATGCGATTCTCAAGATTTGCAAAGAGACAAATGCAGATGCCATCATCCCTGGATACGGCTTCTTAAGTGAAAATGTCGAATTCGCAACTGCCGTTTCTTCTGCCGGTATTACTTTTGTCGGGCCTTCCTCTGCATCCATTAATGCGATGGGACTCAAGCATGAAGCCAGAGCCATCGCCCAAGCCGCAAATGTGCCGGTAATTCCAGGAACACAACTCTTGGAATCCGCCACAGCAGCTGTAGAGGCTTCGAAGCGTCTAGGCTGTCCCATAATGCTCAAAGCGACAGGCGGAGGGGGCGGAATGGGACTGCAGATCTGTCATAGTGAACAAGAGGTTGAGAAAGCATTCGCCATGGTTGAGAGCCGGGCCGGCGCCCTCTTCAAGAACAGTGGAGTCTTCTTGGAGAAGTACTATCCGAGTTCACGCCATGTTGAAGTCCAAGTCGCCGGCAATGGAGAAATTGTGGTCGCCTTTGGAGAGCGTGAATGCTCGCTCCAGCGGCGGCATCAGAAAGTAGTCGAGGAGTGTCCCAGTCCCTTTGTGGAGCGTCATCCTGGCCTACGCGAAAAGATGCTTCAAGCCGCTGTCAACTATGCATCACAGCTAAAGTACAAAAGCGTGGGCACGGTCGAGTTTCTCGTGGATGATGAGACTGCCGACTTCTTCTTCCTTGAAATGAACACCCGATTGCAGGTTGAGCATGGGATCACTGAGTTGTGCTATGGAGTTGATCTGGTACATCTCATGCTGCAACAAGCCGACTACGAACGTGGTGGCTCTATCGGGATCCCATCTGATATCCTGAAAAGCCTTGGACGACCCCAGCCAGTCGGATCAGCGATCGAGGTACGGGTGTATGCTGAAGTGCCGCTGCGTGACTTTGCCCCCAGCCCTGGCGTCTTACAACACGTTCACTGGCCAGAGGGCGAGGGCGTGAGAGTCGACACATGGGTCCGAAATGGACAGAGAATCACACCCTTCTATGATCCATTAATTGGAAAGGTCATGGCCTATAGCCCTGATGGTCGTGCCGCCGCCCAAAAGAAGATGCTTGCCGTACTTGTTGATACGGCTCTTCAAGGAACACAATCTAATTTGGAGTATCTATCAAAGATTCTTGAGTCGGAGATGTTTACGAGCGGCAAAACATTGACCAATTCGCTATCAACATTCAAGTTTGATAGCTGTTCCCTACAAGTACTTGACCCCGGTGTTTTCACGACGATTCAGGACTACCCGGGCCGTATTGAAGTTGGTCATGGGATACCGCCCTCTGGACCGATAGACGATCTGAGTGCTCGAGTGGCAAATATTCTAGTCGGTAATGACTCTGGAGTCGAGTTGTTGGAACTCACTCTGTCTGGCCCAAAGTTGTTATTCCACGAAGCAGCCGTTGTGGCAGTCTGTGGTGCAGAGTTGTCAGTTACTCTCGACGACGCATCTCAGCCTATGTGGTCAAGGATTGTCATCAAGAAAGGTCAGACACTCGGACTCGGAAAGGTGGCTGGCAATGGTCTCCGAACATATCTTGCCGTAAAAGGCGGTTTCCCCCAGGTCCCCAAGTTTCTTGGCTCCAAATCCACAGCCCCGGAGCTCGGCTTTGGTGGTGTACAAGGACGAAAGCTTCAGCTTCACGACATTCTCACTCTATCTCCACAATCAGGATACTGGGCCGCAGAAGCCACATCTTTGTCTTTACCGCCGAATTTTATCCCTAACTTTACTACCAGTGTGACCGTTTGTTGCATTGACGGTCCGTACGGATCTGAAGACATTCTGACTCCCGAGGGACGTACGACACTGTACGGGACTGATTGGACAGTCAGTCACAACAGCAGCCGAAGCGGCATCCGTTTAGAAGGTCCGCGGTTGAAGTGGGCTCGAGCCTCGGGTGGTGGTGGCGGATCACATCCATCCAATGTGCTCGACTATGGCTATCCCAATGGTGGCGTCAATTTCACAGGAGAATTCCCTATCATCTTTGGGCCCGATCGTCCAGATTTGGGCGGTTTCGTATGCCCAACAACTGTCTGCTCCGGCGAGATGTGGAAGATTGGCCAATTAAAGCCTGGCAACACTGTACGATTCCGTTCTGTTGCTTATGACACTGCTATAGAGATTTCGAGGAGAAAAGACGACTTTCTCCAAACCCTTGTTGCATTTTCTCAGGGAAACACCAGCCCGATATCTCCCCTCGTTGTTGAGTTCACTGATGAACCCCCATCTTCCATTTTACACCAGAAGCAGTCCCAGGGGAGCCATCCACGGGTAACATACCGCCAAGGAGGCGACACAAGCATCATCGTCGAATATGGCGATCAGGTGTCAGATCTGCGCAACACCGCTTGCGTACAGTTCCTCGCCAAACAGATATCAGCAGTAAATCTGCCGAGTGTGCGCGGCGATCCCAACTTCTCCTCTCTCACTGTGCGCTTCGACCCGTTCCAGGTCGACCGTTCCAAACTCCTTCAGCAGCTCATTCAATTTGATGACGAAATTGGGCAGACTACCGGCGTCAAGATACCTGCTCGCCAAGTACGGCTTCCAGTTTGCCTCGACCACTCTTCATTGAAAGAGTCTGCGCAACGATACATGGAGAATATCAGACCTACGGCTGCTTACATGCCGGACAATGTTGAATATCTTCGCAAAAACAATGCACTCGAGACTCGCCAGCAAGTCTTTGATGCGCTTCTCAAGACACCCTGGCTGGCCGTAGCCGTTGGTTTCTACGTTGGAACACCCATCTTGTTTCCGCTTGATCCCTGGCACGTATTAACCGGTCAAAAATACAACCCGAGCCGAGTATATACACCAAGCGGCTCAGTTGGCCTAGGTGGTTCATTGGTGGCCATCTATCCCGTTGCGGCACCCGGAGGATACCAGCTTATGGGCCGCACGTTGGGTGGATGGGACGGAACCGGAACTCGCACCGGTTTCTCTGCTGAGCGGCCCTGGCTGTTCAATCATCTTGATTTAATAAAGTTTTACGAGGTCTCTGAGGAGGAGTACAACAAAATTGAGCGAGATTTCGAGACGGGTCGATATGTGTTTGACATTACGCAAACGACGTTAGATATGGATGAGTACATTGCCAAATTCGAAGCCGCTGCCAAGGATCCCGCATATCAGGCCTGGAGGAAGCGTCAAGTTGACGCCGCTCAAGAGGTGGGAGAGCATGAGCAGCGTCTGTTCGACGAGTGGACGGCAGATAAGAATGCACGAAATAATGCCATAACTACTGAAGATGACGACGCTGTTTCTGGCAATGTCGTTTCTATCGAGTCGCCTATTAATGCCAATGTTTGGAAGGTGTTGGTCAAGCCGGGCGATGTGCTAGAAAAGGGCCAAACGGTGGCGGTGCTCGAGGCAATGAAGATGGAGATTAATATAATTGTCGATGAGGGCCAGGCTGGCGCTGTAGTTACAAAGATTAGCCAACCGCCGGGAAGTGTAGTTAGTCCTGGGATGGTAGTTGTGGAGGGTCGGAGGGAAGACTAAAAAACTGAGGTGAATAGCAATAGGAAGACTAATAATTGAGTCATGCAAAGTCATGTATTAGACATGATCAAGAGCAATCCCATTTACCTGTTCAATAATCATCAATTCAACACAGTGCATATGAACCAAGTCCAGCAGTTATTATACTCCTCCTTCCTATCTCTAGTGTAACCTTAACACGTCGTGCCTCTTCAACTCGATACTGTACAGTATCAGCCTAAGGCACATAGTGGGCTGTTGAGGAACAGCTAATTCCAATCACGTGCTGTCTCTTCGACCGGGCCGGGTCTATCGACTCTCTATCCATTCTTGACCGGGCCGGATCTATCGATTCTGTGTCCATTCTTATCTCCAACAGTCGCGTTGAATCTACCACTTGATTGGTTCTTTATCAAACAAGCTATGACTACCTCTTCCTCCGAACCTCATCCGCTCTCATCACCCTCATCTTACACCATCATCCTTAGTCTTCGTAACATTGTGGCTGCATCTGGCATCGTATCCACTCCGAGATCCTGTTCGGCTTGCCCCACAGTTGCATCATGAGAGGTCGCCCTCGATTCCGTGTGGCTCCCTGCAAGTACTGTAACAAGGAGTTCAAGCGACAGGAGCATCTAGAACGTCACATTCGCACGCGTATGTATTAATGAGTATCAATGGATACGCTATTTACTTGGTGTTGATGCTAAGTCTTGTCTAGACACCCGGGAGAGGCCGTTTGGTTGTGTCTGTGGCCGCACATTCTCAAGACCGTGAGTCATTGCACCCCCATTATACAACCAACTCGGCATGCACCGACAATTAAGGTGCTTACTATGTATCATCAGAGATCTTCTAAACCGTCATCGTCGACTGTCTCAATGCTCAAACCCAGCTACAAGTATACCTCCAGACACAGCTTCTAGTGGTCAAGAAGCCGTCTCCCCCTCTAAGATTATCTATCAGACATCTCCAACAGGGGATACTATAATCTCCCCCTCAGACAGTAGCCATGGAAGAACACCCCTCAATCCCGACTTTACAACCCAGACATCTGTGACCCGAAATGTCATTACAGGACCAACCACCGCAATGAATAGCAGCGCGCCGGTAGAGTACTCTCAAAAGCAGCTCATGGGGAAGTTCTCAATACGCGACCTAGACACGAGTAGCCAGGAGCAGCAGCCAAGCTACTCTCCTCGTGATAGCGGTGTTGCGGCTCGCAGCGACATTAACATGGACAACACCATCGAAACTGGATCTGACTTTACACAGCTTCAGCTATTCGATATCGATTTTCTTGCAAATGAAACAGACATGATAAGTGGATATCTCATGGATATCTTTCCGCCAATGGACTACCAGCAGCCAATGATTGAGGACGTTTCCGACACCTATAGCGGTTCTCAACCACTTTCCGCAGGTTTAGGGTCCAATAACCTTGAGATATCGACTCTTATGCAAAATGAGATGCCACCGTCACAGAGCAGGACTTCTGTGGTCCAATTGGTACCAAGTCAGACAAACCAGGCACAGGATTCACTTGGTCGTTCACTCGACGCGATTGAAGACGTCGTAGCAACGAATCCATGGACTGTATCGGCAGCGGCGTACGAAAAACTTACTGCCGAAGTTGAAAAGCACATCAACGTGTTGCCAGAGCCGTTCACCCTCCCCAGCCGGCAAACATTATCGAGATATGTTGCGAGCTGGATGCGGGGCTTTCATCCTCATTTGCCTTTCATTCATATACCAACAACTTGCTTGGAGGACAAGACGCCAATGCTTGTGTTGACTCTTGCGGCGACTGGGTCGTTCTATGGGTTTGAACACACGCACGGCTACGCCATGTACTTTATTGCAAAGTCTATCATTACCCATGAGCTCGAAAAGCGTCGCCGGGCCTCTACTTTACACCTGCTTCGAACTTTTCCACGATACGCCGGGCTGCCCACCGGTTCCCCAGATGCAACCGCACAGACATGGGCAACGCCACCATCCGCAACATCTGGCTCTGTCGATATTGAACTTTTACAGTCTCTTTTAGTGCTTGTGCTCACAATGGCTTGGCTTGATGGGCCACTTGCACAGGATGCACTCGCTATGAGCAGCCAACTTACAGAGCTAACTCGCGAAGCGCTCAAATATCCCGTTCCAGAAATTGAAGCAGATAACTGGAGTGCTTGGGCTCATGAAGAAGAGAGGCGACGCACTCTGTTCTCGGCCTACTTTGTGATCAATATACTCACTATTTGCTTCAATGTACCACCTCAAATCACCAGCTCAGAGGTCAGCATTCCACTTCCATCTTCGGAAGCAGAGTTCAAGGCTGCCACTTCGAACGCATGGCTTAGCTTGCGGCAAAAGAGCAATGCCCGTCAGCCGGATTTTCAACTCTGTCTGCTGCAGTTGCTGTCTGGGAAGCCGCTTGCAAAAGAAGATTCTGCTACGGAATTCGGAAATTACATGCTTGTTCAAAGCCTGCTGATACAGGTATTTTTCGAACGTCAAGTAGCGTCCTCAGTGTTGAGTTCATCAACGAGCCTGTCACTGGACACCATTTCACTTTATGAGAACGCCTATAGTGCCTGGCAATCGTGCTGGGATTCAGCTATCGAATCTGCTCTGGATCCTAACTCTCCTCATGGCCCCCTGGCCTTCAATTCGACTGCCATGCTTCGCTTGGCTCACGTCCATCTCGCAGTTGGCCTCCAGAGCCACTGCGCTCTCCGCTCACGCGATCCGAGGATTGTTGCTCAGGCATTCGAACCTCACCAAAACCCCATTCCACTCCGCGCACCTCATCTAGACCAGGCAGTTTTTCATGCCATTTGCGCGTTAAGAATACCGGTGAGGGTTGGGATAGCGTTTGTCGCGCGGGGTCGAACAGGGCATTGGAGTGTTCAGCACGCCATCAGCAACTTTGCATGTGCGCTCCTGCTCACTCACTGGCTTGGAAACCTTTTTCATCTGGTTTCTTCTGATGGTATGGAAATCCTACGATATGAGGAGAAGCGATTACTTTCTATTGTCGAACGGCTGATTGAGGAGACTCATCTGGAGGGCTCCCTAGGCTCAAAAAATGACTACCCTCGCCGGATCCGACGTCTGGCTATTGCTGCAGTAAGACTCTGGGCAGAGACATGCAGAGGAATACAGGTATTTGAGATTGTTCATGTGGTGGGGGAGACATTGTCTCTTGTTGCGGAGTCATTGGAAAGTCGCTTCCTTTGACGTCTTGAATCATTCAGCAAGCTGAGTTTGTTGCGTATCGATACTGCCACAATGGTCTGGCTTCAATGCTAATCTCATTTTACTATAACAAGTAAATATGCTCAAGTCTACTCATAGAGGGGAACAATTTGCTTCCCCTCATACCCAACTGTTTCCATCCATTCCTTCAAACTCCTTGGTCGTGTAGGATAAACTTCATCCGCCCAAGCCATATCTTCTATCTTCTTTTCTTTCTGCTCTTTCCAAATATTCCACCAGGCCGAAAAAGATTTGCGAAACGTAAACGAAGTGGGATCAGTGGGATCCGCTCTTCTGGGCAATCTCCCCTCTGGATCTACATGGCTAGAAATAGCTTCCATCCATGCGGATGTCGTAATGCTCTTAAATTGAGCCTTTTTGCCTGTGACTTGCTGAAGTGCTGTAGCGATCTCTGGAAAAGTGACAAAAAAGGGTCCTGCGGACAACATTTTTCCAATACTCTCCTCTGGGTGTGCCAAAGCCCACTGGAGGCGATAACCGTACATTTCAAGAGGTAGAAGTGGCATGACGCTGTCATCATCCATGGGATTTTGAAAGACGAATCCATCCTCGTTCTCAGTCGGTCTTAGAAGGATCCCAAGCATTTCAGCGTAAACTCCGCCTGTCAGGATAGTCCAAGGGAGTCGGTCAAGAGGCTGATTCATTAACCAGCCAGTTAACCTACTAGACACGATATTGTGACTGTTCCTGTATTTTTCATCCATGTCCAAGTTGCCGTATCTATCTCCAGCACCAGCGAAGATGAACCATTTCAGCTTACTTTGGACAGCGATCTCGTAGGCACGAAACGTCCAGAAGTACTCAAATGGCTCACCAACGTTGAAACTGTCTATACTGAAGTATACAACGTCTTGGTTGGCAAAAGCGTTGCGTAGGCCTTCCTCTGTTGTGTACGAGCCTTCAACGAATTCGACGTCCGGAAAGGAGGATGCCAGGGCCGCGGCTTGGGTTGAGTCTTTGTTTCTAGTGAGAACAGACACACGATATCGCTTGGTCCGTTCCAATGCTACCATGGAAAATTAGTATGCATTTTACTCATTGGATGACTGACTTATACCTTGAACAATCGATCGCCCTTGGGCTCCAGTGCCACCGAACACCAAAACTCTTGCATTATCAAAAGACATATCGCCGACCATGATAGATGTTTTGTAGTATTTACTATGACGAGCTTGCTGTTGTGAACAATTTTGGTCACATCTCATAGCAGAGGCTGATAACTTTATATCGATGAGGCCAGTTTATGGATTAGTGATCAAGTAGTGTATATCATCGAACCGACAGTAGAACAAGGAGCCAAAGCCATACATCCTGCGGAAAGATTATTAATCAAAAAACGAGTCTGAGGGATCCTTTGCTGGAAGTACAATCAATATTTCCAACAAAGGGGTCATGTCTGGCAAGTATGAGAGCATGGTCAGGGATGGCGGCATTAGCTTGACGATGATGCTATCGAATTGGGCATTTGATGTTGGTTGTAATCAAGTTTCTCGTCAAGTTGCCTCGGCTTTCACAAGGATATTACGTTTGTATCTCCTTGTAAGTGAATAATGCTACCATAACGCTACGAACTAAAAGTGTAGACAATGAAAGCATGTTTCCTCCTGACACTAAAGCTACCCACACAATACAGCACATTAAGCCTCTTTCGTCCTGCTTTGGAGACACTGGGCATTACAAATCCAAGGCACTGTATTATGAAACTGCTATATAATCAATCTATTCATATATCTAAGTGATTGCCCTGTTATATCCTGATGCTGGTGAGAGGCTCTGCGCTTTTGCTCGAATATATCGAGCTCTCTCTACTATGCCCCCACTACTGGGATGAACTCGTCAAAGAATATAGCTCCCTTGGGCTTTCGATAAGAGTTTTAAAGAGCACTATGAGCAACATGAACATTAAATAATGGGACAAACGATTCATATGGACTAAGAATTCCAGAAGATTGGGACCATCAGCCCAATGGGAACTCCATTGCTGGAGACCACAGAAACCCTGACACCGGGTTAAAATACTAGGGGGACTTTAACGATTCCCGTCTGTTGGCCGCCCCTCCCTCCTTAAATTCTTGGAAAGCTTGTATATTAATCTAGTGTTGTTTGTCATGCGATCTTCAAATGTGCTTCAAGATAAGCTCAACCTCGGTTTCCGCAGTCTCTAGGATATGTTCCGGCGCAAACTTCGGTACCCATCCTAGAGCTTCTGTGCCATGCTTCGGTGTAAGTGTGCATCTAGCGGTTTGGTGATTGATGTCAGCAAATCAGTTATTTTATCGTTGCAGTAACAGGAAGCTGGGCATGTATGCTTCCTCTATAGCATAACGAGAGAGGATGATACTCACTTGCCAGCCAATTGCACGCGCACATAGGCTTTAGGACAGTTTAGACCGCGGCTCATCGTCTCAAGGGCCGTATCATCCGCCAACTTAACTTGCTCGTCTTCTACAATGCCTTTCTTCGCCAATGATATCGCCATACGGGCATAGAGGTCGTCCCATGCCACACTGCCTGGCGAAGGTAGGTAATAACCTTGTCGTCCATGCCCGATGTTATCATTCTCAGAGAGGATGGCGGCGAGCAGTCGAATGTAGAGATCAGTGTTATCTCTGATGTGGCATACGGGCCAAGTCTAGCGACGATTAGTGTTAATCGTGCCTCTCTGGGTGCGAAGTCTGAAGGGTGAGATTGACGAGCGACTTACCGGAGAGTTATCGTCAACGCGATAGACACGCTTTGCCTCCTTGGCTGCCCTCACAATAGCTACAGTCTGGGCGGAAATCTTATTGCCAAAGCCCAACCCCTCGCCATCTTGCATAATTCTCAGCGCTCAGGACTTAGACATAGACATGCAATACGACCATGACAACTACATGTCTCCAAATGCAGGTAGAAACTCACACACAATGCATGATGCAATGATGTAGCTCTTTACGTCGAGCTCCTCCGCAAGCTTGATCACGGTATTGTTCGTGCTAACGGCCTGTGATACATGATTAGCTTCACATTCATTATGTGCCGTATCTCCACGAGAAGATTCGAGTCAGGAGTTTTTAGATGTCTCACCTTTTGAAATGCCGGGAATGGAGCTCGAGTCTGCCGCTCACTTTGGATTTCATACAGCTTGTGATCTGTATCTAGTAGTGGCTTATCCGTCAGAGCTCCCGCTAAATCGGAGAATATCTTTGCCCCTGATGTCTGCAGATAGACGTCAGTAAGCGTCACATGGAGATGGTTGAGGAAAAAAAAAAAAGAGGACTCCTCGCAAGAAACAATTGGCTCACATGTTAGTAGCCGCATGGGTCAGTTTGCCCTCCGTCTGCTTCCCTCTTTTCAGGCGGTAATGAGAGGGCAGACTCTGGGTGGAAGTCACTGCCTACCTGCGAGAAATGGACCTCCTTGCCGGTCTGTTGCCGCAATTTGGCCAGGGCTCGAATGAAGAGCGTCTGTCTCTCGACACTCACTACGTCAATGAACCAAACCACTACTGACACTTCGTGACCTAAAATGAAGCTCTCAATGGCGGCTTCATCTCCTGGATCAAATGACGTGGGCTCTGCGCCATAGTCTCGGACCGCTTGGGCTTGAGTATCGTTGCGAACGAGTGTGTAAATAGTACCATGGGCTGGCAGAATTGTGCTACCAATGCTGGGTTTGTGTAGCTGGGCTAAGATGCTGCCGCCAAGATAGCCAGAGGCACCAGTGAGGAGGATGTTGTGCATGATGCCTATCTTATCTGAAGTGTGTACCTCAAGAAGCTTGGTGGTACTTTAAAGGACTGGTTAAGTTCAAATTGATAAAGATATAGGCAACATTGACTTACAATAGGGAATACGTAAAAACTAATGGCGAATTATAGTTCTAATATGAGAAACAACATCCATATCCATCCAGCTTCATTCGTGCCAAGGCTTCAAGCTATTAGGGCGGGAGCTAGAGCAACATTTCTACCCTTTTTATCTTCTGTAACAAATGGAGAGAATTATCTTTCTAGCCAATTACAAACATGCTTTGGTCTGTGATGACTGGCTATTACCCTTCTAGGATAATGAAAGCAGAAGTTTACAAATCGACTCCGTTAACCAATGAAAAGCAGGTGTCTACAAATTAATTGCCCTTGACAAACAACAGATAATGACGCATATTTCTAACTTCAAGAGACGCTTACTATTTGATACTGGGCGCTAGGCACATGTAAGTACTGTATAATATATAACATGGAAATGGAGCCTAATCTTTGAGGATCTCGCCATCACAATCCCTACGTGTCTCTTCATAACAGATTGACAGATTATTAGAATACTACACGTAGTAGTAGATGTAAGTCGCACATTCAACTCGCCGGAACTGTTTAGCCCCCTTCGACTCGCATCTGTACTTTTCTCCATGAAACAGCTTTGCAACTTCGTCATATTAAAGCGCCTTGGAAGCGGTGACTCGTTTCCTGACATTACTTCAAGTAATATATATAGCGTTCTTGGTCTGCACTCTAGTATGTATTACCCGGCACTCTTCATGGATGCTTTGGCCGTGACTAGCAACTCTCATCTATCAGGCCATATCCTTAGCCGATTTTTTTTTATATATATTGTTCTTCTTCATCTTTAACATTTCTAACTGAACTTAAATGTTAACAGGAACCCAGAATCGATTCAGCTGCCTCATTCTCTGTTGCGTCGTGACTCTGTCTGTCAAAAAGCGTTGGCCGCAATGCCGACTGCTGTTTACGATCCATGGATGCTTATTATAGCGGGCTTCAGTGGCCTTGCCCGCTAAACCCGTCAAACCCGCCAAACCCCACCACTGATTTCGCTGAACCCCGTCTTTTGGCCAGCTCAACCTCAACTCCATCCAAACCTCGGGCTGCCACGTATGATGTTTCACTTAAGCTCCTCACATCATCACGCTCGTTCACCTCCCATGAGCCATAATGTCGCCTCCAAAGGACGCCAATACGAATCCTCCCAAAGACATCTCTAGCACATCAAATCCAGCTCCACCGCCTCAAAGCTCCCACTCCAGCAATCCCTCCGTCATCAAAGGCGCCTCCCTGCTCATCATCCTCCAAGTCGCCTCTCGCCTCATCACCTTCATCGCCAACCAGCTTCTCCTGCGCTTCCTCACCGCCCCTCTACTAGCTCTCTCCACACAGCTGGAAGTCTACTATCTCTCCATTCTCTTCTTCGCCCGCGAGAGCCTGCGAGTGGCCATCCAGCGCCAGGGCATCGCGGGAGCGGCAAACACCGAGGATGGCGCTCAAACAGACGATGCTGCCGTTGCACGGAGGGAAGGACAGGCGGTGGTGAATCTCGGGTATCTCGCCGTTGGACTGGGCAGCGTCGTCAGCGTGACCTTGGGATGGATGTATCTCGCGTCTGCTTCCGTGACGACTCTCCAGACGCCCTGGTTGGTCGAGTCGCTTTGGCTCTATGGCATCGCCGCCATGGTTGAGCTCCTGTCTGAGCCTTGCTTCGTCTTGATGCAAACGCGCCTGCAATTCGGCACTCGCGCGACAGCTGAATCCGTCGCCACTTTTCTTCGTTGCATCGTTGTTTTTGGTTCTGCCGTTTGGGCCTCTCGGAAGGGCTTGGATATCGGTGTGCTCCCTTTTGCCCTTGGCCAGCTGTCATATGGCGCCTCTCTTCTCCTGGTCTACTTCGCCTCCGGATACCGTCTTGCGACCAGCTCTGGATTCTCACTTTTCCCCAAGCGACTCAATTCCAGCAAAATCGTTGTCTTTGTGTTATCCTACTTTTACAAGCCAACTGTCAGCCTTGCGGGAAGTATGATGGCCCAAAGCTTTGTGAAGCATCTCCTTACCCAAGGCGACACCTTTCTTATTTCGCTCTTCTCGACTCCCGAGGTTCAGGGTGTGTATGCCTTGGCGAATAACTACGGCAGTCTTCTCGCCCGCTTGCTCTTTCAACCCGTTGAGGAGAGCAGCCGTAGTTACTTTTCCCGCCTCTTATCCTCGCCGTCTTCATCTAACAGCGGCGAGGCTTCGTCGCAGCCATCCTCATCAGTCAAAGAGGCAAAGCGCAATCTACACACCATCTTGCGTCTATATATTCTCTTGTCCTCTATTATCGTCAGCATTGGACCATTCGCAGCCCCTGCACTTCTCTCCATCGTGGTAGGCAGCCGTTGGGCGGGTTCAGGAGCTGGCCAAGTTTTGGGAACGTATTGCTTCTACATACCTTTCATGGGGCTCAACGGAATCACAGAGGCATTTGTTGCTTCTGTCGCTACCGAGACTCAAGTGCATCGCCAGTCGTTTTGGATGGGCATCTTCTCAGCCGTCTTTGCAGCGTCTGCTTTTGTTCTGATGAGCGTCTTTCAACTAGGCGCTCAAGGCTTAGTCTATGCCAATAGCATCAACATGCTGTGTCGAATCATCTGGAGTGGCGCCTTCATTGTCAGCTTCTTCAAATCTCACGGCGTCGATTTTGCACCCGCATCGCTATTCCCGACCACTACAATCGCCGTTTCTCTATCAACACTGGGACTTTTACGATTCCTAAACGTTCAAGACGATGGCGAACAACGACCACTCGCAACGTTGATCAAGATTGCTGGCTCTGCCATTCCATTACTACTTCTAATGTACGTGAATGCATATCTACATGCTTTGCCATTTCCTCTCTTCAAGATACACAGTCGTCTAACATGGTGCTGTAGTGTGTTTCTAGAGCGCAAGTTTCTTCTCGAATGCTTCCAGTCTATCCGAGGCCGCAAAGCAAGCAAACGCGAGTAAGTAGTAACAAAGTAAGACAAAAAAAAGAAACAAGAAACAAGAGAGTAAAAGAAACCCATTTTCCCGTGCAAATATACCCATGCTTTTTTCTATTAATCGAAAGTAATCTTTGTTGCCTTTTGGTTCGGATCGACGTCCTTGAAGAAGCCGCCGTACATGTCGTGTGTCTTCTTCTTGACGACGGTGCCAAACTTCATCAGCTCATCCGGAACAGGCTGGTTAGCACCCTTAAGGATGTTGATAAGACTGTTTCCACACATTAGTTTCGTTCTTTTACGTGACTGTTGAGGTAATTTGAGGCTACTTACGATCCAGAGTGCGCCTTGTCTTGAACAGTAAACATGGTGATGGCCTCACCAGTCTTGCCGGCTCTGCCTGTACGTCCGATACGGTGAACATAATCCTCAATTGTCAGAGGGAACTAAAAGAGAAACCAAGTTAGACAAAGCCTCAACAGGTCCATAGTTCAAAGTCAACTTACAGTAACGTTGATGACCAGCTTGACCTCGGGGATATCCAATCCTCGAGCAGCCACATCGGTAGCAACCAAGACTGGTGTCGTGCCAGTCTTGAAGGCCTCCAAACTCCTCGTTCGCTGCTCCTGCTTCAAGTCTCCGTGAATGCCGCCAACGCGGACGCCCTTGCGGCTGAGAAAGCCCTCGACGCGAGTTGCCTCCTTCTTGTACAGGCAGAAGACCAAGATGCGGTCATCCTTTTGCTTGCCCTGCTGGTGCTGTTTGATGATTTGCAACAGTCGGAATTCCTTGTCCTTGCCATCCATGACCTCGACTTTCTGGGTGATGCGGGTGTTGGCTTGGAGCTCAACCGAGCCGTTCTCAGTCTCCTTACCGCGCGATCCAATGGTGATCTTGACGGGGTCAACCATGAAGGTAGATGCCAGGCTCTGAACGGAAAAGGGCCATGTGGCAGTGAACATGAGCGTCTGTCGCTCCTCACGGGGAGGGCAAGCACCGAGAATCATCTTGATATCCTCCTCGAAACCCTTGTCCAGCATACGATCGGCCTCGTCCAAGACGGCAAATTTGCAGCCGCTCAGGTCAACGGTCTCATCGGACATGAAGTCCTTCAAACGGCCGGGAGTTGCGACGATGATGTCAGCACCCTTGTTGAGGAGCGCACGCTGGTCATCCTTGGAAGCACCGCCGTAGAGACAGACGCACTTGAGTCTGAGAAGGGCAGCCAGACGAGCCAATTGCTCGTGAGTCTGCATGGCCAGCTCTCTAGTGGGCGAAACGACAACGGCCTTGACGCCCTTCTTGTTGATGAGGGAAATGGCCTCAACGCAGGGAAGCGCGAAAGCCATAGTCTTGCCGGAACCCGTCTCAGCGACACCGACAACATCGCGCCCTGAAAGGGTGGATGGCCACGAGGCAGCCTGGATGGGAGTAGGGGCCTTGTAGCTAGCAAAAGGCGAGGGCTTCTTCTCTAGCAAGTTGGTAGAAGGCAAGTGGTGGAACTCGGTAACGGGTCGCAGCTTGCCAGTAGTGTTTCGGGTGTCGGTGATGACAATCTCGTTCTTGGACAAGTATTCGTCGATTTCGGATTGCGGGACGTTGGACAGGCTCATGGTCTGGACGTAATCGCGACCGTTGGAGGCTTCTTCGGAGGCATTGCCGTTGGTGTCCTTAGCTTTGCGCTCCTTCTTGGACTTTTTCTTCTCTTCGGCGGGCTTCTCGTCTTGGTCGATGTCCATGCTCTCGGGCTGTTCCTCGGTAGCCTGTTGAGCGCTGTCGTCTTCGTCCTGAGACTTCTTGGACTTTTTCTCCTTCTTTTCCTTCTTGTCCTTCTTTGACTTCTTCTTTTCTTTCTTGCTTTCTCCGTCGGCGCTCTCCTCTACGGGAGCCTCAGCTGTGTCCTCTTCATCAGCAGACTTTCTCTTCTTTTCTTTCTTCTCCTTCTTCTTCTCCTTCTTCTCCTTCTTCAGACGCGCCTTTTCGGCATCGTCACCAGCGTCGGCAACCTTGGACTTTTTGACCGGGCGGTTCTCGGTTACGCTGTCGTCGGCCTCAGCGCGGAGGTGCTTGGTAGCAGCCATTTTAAAGAATTGATTGGGATGAGAAAGTCGAATCGATCTTGTCTCAATTGGTAAACCCAGGTTCAATCGTCTCGCTGGATTGTTGCGACGAGATGGACCGATTGATACTGCGCAAAAAGCCGGTGGGTCTTGGGCGACGATAAAAGAAAAAATTGGGAAAAAGTTGTTATCGATAGCGCAAGGATGCCCCACTTCGCAATATCATTGCTTAGGTAATCATTCGTTTTGGGTTATTGCAGCCTTTCCGAAAGAGCAGTTCGAAGAGCTCATGGAGCCTAACATGCCTAATATACTAGGTGTATGTCACTGTAGTACCACTAAGAGGCTATTCTGAGGATTCAAATCAAGAGCAATGATGAAAACTATGAAATAACATTGATAACCAAATTAGCAGGAATGATCAACTCATCTAGACGACAATTTATGAGAGGTCATGATGGCCGCCGCCTCCTACTGGTGGCAGTAGTTGATTGACCAATATCCATATGGATCCATCGATGCTTTCCGTCCGCACAACTTCACTAATATTGACTTTTATGCGGTTTAGTAGTGAAGATTTTAAGTGGTTGGTATCTTTTCTCTTTTTCTATTCTTCGTTAAACGGCGATACTTCTCTCTTAACTATAATGACTTTTCCAGGGTAATCCTCAAGTTGGATACTTGAACGATTTCGTCTAAAAAGTAACATAGCCTAACAACTCTTTCATATACGATGCCGCGGTCAACGCTGCGAATCCTTGCCACCCTTTATTCTTATGTGAGTCGGCATAATCGCAGATTCCCCGGACAATAATACATGGGAAATCCATCATTAAGCCAGCCGCTTCCATCTCAAAGCAGAGAGCTCCGGTTTCTTGGCGAATCCGCTCTCTTGTTTCACCATGTTTTATAACTGCATTCCCAGACGCAATAATACCATAATGTATCTGGACATCAGCGTTTTCGCGTGGTCTTCTTATTTCTTCCCATTCTATAGGACAACCTTCACGTAGGTGTATTACTGTCAGGATGTTCGTGCTCTACCCTGAACAGCCGATCTGTAGATACATCAGGTCGAGCGAAAGTTCGTTTCGTCCGGTGGGTTCTTTGCGTCGCTTTCTGAATGTATTCGGGATAAGTCGGACTGGAGGTTAACAGAGCCTCTCGCATTCTTTCAACAGCAGCGAGCAACACACGAGGCGGACCGTTTAATGCGCGACTACGCACAAACTTCCCACCCTGTACAATTTTCCCCAGATCATACTGAATTACACCACCACATGTGCCTTCCGGGTAGCTGACCACGATATCACCCAGTCGAATATCATGATTGGGGGATGGAATGCCCCCTGCAATGCCCACCATCAACCCAACCCGTAGCGACTGAAATGTCCGCATCATATGAATTACAACGACGGTCGCTGAAGTAAGACCATATAACCCAAGACCGGCAATTACAACGTAATGTCTCCCTATTCGCCCCAAAATGTATGAATTTGTATCGTTGCGATCTTGCTCATCCAGAATCCCAAAATTCTCGTCCAGCATCTCTTTTGCTGCGGCGACCTCGACCGGCAAGGCGCAAATCCATCCTATTTGGAACTCATCAAGTGATAGGGTTGGCATCTTGACTATCCAGATTCTGTTGCTAGCGTCTTCTTGACAGTTGGAGGTGGGATGACAGTGGTGCAGCCAGCCGTGTTTAATCGATACATGGAACTCTTTCCAGAGAGCATCAATGCGTGCGGGATTTTAAATAACGCGAGAAACTACGAGCCCAAAATAGATAGGCTGCCTCCGACACGGGTTTGGGGCTGGATTAGGCTGCAGATGGAGTCGGCCGCAGAGGCGGCCAGGACAGGTTCTCCATCTTACTTAGCGAATAGAATCGAGATATTGGAGTCATTTGGTGCCATATTGATCAATTTGAACGCGATTGCAGGGCGCAGACATTGCCTAGTATTTGGCCTCAGGTCTGATGGAATAGAATAATGCTGGATTCACCACGTCTGCGGTCTCAAGGATCTACGACTGTAATAATAAGACTCTAAGAAACGGATTTATAGTAATCGTAGCATATCAAGTATAATCTTCATCAGTAGTTGTTCATATGTATGTCTTGCGTAAAATATTGGTCAGTATATAATAATACTGCTGTGGCACAAGGCGCTGATAGGAGAGCGATTATCAGCTTCTGCGCATGCAAAGATGGAATCGGGAGACCGCTGCTCCCATAACTGATATGTACGTATGTGTGTAGGGAAATATCAAAACTACATTATGCCTTCAACAGAATATCATGTGTAGGCTCTATTTCCACCTATAAATGCCAATTCCTGATCTTTCATTTCTTAGTGCAATACCTGATTAGGTGTAGCCAGGCGACTTATTCTACTTCCTAATCACCAGCCGCCTTGTATTGTGGCGCTTTTGTATTGGATGAAATTCTCTCGTGAGACATTCAGCCGCATAAGTTGGACCAACAGACGGAAAGTACATGTATACATATCCCCGCCCTCAGGCGTCGAAACAAATATCAGGGATGGATTTGAACCTGGCTCATCCATGGAACTGCCTCATCATCATACACATCGTCAAACGTATGAGAGTTGTGTCTTATATATAGGATCACATGGAGGTCGACCGCTTCACCAAGTATCTTGCTGCCACCGGCTTTTCAGATCGCGAGGAGGAGATTAGAACATATGTTGCACAAGGTGCCGAAGATGTGCGCGCCATCCTGACTTCTCCCTTCTCTTCAGATGAGATACGAGAAATTGCAGCTCGCGAGGTTCACCCAAACACTCGTGGACGCCAAGTCACTGGCATAATTTGGTATCTCACCTCACTAGCTGTTGAACGCAACCAGGCCTTTCTATCTGGTGCTTTCCTCTGCCTAGACCCATACGGTCGACTCTCTGCTTTCTTCTTGGCTATTGGCACTCCGCGAACGAGCAGCCATCTCAGGCGTCACAGCGCGCCGGGTTGTACCGGTGGAGTTGATCTTGTTGTCGACGGCGCTTTACCACCACTCGCCAATGATCATCGACACGTGCTGTTCACAGCTATTTCCAATGATAAGCACCGAGGGAGCTGTTTGTTCCTGAAACCAGAGCCGTATGGAGTCTCTGGAATTAAAGACTTTGGCCACCACGCTGATCGCTATGTCCGCTCTCTTGGGCGCCGGTTTCGTTTTGGTGGCAACGATCGCGTTGGTATGAGAAAAGAGCGCATCCCGGACCGCTTAGTTAAAGCTTTTTCCGAAGCAGTGGCTCATCTTCCGGAGGGCACGAGTGCTATTGCAGAGGTTGGCAGAAAAGGAGCAGGCGAAGGCATTGCCGGGATGCATTCTTACCTTACTAAAAAGACGCAAGATTCCAGTCTCTCCAGTAATGCTATGGAGTCATTGCTACATCAACTGGAAGCAGAGTACGACTTTGTCAGTTTTCGGTTTGGCAACGAGGTTTGTCTCGATCTCGGGCTCGAGGTGTCCAAGCCACTGCCTCAAGCTTCTGGAGTTCTCGGCCCATCGCCGTCCCTTTCGTGGTTACAAGTTGGAAGCCTCAAGATTGAGATGCCTGTGGTAACTACAGAAATGTTCGAGTCGGTTACTGGTCTCTGAGTCTCCGGTCTTGCGCGAAACCTTGTCAACTTATACTACGTTGTCACAAACTGCAGAGCCGTTGCAACGCTATCGTCTTTTTCGATGCCAGGACTTTTCTGGAGGTTGATGGGGGCAGTGGAATTGGCCGGTAGACAACGCCAGACAGGGTATCCCTTCTTATCAATGAATTGATATCGTCTCTCTCGCATCCATGTAATTCTCGTAATCTTGGGCACGGTTCGGCATCCGGCCGGTAGCATTGTGGGTCACGGATCGGACCTTAAAAGACTGGAGCCAAAGTGAATCCCCATAAGCTTAAAGGAAACTTTAGAGGGTCTTGTTAGCTTACCTGTATGTCAATAGAGCGAATCTTGATCACGGTAGATGTTGTCTGTCGCAGAATTCTTGTATCCAAACAGGTAGATTTGAGCTTCATGCATCGCTTACACATCTCCAAAGATTAATTGATGCTGCAGTACACGTCATGCATTATCGGCGTATTTTTGTTCCTTTTCCTGGCGAATCCAATGACAAGGCTGCGTTTCTTATAACCCCGGTCTGCCACTCTATTGTACCTTCGTGTTTCACGCATAGTACGATGCCCGCCATGGCGCCCATCATGGCGACCGTCATTTTGGCTCCTGAAATTATCCATAACATCATTTACTTCCTCATTCATGACTATGTTGTCCTCCTCGATGACGATTCGTGGGGTCTCGTCCCGGGCTATGGTCGATATGCCGCGGTCAGCCGCATCTGGCAAGACGAAATTGAACGCGAGACTTTCGCCTCGTTGCGTCTTGATTTGGATCGACTGTTGCAGGCCAACTTTATTGTCACCCATCGGCGGCGTCGTCTCGTCCGGACCATCAAACTTGATGTCGCGCTGCCCATGCCTGGACCTGTGGAAAGCCCCGAAACAGAAGAAGAGAAGCTACGAAACAACCGCAGACTACAAGTCACGTTTGAAGCATTTATGCGATTCATGAGTCCATGGCAACCGTACGATGTACGTCATGGAGGTATTAAGCTATATGTTGATACATCTATACCAGACGATGTTTTCAGCTGGCGACCCATTACTCCCCAATCGCGGAAAAGGCGAGCGAAACTAGAGCGAAGGCGTGCCTCATCATTGGTAGAGTTAACAAATCCCTCTCGCATTTCAGAATACCCACCAATTTTGGCTATCACGGAGTATAAGGGAAATACTTCAGACCTGAACATTCACATCTCTGCAGTGGCCACCTGCGTTTTACTGGCAAAGCTACCTGCAGCTAAGGTGGCATTTATTGACTGGTGGAGGTGTAGCCACTTTTCAAGGATTCGGTCAGGTATAGTTTATTACCGTTAGTTGGGCATAGAGAGTAACAAATGGTTATTGCTGACATGCCGAAATTAGATCTTGCCGCTGCCATATCTCAAATCAAGTATCCCATAGATCATTTGAGCATATCGGACAGTAGTCTTACGTACGGTGATTGGTTTCCGTTCAGCCCACCGCCTGCTTCATCAATACAAGAAGTTGATGAGCTTTCCATATCTATACGAAACATGTCACAGCGCCTCAAGAGGCTCGATATATATGATATTTCAATTAGCGATGAGCTATTCTTTCCAAAAACTCCATCCATAGACATGATGCCAATATGGGACGGATTGGTCATGATCAGCTTACACTATCTACCAATCACCCATTCAGGTGAATGGCTTTTTTTACCCGACCCGGATGCATCCAGCTCTTCTGAAGAAGAGCCGGACAGCGACGATTCGTCATCTTGGGACGGCTGGCCGAGCGAAGAGTCACAGCCAAAGCCCAGCATTGCAGCGCCGGCCATGCAGCAGTTTTATCTCGCTGCAGCACACGCAGCTCTACAGATGCCGGCACTGAAGCAGATGAAGCTTATAGCACTGCTTGAGAATGGAATATGCTGGCATAAATTCTGGTATTACAGCGAAGAAATGATGGCGAGAGCTCTCTGGACGAGTAGCTCAGGATTCGTCCCCGATGAGGAAGTGTTGGACCGTTGGCGTATGGTACCAAGGAAGCACATCGAGATAGACCTTGAGGTGGAGATTTCAGAAGATGAGAATGCCTTGGAAAGTTTAGATGATGAGAATGAGATATAGAAAAGTGACGAGATCCTTGTCATTGATACAGCGCTATATTTATAGGTTGATAGGTAAGTAGAATAGCGATAATGAGATACTCCGTAGTCTATGGCGAAAATACAGGCTTAACTAAACCGTTGTCTTTTCTTTCCCGCTATGTACGACACCAGACATTGTAGCAATGATGTTTGCAGCTCCTTCGTTTGCGCTCTGCATTGACTCAGACGAGGTGCGCGACGCTCAGCATTTACATCTGCACCTCAGGTGAGGATTGAGCTAATTTGAGTTGCTTGCAGTATCCATTTTGGGATGAGTATCTCCCAATCCAATAAATGCTCGTGAAAAAAACAACTAAATACTATGAAATACTAACCATTCTGCACATTACCTTTCATTGCGGATTATGCTTTAATTAAAGTTCATCTATGCATGACAGCAACCTTTGTCATTCTAAAATCGCTAACGTAATCTATTTCATAGACTTTCTTCTTTGAAGTTAACATGGGCAAGGTGTGGGCCATTTCAAGAGTGAAGCAATGCAGCGTCACAATAACGATTGATGCATAACATACATGTATACACTCCTGTCAGCCGCTGGCTGATTCTCCAAAATGGATGATGTCAATAAGATTATGGGCCACGGGCTCCCGTCCATGGACGCGCCCGATCTTACATATTCCAGATCGTATAGATCAGGGTGACGTCGATGCTCAACACGAATAAATATACGCTGTACTAAAGTCCCAGTCCTTTTAATTCTGCTCCAGCATCAGCTGTGTTCGAGTGAAGGTGCGATATATCCATCTTTGATTAAGCAGCATTTCTCATATACAAAATGTCTCGAAATATCTGCATCACGGCCGTGGAAGGCCAGACGGGCTTCCTCATAGCCGAACTGCTTTTGAAAGAGGGTAAATTTGCCCGACAAATAAGCAGCCTTACTGGACTGGCATTGGATCCATCCTCTCCTCGAGCTCAGGAACTCACCGAACTTGGAGGGAAAGTTGTGCACCATCAACCAGGCCGAGAACGCGTTATGGTCAAGGCACTCAAGGAGATTGGGTGCGATACTATCTGTTTAGTTCCACCCGCTCATCGCGACAAATTGGACATAACATTGGAACTCGCAAACGCTGCCAAGAAAGCAGGCGTTTCTAACGTTCTTCTGATTAGCTCTGCTGGCTGTGATTATGCCGACAGCAAGAAACAGCCTCGTTTGAGAGAATTCATTGACATTGAAAGTGCGGTTCTTGCAACCAAAGGCGATGCGGGGACTCCTCTCGGTCATTCGCCCTGTGTCATTCGGTTTGTTCTCCATTCTTATGGATGGTCTAGGTCAAACAGATGCTGACTATGTCAAGTGCTGGATTTTACGCAGAAAATTTACTTCTCTATTCAGAACAGGCCAAAGCTGATGGTGTGCTTCCACTGCCCATTGGAGAAAGTCATAAATTTGCCCCGGTCGCTTTAGGTGTGAGTCTCACAATATTTCCCCAGATCGCCAAACGGGACTTTAATCGGCCATTATAGGACATTGCTCATGTGGCTGCACATGTTCTCGCCGGCAAAGGCAAGCATGGGTTTGACGATAGGCACCGAGGCCAGATGATGATTGTCACAGGTAAAAATGTCTTTTGTTTGTGTTTTGCGCGTGTCGCGGTTAGCTGAAAACTATACCCAGGGCCTCAACTATGTGCCGGGGAAGAGTTGGCCCAAGCAGCCAGTCAAGCGCTGGGGGTTCAACTTGAATTTGAGAACATATCCGAGTGAGTAAATTATTTTAGGCTCAAAAGCGATTAATTTGCATTAACATTGGGCATAGAAACGAAGCCAAGAGGGTGCTGGCCTCTCAGAGTGAGAGCGACGAATCGGAGAAGGAATTCATCTTGGAGTATTACAGTCTGGTTCGTGAGGGCAAGACGAATTATATTGCTACCACTGCCTTCCATGATGTTACAGGAACACATCCCACGGAGCCTAGTGAATTCTTCAAGTCTTATTCTGCTGATTTTCGACCGCGGAAGAGGGCAAAACACTAAGCCCACAATGCTTATCGCGTTGGCACAATACGATCTATTGGTTCATTTCTATTTACTTTCTTGTTGAGTAAGAAATTGACTCGTGTCATAAATTTCCATGCCTCATGAATAATGCGGGAAACATCCCAGTGAAGAGAATACTTCTATCATTGATGCCAATTTGTAGCCAGGCTGGATACAGGTACAAGAGAATGTCGGCGAAAACGTCGCAGCGCGTCGTACCCAAACTGTACGGACCGCGAGTCGACACTTTTCTCTGGTCAACGCTTCTAACGTTTACCTCAAATCAACGTCACCTCGAATATCACCAATCACGTAAAATTATTTTTGCTGCCGGCAAATTTTGAATACATCATCATTACATATTTGCACGCTTAGCCCGTGTAGTTCGCCATGCAGTAATAAGGCCGTAATAAGGTCAATTTACCTATCGCCATAAGCTTCGGAATATTAAGCGATGGTCTCTATGAACAGATGTGTCCATTGCGTAGTGGTAACGCGCTAAATCCAAGATGCTCCGGAGCTATCTGACGCCCATCCCATAAGTCTATGACAATTCAATTTTTCGGGAAGATCGCGTACTTCTGCAGCACTATATCCTTTGAAGAGACTTTTTGTTATAGACTTTCCCATATTTTAAAACTCATGCACTAAATACAACCGAAAATGTGTATGTTGTTTCTGCCCTTGTCTCTGCCCAGTAACCCGGTATGCATGCTTAGTTAACATTCTCTGCGGTAATCTGCTTCATCAAGTCGTGATTCTTTGAGTAGTCAATTGTCACATCGACAATGCAGACTCCGTCATAGCTCAAGGCTTCTTTAACCACATCATCCAGTTCTTTCGAGTTGTTGGCGCGAAGCCCCTTGGCCCCAAAGGACTCGGCAAACTTGACAAAATCAACGCCGCCGAGGTCGATGCCAGCACTTCGCCCATATTTGTCCACCTCTTGGAATTCAACCATGTTGTACTTGCCGTCGTTCCATATAAAGTGCGTAATATTGCATCCAAGTTGCACGGCCGTGGACAGCTCTTGTGAACTGAACATGAATCCGCCATCGCCACTAATGCTTACTACCTTTTTAGAGCATGGCGTTGGCTTCTGGCATAATGACGCGCCGATGGCCCAGGGAAGACCAACTCCTAGAGTCTGCTGGACATTTGAGGTCAAAAAGGTTTTTGGCTTGTAAGAGTAAAAATAGCGTGAGAAGTAGACATATATACTGCCAACGTCGCAGGTTACGACAGTCTCCTCATCGATCAAGCTTTGTAATAGACGAATAAAGTACAAAGGTTGGACTGGGCCATCGGTTTTCGCAAGTGCAGCTTCGGAAGACTGCCAATCCTGCTGCTCTGCGACAATCCTCTTGCCGGCGGCTGTATCTTGCAATCGAGCCACCTCAGTGACTCGATCAGCAATGGCGTCAATGTTTGCAGTCAGCGATCCAATGACCTCTAACTTCGGCGAGTAGCATTCTACATGGTCTGCTTGAACGAAATCCAAGTGCAATATGTCCAGGCGACAGTCTGTATTCCACTGGTCGGCATCGTATTCAGCCTGATCATAGCCAATGGTGACAACCAAGTCTGCTTCGCCAAGGAGCTTGTCGCCTGGTTGGTTGTGAAACAACCCCACGCGGCCGTAAAAGAGGTGCTTGAGCTCTTTGGAGATGGCGCCTGCTGCTTGAAACGTCTCAATGACAGGAACCGGATGTTTTCGAAGAAACTTGTGGATGCTTGCAACGATGTCTTCGTCAATTGCCCGTTGCCCCAAGAACAAGACAGGAGCTTTGGCAGCGCTGATTCGAGCTGCAGCTTGATCGAGGACCTCATCCGCAGCGGTGCCATAGCTGGGAGGGAGGTAGGCTGAGGATGGGAACGCCGCTACAGTCGTTTTGCTCACTGATGCTAGCATGATGTCGGCAGGTAGAGTCACAGATGTTGCTCCTCGCGGGAACGAGCTGGCAGCTCGGAAAGCGTCAAGTATGATTTCAGCAATCTGATTCTCGACAACTGCTGCGGCAGATTTCTTGGTGACTGGCGTGAGAAGCTCAACGCCTCGAAGACTCTGATGCGTGCGCTTCAATGCCTGTGCTCGCTTGACACTCCCAACGATGGCGACGACTGGGTATCCTTCGTCGTTGGCTGTCACTAATCCCGTCACCAAGTTGCTCGTGCCTGGTCCCGAGGTGGCAATACAGACACCTGGTCGACCAGTCAGCCTCCCTACAGCTGCTGCCATGAACGCAGCATTTTGCTCGTGGCGGCAGACAACCAGCTTGATCTTTGGGTGGTCGAGCAGCTCATTGAAGAGGGAATCGATCTTGGCTCCGGGAACACCAAAGACGTACTCTACTCCAGCAGCGATGAGAGAGTCGACCACAACTCGAACGGTTTCCGTCATCTTGAAGCAGAGTGAAATGAATTGAGTAAGTCTGGTAGTTTGTGTGTCCAGATGATTTTTATTTGGGGCCTGCTGCAGAGGCTTATACGCGATGATTGCTCAGAATTGTCATCAACGTTGGAACGGCGAGAGGGTCAATATATGTATGTACTCTCACGGCAATGCATCACCCTGTGATGCTCTTCTCAAACAATTAGTTCGGTGACTCAAAACCCTGTGAATGGCCGCCAATAGCGTAACATCGGAGAACCAAGAGAAGCTGGAAGATGATGTTTTTCGGAACCGTTGCCGGGCGTACCGAGCCAATTGTGATAACTTCAATGTTTACGACGCCAATTGCCGTACGTCGTATCTGGCTTGACGTCACGCCTTAGTTGTTGACTATTCCCGTTGGGTTAGCGATGAAAATATCTCACCAGTAGGCAGGTCGGCTATCTTACTCGGGTCCGAAACCGCTGCTCGGAGCATCGGAGGATAAGCACTTCAAGATAGAGACAATAGTTGACTGTAGTTTAAATATGTCGGGCAATATGCCATGCAGTTGAGAAACCGGCAAAGAGATCCGATTCAATTCATCCATGACGACATTATGCCCAGGATTTCGGAACGCGGAACGCTGAAATGCCAAGCTTCCATGCTTTTTAAGAGGGGCCGCCGTCTGTCATAGTAAAACTTTGCCCCATCAGAAACAAGCTCCCCGTTTCGCTCCGATTTATCGGCCTCACGAATGTATAGCCGTTCATCAAGAGAGAAGCCGATTTTAAGCGAGCACTCACATATTCATTCACGGTAAAGCGCAGATATATAGGATGAGGAGCGTCAGTTTCCATCATCCAACAGACGGCAAAACTCAGCTCTCGTCGTTAGTTCCATAACTGGACAGCTTAGTTGGAGACGCCACCGGTACAGGCATTCACCTCGCTCGTGTATTCCACGTGGCAACTCGCGGAATATACTTCCTCTCTATCACATCAGTCGCATACAAAGATGGCACCAAACGAATTGTTCCAGTATTCCATCGTCACGGCGTTGATGGACGGTGTAGCGGAGAGTGGCCTTCCTCTATCAGACCTCCTCCCCCGCGGAGATTTTGGCCTCGGCACGTTTCGACACATGGTTGGCGAAATGATTGTTCTTGATGGTGTCATTTACCAGATGAAGGCTGATGGCTCGGTGACCTCGTTCGGCCGTGACCAGCTAAACACGACCGTAACACCTTTCGCCATGGTTACGCATTTCCGCCCAACTTTATCAACAAAGGTGACGGTGAAGAGCAAGGGAGACTTTGGAAAATTGCTTACAGATCTTATGCCACAAGCGAAAAACATTTTCTCGTCTATAAGACTGGAAGGCAAATTTAAAGCTGTTGTGGTCCGGACAGTCGGTGGCCAGCAGCACCCCGGCGAGAAGCTTTCGAAGTTGGCAGAATCCCAAGTAGCGCATTCATTTGAGGACGTCCAAGGATCGATTGTGGGATTCCGTTCTCCTTCGTATATGCAGGGCATCAGCGTTGCCGGAGACCACCTACACTTTATTTCTGCAGATAGACGCCAAGGTGGGCATCTCCTTGAACTGCAGACGGATGGCGAAGCAGAGCTTGCAATTGCCGCCATTCGGATCATACACACGGAGTTGCCCACTAGTGACGACTTTATCCAGGCAACATTACAGACGGATAGTGAAGGCATAACAAAAGCAGAGAGCTAATGCGGCATCATTGATCATTTTAACGCACATATTACATCTAGACTAGTCCTATCCGTATCAGTACATAGCCTTGGTTTTCAGTCTACTCGAAACCTAGGCTCAAGTTTCTATCTTTAATAATAGCGACTCAATAATGTCATCATGTAACCAATAGCAAATGTCTTCTTATGAAGAGAGGAAGGAAATTGCAATCTACAAGGAAAAGATAAAAGAATGAGATCGAAAATGTGGGTCATATTCGCCAGTGATATTCTCTATAGGCAGGCAATTCAGAAGCTTTCTAACATGTTGGTGTCTCATTTTCGCCAGTCAGGAATAAATGTAGGTTTTCGTGTAGCATAGCCTACAGCCAAGGAGCAAATTGTTTAACAAATACCTATCTTTATGCAGGAGGCCGTAATGCTCGAATGACGTTAGATTTGCAAGATGTACTTAGTACAGTACTTGTACCCATGGAAACACATGTCTCGGGTCGCCCCAATGAATTCCCAACATCTTTCTGTTTGCTCCCATTTCCATTCTTGCATCTCTTTTTTTTTTTCACATCCTGAAAATAGCTGACAGACTTTTTCTGACCCAACGCTACATCCAGGCGAGTACTATTCTTCTTTATTTCAGTATATGAATAATAGCTGACTTATCCACGCTTTATGATAGGCTCTCGACAATTAACACGTACCGAATCCTGCAAATCCATACAAACGACGCATCAAAATACCATCATGGAGAAATTGACAGATGACTCGTCCACTGCATTTACCCAATTCACGCCGGAAACGTCTGAACAAACTGTCTTGGGTGAAATCTGGGACGGTCGCCGATACGCAGTGCCTTGGCCAGGTAACAAGTACAACATCTTTATGAATGACACCAACCGAGTGATTTGCTCAAATAATGCGGGCGATCTCTACGTCTACGACAAAGACCGCGACGCAGTCAAGCAGCAAACATGGCTCTGTGTGGAAAAGAATGGGTACTTTGGCTTTGTTAATATCCATTCCGGCAGATTCATGGGCCATAATAACCAGGAGAAATTGCACTCGGCAACATTTCATCATCTCCCCTGGGAGTTCATGACAGTGAGGAAGCATCCGGAGGGAGGCTACGAGTTGCTGATGCCACACTGGTGGCACACACTAAAGAAGGTGTGCGTGTTGCCAGGCTCGGACAATGTGGTGTTGCGACAGCATGTAACGACTCTATGGCAATTTGTGAAGGTGGATTAATCAGGGCTCAATGTTTCAAGAGCTGTGATGGATGCTTCCCTCAATCATCCCTTCCCAACATTTCTGTTCCATCTCACAATGTACCTATGGCCAGGTTGATTTTACAAGATGGTTGGTAGCATACTGTACCCTCAATAAAAAGCGCCTTGCTCACAGCCTTTAGGCATGAAGCTGGGGTCGCATAAGCGGTCTTGTAGGCCTCCCCCATACACAGTCTCTTATAGGTCCAGCTGCGACAATCCCACAACAAATGCCAATCACGGCGCTTAGACAGAGTAATTAATTGTAGTTACGTGGCTGATGAACACTGGACAGTCTCTTGCGAGGAACAGCCAACTGTTGGCAGCTGCGATGTGTGTGTGCCTGAGTCCTTCCTATATAATCCTCAGCCGAACTGACTGACCTGCATGCATTTCCCCTCCCCTCTTCAACCAGTCAGAACTCATAGCACGCGATAGATCGCGCAGAATTCTTCACCACATTCGGAAACTCCTCTTCTCTTCATACTGTTTGAAGCAAAAAAATCCTGTTATCGACAACATACGATGGCACCATTTCCTTGCGGGGTTTGCAAAAAGAAATTTAAAACTAGACCTCGCATAATCAGCCATGCGCTGGAGACTGGTCATAATGCGAATCAATGTTGCCGAGTGTGCTTGCGATGGTTTAACAGCGCCAGTGCTTTAGCAGACCATGCAAAATCAGCAGCCCACCTCGAAGAAGAAGCAAAGCAATCACAGTCTGCAAGCGCATCAGTCACCGATAGCAAAGAGACTTTAACAGAGGCGCCGCCTCCCGTACAATTGCAATTTGGGGACGTCACCTACACATGCCTTACACATCAACAGCAAGATGAGATCTTCAATCAGCTCTCTGCTAAATGTCATTCCGCAGAGATTCTTGAGAAGGAAGGCTATATACTTGATGTTGAGAAAGGACCGACAAGGAAGAAGGAAAAACCACGACCAAGCCTAGCAGACTTTCAACAGACCCCGCCGATTCAGCCTGCCACCATCAAGCGGCGCGCTGTTGTGGTTGATTGTGAGATGGCAGAGGCATTCGACGGATCCGATGAGCTGATCAGCCTCTACGTGATGGACTTCTTGACTGGAGAGACCCTTATCGATTCATTAGTTATCTCTCCTCGGCTGATCACCGACTGGAGAACGAAGATTCACGGTATAGATGCTACGATCATATGCGAGGCAGTAGAACACCAAAATGCTTTGCACGGTTGGGCCGCTGCCCGCGAAGAGCTGTGGAAGCACATTGACGAGAGTACAATCCTTGTCGGACAATCAATACTATTTGACTTTGAGGTTCTTCGCTTAATCCACATGCGTGTCGTGGACTCAGCAATACTCGCAACAGAGGCTGTCTTTAACAAGATGGGGAAGAAATATAAGAAACCGCGCCGACGGTGGGGACTTCAGGAACTGTGTGAAACGTTCCTTGGTATCCAAATACGCAGCGGAGACGGGATACACAGCAATATGGAAGACGTTCTAGCTGCCAGAGAGGTTGTGCTGCAGTGCTTGCTGAAGCCAGACCACTTCAAGGATTGGGCGGATAAGGCGCGAGAAGACTTTTGGAAGCCCAAAGAAGGCAGCAAGAATCAGAAGAAGAAGAAGAAGACCAAGGAGCCGACTCATCAAATCGCTAAACAAGCAGCCCCAGTGCTCGAAACGATTGAGGACTTTTATGATAGTCTCGACGATGATGATATTTTCTATGATTTTGAGGATGCCAGAGGCTTTTACATGGAACGGGATTGGTTTACTAACGTTGGCGCCGATATTGCTTATTATTAATGCTCCATCTATCATCCATCTTTAGGTAGCTTAATGTCTAAGTCTCATACAATCTGTATTAATTTCGTTGAACGTACAATCGTATGCAATACCATAGCATTTAAGAACTGGTGCTATTAATAGGCTGTCAAGTGCGGAACATGAAGCGGAAGAAACACCGAGATGGGCAGCAAACCACATTCAACTTCTCCCGCTGTTACACCAGTGCTTCGCCTCATTATTGGCTAGGCGTTTTTTGTTGTTGGGTGCCGTTATCCCGTTAAATCAGCCTCGTATCAGGCATTTCTAATGACGCGTACTTTTGCTTTCCAGCATACACGAGATAGATTGGAATGTTATTGGCGTGATAATGATAACGATAACCATAGTCTGTCCCCCAAAGTGAGGCGAGCACCGATGTCTTGCCTCCGCATGCGGATTGACATGTCCGAAGAGCGGGGGCAGATTCCCCGATCAAGAGACAGCATGCCTCGTTTGATCAATTCTCATTAGCACCTGGCATCTCTAATCTTTAAACAGGCCATGTTTCATTGGAGAGGCCTGATTTGGAACGGTCCCATGACCTGTCATCTAAGTTGAGACCATCGTCATTCTAGAATGATTTTGCGGGCTTGTCTCCGTGCAACGCTACATGTAAGCTAGACGCACTTGTCCGATCTAAATCAGCACTCAATTCCTTCACAGAGAGGAGCGTTTAAGTTTAAACTCATCTTTAATAAGCCAAACAAATGGCAAACGCCAGGATTATTCCAACCGGGTACCGATCCCGGCGCCAATCCCGATTACGATTACAGACAGCGGTCATCGCATGTATGAAAGTCGACCCATCTTGCGCCAGAGCATGTAAACGACATCAATTGTCGAACTGAAACGAGATGGGCTGTGTAAAGGATATTTGACCAGCTTAACCGGGCATCTCGGAAACTTCCTGATTTCTCATCAGAGTGCTCAGCTGAGCCATGCATGTTGAATCCGTACCTGCACTCGCAGACCCAGTTGATGATGACAAGCGGGTATAGGTGCCTTTTCAAGTTTAGCCGTCTTTCGCCTTACATTTATCATCACATTCGCGTTGGAAAACCGGGGGTGAATAAATTGCCGTCCTTTTCGCAGCCTCGCGTGCGGTTATGATCCTTCTCATGTCGATTCATCGCGCGCAACGCTAGAAGAGAATTGGAGCATTGAGCAAAGATGAAGACCGCCCCGCTGCAGCCAGAGCCGCAGGCTTCTGGTGGCGATTACATGTATTCTGACTTACCTCCTGTTTATCTTGCGAGTACTTCGATCACTCCTGAGTCCTCCAAGGGCGCGAATGGCGAGACCCCTAACATTTCGAATGGCGAGATTCCTAATATTACGAATGGCGAGACACCAAAGGCTACGAATGACGACGATGCCGGCGAGGCGTCAGAAGACATCAATGCCGCTTTGACGAATCTGTCTTTTGAGAAGATCACATTTGACCATAAGAATGTCAGATCTGGTATTTCGGAGGATGCTTGCCTCGCTCATCTCAAGCTCCTCCATGCTATCCAAGCTATGAAAGATGACATTGGCTACACCGACGGACTATGGAATCTCTGGAATAGTCGTGGTAAATGGGCATTGGATGACTACCGCGTTGATGCTGATTGGCCCATGATTCGTGCGCTCGAAAAGACCAATTCCGCAACTGTACTACTGGCCGGTCAAGCTAGGATTCGCGAGAAGAGATGGGCGTTGTTTGTTGCTCGTGCAGTTGAGCGATATGAAGATTGGTGGTACTCTCTTGCGGAAACTGACATGTTGACTGAAAAGGACATGGCAACACCTGATGACCCCAAGTACAGAACGTTTACAAACCGCGGTGGATTGAGATGGAAGGAGAATATGCTGCCACCTTTAGGTGAGAAACACAGAATTACAAAGAGTTTTACAATTAGTTGAGCTAATCCCTTCTGTTCTCTTTTATGGCAGATGTGTTGATGGTCCTTCATACGCACATGCTCAATCCTCGAGCTTTCCTTGAAGATTCAATACGACACGGGATGGGCTCCTTTTGGCCTGCGGGTATGCCATGGGAATTAATACATAAAGCCATCGACACAGACTTCAATTATAATGTATCCCACCAAGCGAAGATCAATTGGGTTGCTAAAACTGGTCATCGCTGGCGAAATCAGGATGACGACATGGAGAAGATACTCAAGTGTCCCTTCTGCCCAAGCAAGAATGAGATTCCGTGGACGACATGCGGAATGAAGGAAGATGTGAAAGATATCGAGTAAGCCAAGCCCAGCTCATGCCATGCCGCCGATTAAAACACGCATTAACATTCTCAGGTTTACTGGACTGATCGGTCATGGCTATGGCGATGGCAACTTTAACCACAGGTGTCCTAATTGCCAAAATGAAAACTATAAAGAGCTTCTATCAGTAACAAAATTCGTTTCCGATGCGTCCGCTCTTCTAGTTCAAAATGTGCCGATGCCAGGCACCATCCTTGATCCGGGCAGCGGCCGTCCTGAGGTTGTGCCTGAAGGAACCAAGGGCGAGAGATATTATAGGACATTCCCCAACCGCATGATCAAACGAGAGTTACGAAGCAAAATCGCCGAGCTGATCAAACCGCCGTCTCAGACACCCATCATCAAAAAGTCCAAGAGCAAGGCTAAGAAAGACAAGATAAAGAAAAAGGATAAGAACAAAGAAGAAGAAGAAAACAAGACCCCCGAGCGATTAAATATAAAGGCAGTGAGGGATATGATTCAAAACATTCTGGTGACCCCCAAAAAGATCCGAAACATAGATTCAGAGACAGGTTTGTTTGCCCGCTATCAAATACATACCTGGGCTGGCATATGCATCCGCAAAATGATGAGCCGATACTGGCAGAACTTTTCTCCATTCGGTCTTGATCTTTGCGCCGCTGTTATGCGCCAGGGTGTCTTCGTCGAAAAGATGGTCAAGATAGACTGGCTTCATAGCCCGACTGCACGGGACACCATGACGCGGCTCATTCTGAAATACGACCGCTTCTTGCAGATCATGAAGAAGCATCCTGGCAAAGTTGTTGTGCCGACACTGGATATTGATCTGGCTTGGCATACGCATCAGCTTATCCCTTCACACTATTACTACTATACAGTTTCGACGACTGGAAAATTCATCGACCACGATGACAAAATTGACCAGGACAAGCTTAGCAGATGCTTTGAATGGACAACAAAGACTTATCAAGATATGTTTGACGCTGTGTACAGCGAGTGCACCTGCTGGTATTGTGAAAGTAAGTCGGCCCATCCATTCGCTCCAAGACGAAAGATATGCCAAGCTAATGCTTTGATCTCTACGATAGCAATTCGTTCCTCGCAGATATCGGCCGTGGGCAGACTTTTTGGTATCTCGTCCAATGCGAGATTATCAGAGTCCTTTCACAAGTCTGAGACGGCCGAAACGTGTCCACCAGAGAAATCCGCCCATATATCTTACCATAATTCCGTAAAGACGATCGAAACGTCAGGTCGAAGGAGAGTCACCGCACGAGCGCGTGCTCGACAGCGCCAATGGCTAGACCAAGAGTACCAAAAGGCGGCAAAGAGAGCAGAGAAGAAGGGTCAGAAATTCCCTGCCAAAGAAGACTACTTTACTCTTTGGGGTGCTCAATACACTAGTGAGTCTCTTACCGCCGATTATCTCAAATCTACAGGTGTTCGACTATTGCATGGAAACTGACCCATGATCAGTGTATGGCCCGTATCCTTTCCCGCCGTGGTTTGCTCCCGGGATGTACTATGGATGGGATCCATCTACGATTCACAACGGCCAAGGAGCGTGGGGGAACTGTGCTGCTGGGTCTTGCGGAAATGGAGGCATAGCAGCTGGCGCCTGTGGTGGTGCTGGAGGATGTAATAATGGCAACGGAGGGGTATGTACCAATCGGATGGATTCATGTTTGCAGTTCTAACCATCTCTTAGATATGCGGATCAAGCGGTGCTGGGGTTACTGCTGGTGGTGCTGGTGGTGCTGGTGGAGCTGGTGGAGGAGGATGTGGAGGAGGAGCTGGCTGTGGTAAGTTTCTGTGGTCACTTGTTGGAATATATGATGCTAATGATGATATTTAGGCGGTAGTTAGTGGGATATTCCCATTACTTCTTTCACTCTGCGCTCGTCGTACTTGTATCATGGCTGCATTAATGAGAGTATACATACATAGAGATTGTATCAAATAATAGGCTCAGAAACATTTGCGAAATAAGCCTTCAACTTGCTTTTTTAACTTTGCAATTTTTCCATCTTAATCCAAAGTTTACGCAAATAAAGCTTGCGTGGAACTCTTTTGCATATTATCATCAACATAAACCTCAAACGTAGCTTCAGCGTAAAAGTATGAATCACCATTATTCTTCTGACACTCAAATCCTCCCACTTGGCTCGCAGCAAATTCCAAGGATCCGCTAATAAGTAAGCGTGACGCGACGATCTCAGCCACATTAAACACGGTGCTAATAAATACGAACCGGAGCTTTTCAAGGGAGGCTTAGACCCCCTGTACAGGCACCATGCCACGTTCTCCATTTTCCTCACGGTCGCTCGTGGAAATTGTATCAACAGCTCACAACGGCAAGCATCATCATGCGGCTTCCCAGGGCCGACGATGCTGGGCCCAGTGCTGGATACGCCGGGGCAGCTCTGCTATTTGCTACGCTGGCTCAATGGCTGTCCTCCCAAGACTCTGAACTTGACACAGAGATCTTGTGCTGGGCCTTTTTGCCGGTCCTGATCAAGTCCCTGAGCCAGCCACAGCCTAAATCGCTGTTGAGACCAGTAGTCTCCGGTAAGGCTAGGGGGACATCTTCATCTCCATACTCATTGTGGATTGTAGCCGTGAGCGCTGCTGTCTATTCACTTTTCAGGTCAGAAACTGGTTTGGTCCAATTTTTGGTAAGAAGAGCACAATTATACAAAGAATGACTGAGCTCGTACTAAATGACGACAGCCTGCACTGACGCCTCTGCTCTTGGCGGTTCAAAATTATCTTGGATCCGCTTCCAAACCGGCTGGCTTATTTTCCCCTTTGGTGAGCCCCAACTGGGGTGCCATTCTGGCTGCTTCTTTTGGTGTTCTCACATTCTCAAATTGGAGTATTTGGGCATTCTTATTCTCTATAATTCCAAGCACGTTTCTCTTCATTTTTTATACTGCTCTATTGCCAAGAAGTAGGACATCTACCATCTTTCCGTCCATCAACCTCGAGAATACCATTCGCCCTCTTTCTGTACGCATTGCTGTTCTTCTATTATTCATATCGGGCGTCGACATTGCCTTTTTTGGATTAAACTCCACTGGCATCATCAGGACGTTCTTCCTAGCTTTTATCAAGGCCTTGTCTTGGTTTTTTGTTATACAGGTGGTAGGTTTCCTCGTGGACATGCGATGAAACAAACTTTTAGTCATTAACTATTGCTCAGGCTCGAGATGCTTCTTGGATTGTTGCTCCTCTGATAACCACATTTAGTATCTCTTTCAGTACTAATCCAACAAATGAGTCATCGGATTTTCAGGCTGTGGCCTACAGTTTAATTTCCGTAATCACTCTCGGCCAACTGGTCGCTCTGTTACCGAAACAAGCAAAATTCAGGCTTGTGTTATGGCTGTTTGGCGTCGCATCATTTATACCACTTTTATCCAATCTATGGATGATTCGCGATGCGCAACAATCGGCGAAAATATTTGGCCCTGAACGAGAGCACCCCGTCGAGAGTCTTGTACGCGGCGGCAAGGCCAACTTTAAGAGTCTTCTCAAGACCCAATCCAAGTCTTACAATGAGGCTGTCGAACAATACCAGCTCCGATACCATGCTGAACCGCCCCCAGGTTTCGAAGCTTGGTATGAGTTTGCAGTTCACCATGAATCCTCTATAATCGACGATTTTGACGCAATCTATCACGCCGTGTCACCATTTTGGAAACTTAGCGGGAAAACAGTGACTGAGACTATGAGCCAGATTCACTTCGCGCAAAACAGTGAAATGTGGTTCTGCAGTTTCAACGGTGAATCTGCTACCTCGGACTGCGCACATGCTTATCGAGTTTTCGATAGACATCTCAAGGTTCTGCTCGATACGCTGTTCAAGGGACTGAATGGCGCTCTTCCTGACGTCAAGTTTCTGGTGAATCATTTTGATGAGCCGCGGATATTAATCCCGACGTGGGGAGCAGAAGAGGCCCGTAACCACCCGCAGTTTAACATCACCAGCATGTCCCATCAACCTATTTGGGATGAGGTTACAAAATTCTGCACGTCCAGGGATAAAAGCAAGAAAGCAAAGACACAGTCTTCATCGCAAGCGTTTGATCTACCATTTGTTACAGACCAATCCTCCGCCATGGATCTCTGTGAACACCCAGAGTATCGCAATATGCACGGCCTCTTCGTGAGCCCCGTGTCCTTTTCACTTGTTGAGGGGTTTGTCCCAGCTCTCTCGACCGGCTCGCCATCGACAATGGGCGACATTTTACTCCCGAGCCCTGCGTACATTGAAGGAGAGTTTATCTACGACGACTCAAAAGAGGTTGGCTGGGATGAAAAGCGTAATAACCTCTACTGGGCTGGATCCACGACTGGCGGGTTTGCCACAGATGCAAACTGGATTAACTACCAGAGGCAAAGATTTGTGAAGCTGGCACAAAACATTGAGCGACGAGAGTATTACTATTTGCGAGAGATTGGCGGCGTAATCCAGCGCGTTGCGTCAACGTTTTTGAACGGTCGACTCTTTGATGTCGCCTTTACCAGGATATTCCAATGCGACAGGAAATATTGCAGAGATCAGAAGAGGTTCTTCAAGGTCGGTGGCTGGGCAGATAAGGACAAAGCACTTAAGTCACGCCTAGTCTTTGATCTCGATGGAAATGGCATTAGTGGTCGCTATTACAAGCTGCTCGCATCAAAGTCGGCACCAATGAAGCAAACGCTCCTCAGAGAATGGCACGACGATCGTCTCGTTCCCTGGGTTCATTATATCCCAGTTAGCCAAAGCTTGGAAGAGCTCCCAGAGCTGGTGTTTTATTTGACATCAACTGAGGCTGGACAAAACAGGGCTAGAGAAATTGCAGAGCAAGGTCGTGATTGGTTTTTCAAGGCATTGAGAGAAAAGGACATGGCAGTCTACATGTATCGACTGCTATTGGAGTTGGCGAGGCTACAGGACCCGAGCAGAGAGGCAGGATTTCCTGCAACCCACTAGTTAATACGAGTTATACGGAATACCAAGAAACGATACGTTGCATGCACGCCAGGGATGGATAAATCTTTTGATTGGAGATAACAGCAAAAGTTCAATTCATTAAATTAACCTAAATGTTGAATGGCCAAAGTTACAGAATTAGTTCCATCTCATGAATCCTCCAGACATGGATGTCGCTGTGAGTCATTGCGATCACGGATTGTAGTTACTGAACTCCTCTCTGATAAATCACAATTTTGCATGCACTGCATACGAGTACACTCACCAACTCCTTCATTTCTATGGATACGCGATAATTGTTAGAAATGGCATCATCACAAAAGAGTATGCCGGCGCTGCATCCTTCTCAGGCAACGGCCATCGCCAACATCAAAGCCCAGGCAGCAGCACTCAAACCAGAGGCTCTCCAAACCATATATCACATTTTTCGCATGTCCAACATCCCAATAGCGAGGCTAGACGATATCCGAAAGACTATAGTTCAGCATGCCCGTGTTGCGATGCATTTTCACCCCGATCGCCCGTCTCGTAGTGGCCGCACTGTCGTTGAGTCTCTCTTAAAGGACGACACATACCGGAATCAATTCGAAACCGGCATCTCCAATGGACTTGTTGCGACTCAGCTGGGCGGTGCACGAGACGAATGGGAGCGAAACCTTTTCAGCGGTGCTTATCATGACACTGGCAACTCAGGCACTGTGGCGAATGCCTTCGATCCGACACTAAGGCCAAAGTACGGTGCTTTGGACTTGATGCGTAATTCTGACGGGCCTTCTCCACGATTCGGGTCTTGTTATTTCTTACTTCGACCAGAAGTGTCGTCTCGGTCTACGTTTACCTTTGGTGGTTCTCAAGCAATCCCAAAAGAAAGAGGCACAGCGGATGAATTTGATGCGATATTGGCCGCTCTATTGAAAGAATGTTTTCTACGAGATACAGCTCTGGGTGTAGAATACGTACGGCCGAAAAGGATGGTGGAGTATATCGACGCATTGAGCACATCGCCTCTCGTAAAAGATATCTACAAAAGACCGCCAAGCCGTAACCTAGATCACTTGATCGAGGCGCAGATTCACGGCGATGTTCTTCTTTCACGAGATGTCGAGGCCCTGGTTGTCGATCCGTCGTTTTTCACGCGGGGCGGCACTGGGCTCCTTCTCCTGGCCCTAGGCGAAACATATAAATTCCCAGTCTTTGTACATCACGGATTTCAGCTGTCTTCAGGGAGCGTTCCTAGTGACTTCCGAGGGCCAACGATGCCCCCCTTAGCGGCTCAAATTGCGCTTAATGGCATTGTGGATGTACAGGTTATTGGAGAGGCAGTGAAAGATTGGGTTGCTTGCGCTGATTTGCTGGGAGATAGAGGAGATTTAGCCCAAGGGTTGCAAGAGTTGAAGCTGTTATGGCATGTTTTAGTTCGGTACGGATAGGAGGCCCGGGTAGCTGAGCCGCTTCAAAAATGTTTAGTAAAGCAAGCCAATAGTATTTTTGGTTGATTAGTATTCGGCACCGCGATTGTGGATTACGAATTGACGCGGGTAGCTGTTCCGTATATTGTCTAATACGAGTACTGTGCTTCAACTCGAAATGTGGAGAGAGTTTCCAGAGGATGGGCACGAACACGTAAGAAAAGGCACACGTTGGAGTAAAGAGCCTCGAGGCGTAACCCTCCTGGACCAAGTGCTTACTCCTTCGCGTGTTCCTTACGCCTCTTCTTTGGTCATTCTCCTGATTGATAAGAAGTTTATCTCGGGACCGCCCATTACACTGCTGACACCAAGAAAGGGCAGCAGTAACAAGTCCGCATTATGAATCTGCCCGCGCGCTTAGTCGGCCTAATGACTCTAAGAGCCATTCAGTCTAGCCTCGGACTCATCGGGGCGGGTCAAAGGAATATGTTGCCCCCCCCCCCCCGGTCGGATTTTTGCAAAGGATCCCACTGGAAAAAGTCCCAGGGGTTCGTCATTAAACTGTTTGACGTCGGAAGTCGGACAACGCGATGGAGGTAGTGCGAGTGCTATCTTATGCCGGAGCTGTTAAGGAGGGCGGAGTCTTTCGCGGAGTTTGGGCAGCTTAGGATTCTCTTCTTTTACTTCTTAATATATCTGCTGTAATTGCCCTTCCGAGAAACTGAGCTTGTCGTTTGTCTTCCAAGTTGCTCTTCATACAGCGTGGCTTCGGGTTGGCGACAGCCCGTCAACGACCAACGCCACGATGGCTTCTTCTTCTGAGGCTCCTGCCCGCAGCGAAAATGGCTACCGCTATGATTCAATTTCCGATCCGAATGCGCCTACGTCTTCACGAACCGAATCGCCCTCGTTGTCAATGTCTCCCGTTCCTACAGCAAAGCAGCCGACGGTCCGACTCCTCGCCCCCGATCTCCAGCGCGGCCTTCTCATGGCCCTGATGGCCATGGATCATCTCGCTCTCGGTCTAAATACTTGGCAACATGGAACAAACATTGATGGGGAGATGGATGGTCTTATAGTGCGCCGCTGGAACTTCACCACTGCCTACATCGTTCGCACATTGACCCATTTCTGTGCTCCGGGATTCACATTTCTTCTCGGAATGGGAGTTGTTCTCCTCTCTCAGTCGCGTACTCGCCTCGGGTGGTCGGCAGGCAGGCTAATGCAATACTATGCCGTGAGAGGTCTTGTATTGACTGCAGTGACTTGGATAATCGGACTTGTGGCATCAGGAGGCCAATTCTGGTTCATGAACGTCGTTTTATTCTCACTAGGAGTCGACTATGTTTTAGCGGGGATGTTGTGGCTGCTGATGGATCGAACTGAGAAATGGCTCGGCGGGGTGCTGGAGAGAGGCCTTTTGATTATGGACAAGCGATCTGGAGCCGTCTACGTCCCCACGACTAATGATGACGAGGATGAAGAGGGAGGAGTTAGCCAGCCCTTACTACTCGGACGAAGGCACGCTGCCAGAGAAAGAGAGAGAGCGGCAACAGCTTCATCACTCTCATGGCATATCCATAACATCTTCCTCGTTGTTATAAGCGTCATTACCATTTGGTGGAATATCTGGCTGTCTGAGGACCATGGCCGCTGCAGCCTCGACACAGAAGGATCAGACGGTTCTGTTTCAACTCAATTCGTCCCTACATCGAAGCATCCTTTTCTCGCCATCTGGTTCTGGTACGTCTCTACTGAGCGCGTCATGTCGAATTTCCCCCCTATGGCATGGCTCTCCTTTGCCATCCTTGGACTTCTCTACGGCCGCATCATCACTGCCCGAAAATGGACAATCTCTGCTGTTGCCATCGGCCACGCATCTGCGGGCGTCATCTTTGCCGCTATTTTTGTTCTCACCAGACTTCTGCGTGTAGGCAACCTGTCGGAGGATTGTTTGCATACTCCCGCGCAGGATGCTCAGACTGCCAACGAAAATCCCTACCTTGCCTCGGCAGCATCCTTCTTCTACATCATCAAATACCCTCCTGATGTTGCTTTTTGGGCCTTCACCATGGCTGGCAACTTGTTTATGCTCGGAGCGTTTAGCTCCATCCCTGTGCACGTTGCGAAGCGCTTCGGTATGCTTTTGAGCTTTGGCACATCGTCCCTGTTCTTCTATGTAGTCCACCTCAACCTCGTCATGTCTCCTCTGGGCACGTTGCTCAAAAACCTTTTTGGCACTGAAACCGGTCACGGAGATCCTATGCATCCAGGAAACACCAAAGGCATCGCCAATCTCTTTGTTTATTTCATCTTCTGGTGTCTTTTGCTTCTCATTATGTGGCCAGCCTGTTTTTATTATAGTCGTTTCAAGAGCACAAGGCACGCAGACTCTTTGTGGAGATTCTTTTAAGGAAGTGTTGTGGTTAAAAAGCGGGAAAGAAATAGCATTAGTCTAATTGATATAGATGGTGGATTCGTCAATCATGAACAAATATATAGCAAAGTGCGTATCCTCAGCAAAAGACTGCGCCATATGTATGCATCCCACATTAGAAGTGAATATATATGGAGAGAATATTTATCATCAAAGTCGTCGTAAGTCGTTATTTCCTTAGCCTGTACCTTTGCAGCCAACCGCCCTCTTTTTTCGGTGGATTGCTCTCTCTTGTGCTTCTCATGGCTTCTTCTCTGAGTTGTTGTTGATGCTTCTGCTCTCGTAGCTGCTGTTCTCGCAGTTGCTGTTCTCGCAGTTGCTGTTCTCGCAGTTGCTGTTCTCGCAGTTGCTGTTCTCTCTGTTGCTGTTCTCTCTGTTGCTGTTCTCTCTGCTGCTGTTCCCTCTGCTGCTGTTCCCTCTGCTGCTGTTCTCTCTGCTGCTGTTCCCTCTGCTGCTGTTCCCTCTGTTGTTGTTCTCGTTGCTGTTGTTCTCGTTGTTGTTGCTGCTGTTTGTGTAACTCTTGCTGCTGCCGTTGCTCCCACCTCTGTTCAGCTCTTCTCAGTGTTGCAGCCGCATCCCAGTAGTCTCTCTTCTCAGCCACATTTCTAGCCAATTCGCCTCTTCTATTCTGGATCGTAGGATTGGCTCCCAAATCGCGTAATGCGCGAATCACTTCTCGTCGCTCCGAATCTCCATCCTCAGCAGATCTAGCAGCATAGTGAAGTGGCGTTCTTCCATCAGTGGTCTGGCAGTTGGGATCAGCCTTGCCGCGCTCGATAAGCATCTCTACTGTGGCAGCAGTTGAATAACGCGCAGCCAAGTGAAGAGGCATACAGCCACCATCAGCACGAGCGTGAACATTTGCGCCATGATCAAGAAGATACATGGCGACGGCCATGTGGTCACGCTCGACAGCGAGATGCAGTGGTGTCAGTCCATGGGGATCGCATGAGTCGGGAGGCGCCTGGCGCATGCAGTTGGCCACAGTTTTGACGTCGCCTTCCCAGGCAGCATCCAGCAGGACATCTTTCGCATTCGGCGGTGGATTTGTATTACGCGGATCAAGGCCCGTTGCGCTTGTATTGGCAGAGCCATGGGACTGAGGCGGCGGCTCAACTGATGGTTCTGAACGCGGAGGAGTCGGCGGATTTGGGACGACTTTTGGAGGATTCCCAGTTGCTTCAAAATGCCCTTTGGATTTAGGGGACAGTTGTGGTGATGGGGGAGGTCGGTTGGGTATTGAAGTTGTCGGCTGCTGCATCGGTATTGATGTGTTTAGCGGAGGGTTCATCCTTGCCGCCGTTTGAGGGGGAGTAGATGCATTTGGTGTGGCGATGCCTGGTGACGGTCTTTTCAAAGCTCGACTGCTGTTTGTTAGGATGTGCCAAGTAACTGAAGGGAGGGGGATAGACGAACGCGTAGATATTTGACATGAGGGTACCAAGTTGCAGTAGCTGTTGTTGCAACTCAGCATCGGCGGCTTTAATCTGCTCCTCACCCTCGTTCTTATAATTGTATGAATGCCAAAAGCCTTCCAAGCGTCCAAGAGCTGTGCTGTCCTGCTTTGCAGCTCCAGAAAAGCTCGCCAGCAATTTCGTCATTTTCTTCAATGTCTCACTAGTGCTCTCGATGGCGTCTTCAATGTGAGACTTGAGGACCTGTCCTGATTCGTCCTCAATAAGGTCTGGCCTGGCCTCTAGGCACTCTTTCATTTGCTGAATAGTGTCACGCGTAGTGGATATCCGAGTAGAGAGGGCGCGAATCTCGTCCGGGGCGTCGTTTACGTCGTTGAACCACTCAACCCATTCTTTTGCCTTGTCGGCATGCTCCGAGAGCGCACGAATTCCCGCATATGTTGCAAATGAAGTTGGGAATTTGCTGAAGAAGCTGTCTGAGCCTCTGCGCTCGTGCTTCGGACGACGAGAGGGCGATGTTGGTTGTTGGGCAGAGCTTGGCTGAGAATGAGAATTTCTATCGTAGCCATCTACGGAAGCGGAGCGATGTCTATCGGAAGCGGAGCGATGGTTATCGGAAGCTGTAGATGGTCTCTGATAGGGAGAGCTGCCTCGCTTCGCAGGTTGCGGTCTATTATTCGCCGATGCTGAAGGCGGATATCGTCGGGCCTCCTGCCGAGCCTCCCTTGAAGAGTTGTTCCATTCAGATTTGGGAGCGAGATGTGGAGAGGACGGAGGTACGCCTGTAGCTACTGATCCATGTCGATCACGCCGTTCATGACTGCCACTCCGTTGCGATCGTGAAGGCGCTGGCGACTGAGGTTGGTGCGTCATCTCTCGTGGTCGAGGAATTTCCGAAGAGGAATATCGTCGTCGAGGAGGCGATCGGGACTGGTGACTGCGGCGAGCATCTCCGCCGCCTGGTATTCTCTGGCGAGAATGAGGCGATACAGAGCCTCGAGATAAGGACTCTCGTCGTGGCGGGCTTCGAGCCCTGCTGGATGAAGCTGATGGGGGCGGCATCGTCGGCCTCTGAACCTCCTGGTGCGACCTGAAATCTTTCGCCCCAGCTTGCCGCTGGAATTCCGGGGTCGGCCGCTCGCCCGCCGAAATAGACGCCCGACGACGCCGTGGCTCGCCCGATTGCTTCACCATATCCTTATGTGCATCTTCGCGACGGCCTCGGGAGAAGAGGTTGGAGCCCATGGCCTTGACAGAGCTCGATCGAAAGGGCAGCTTGCTGCGAGGCATCGGTTCGGTAATGGCATTTCACAGCGGTACAGGATCTTGTTCTGGAAGGTATTGCGCGTCTCGTGTTGTCGACACATGCATGTGTTTGTATAAAGGTTGACAGAGGAGGAGGGAGAAGAAAAGGAAGGCCGCGGGCCCTTGACTCGGCGCTTCAGCTCATCCTGATGCTGTTGCTGCAGTCAGTCAGTCCATAGCCACTGCAGCCTGCTGCCTTCAAGAGCACGAGGACGAATTCGGCATGACGCTATGCGCACGAGGCCAGGCTTTGAAGGTGGGTGAGACGATGTCTAGTGTGGGAGCGGCCAACCAGCCACAGCACAGGGTGGCTTTGCAAACTTGCTATGGGGCAATGCAACAAGCTTGGTCTGAGTTGAAAATAGTGACTACTAGTAGGCACCTCTCTGTCGCAGGAGCGTTGGTTGGAATTGTTTATTGTGACATATCAAAGCAAGAGCCTCATTCCCTGGGCCTTTCTTTTCCAAATTCTCCTCAAGACAAGCACCAACGTGAAGCCGTCGACGAGGGGCTTACAACAGGAAGTACACAAACTTCGGCTTTGGCCGACCGAACAGCGCATATTGTGTAACCTCATTGGGGGCCGATTGGACAATTGGGAATACTTCAAGCACCAGATGCCGAGGCTTTAATTTCATTTTGAATTCAACAAACATTTTGTGCGAGTGCTTCATACCCATCATAATAGGTTGCTTCGTTTGGAATGGGCGTCATGCAAGATGCGCTCATCAAGATCCGTGCAGGTAAGCAGTAGATTCTGCTCTGCCGCTGTCCTTGCAGACACTCTCACCAAGTCAGGGCACAACGGTGCTACAGTTTCCGAATTCCTCCGAAATCGGTCGTGTCCGAGACAAGCAGGTTTCAGCTGTTCGTTCGACGACTTCCAAGGTTATTCCTAGATGATCACGATGACACAGCCACACTTGGTTCGCGTACCACGGATGATTTGTAGAAAACATCAATGTAAATCGAGTACATATGATCGCGACTCTACCCCAGTGCCGGTTTCGCAGGATGTGCTTGACTAAGATACGACGAAGATAGTTCCCAGCAGTACATATGGGCAAAGAGAAGATAAATAGTTGTGTTCGCAGCTCTGAACGATGACATTCATTCCAATCAGATGACGCAGTTTTGCGCTACACGATGCAGGGAGAGGGAGTGGAAGGAAACCCCACGTCATCATTCACACGTGCATCAACGTGCAACGGATATGGAGTCACTTATATAGTTCAGCCTATCGCTCAGAGTTCAGCCTCTCCTGTCTCTGATTTTGTGTAGTTACATTCACATTTACACTGTTGCTAGGCACATATGCCTCTACAACTGAAAACCATTCGGACAGCTTGTAATGTGTATTTCGAGCACTAAGATTTCAAGCTCTAGGCTATTAATACTGTTACCCTGGAACTCGGTAAATATTGTTGCCTGCGTACCTGTAAGCTGCGAAACGGCCAGTGTTGTGCAAGTTTAGTTCCAAAAATGATAGTCTATCGCTGTCTATCTTATAACTCAAATACAATCTTTACTCCGTGCGCTTGTTTGCACTTTAAATGCCCTCCGTAAGAAATGGGACAATGGGAGTAGCCGTCTTGTGCGGATCCATAGCAGTGCATATAGCCATTTGCTCATTAAAACGGGGCTCTATTCGGCATAGTTCACGTTCTCATTATTTACTTGAACGACTTGTCTTTCGGCCACGTACTCAACCTATATTGCATATACATGAACAATATACATGTACTCAATTACTGGTTATTTCTCTACTTCATGAGATATTTCAGCTGGTCAAATCATTACCTGCATACGATGGCGGTGTCAATTTTCAGACCAACCCGAAGCTGCCCCTCAACTTGGCGACGACACTTCTCAGCCTCGGCTGCCCGATGCATGACTGCCTATGATAGCACAATCTCAAACCTGAGACTGGATAAAAACACGGCTGTAGTATATCAAGGTAATAAATGTAGTAGCTTGAATTTGTGTACTTTACTTATATAATATGTAGGGTTTACAGGGAAAGCGGTAAATACGAGACCCCTCACTGTTGTGAAATGTCATACTAATGACCAGATGATCCATGAAGGCGACTGCAAATGCCAAAGATACTATTGCATATGGCACCCGCATAGTGGGAGGCATATCACCTGGCAAGGGAGGTTCTACGCACCTTAATCTACCAGTCTTTAATACCGTCGAGGAGGTGAGCACACCCCCAAACTTTTGTCGCACCCCTGGGGTATCGTGTTCTCATGCTATTCGCAGGCCATGAAAACGGTCCGACCTCATGTGAGTGCTGTTTTTGTACCGGCGCAGTTTGCAGCCAAAGCCATCATAGAGTCCATAGAGGCTGAAGTTCCACTGGTTGTATCTGTGGCGGAGCATATTCCAGTGCATGACATGCTACGGGTACATGAGATACTTCGTACACAGAGCAAAACTCGGCTCGTAGGACCAAACTGTCCGGGAATTATAGCTCCGGAACAGTGTCGAGTTGGCATCATGCCGTATAAGCAGTACCAGAGAGGCTGTATAGGCATTGTATCCAAGTCGGGGACTTTGAGCTACGAGGCTGTGGGTGCAACGTCCGCAGTTGGACTGGGACAGAGCATAGTGCTAGGTATGGGAGGTGATTTACTTCCAGGTGAGAATACCTGTAACTATTGGTGCCCAAACTTGACATTGTGGCTAACACTGTGTAGGTACCACCTTAGCAGATGGCCTTCGACTCTTTTTTGACAATGAAGAGACGAAAGGTATCATCGTAATAGGTGAAATTGGTGGAGAAGCCGAACTTAGAGCAGCTGAACTCATCCGAGAATATCGACAATCAACTCCTAGCCCCAAGCCAATTGTAGCAATGGTAGCCGGGAGGACGGCTCCACTGGGAAGGATCATGGGTCATGCGGGTGCTGTGCTCACCCCCCGGGATGTACCTGCGGATATCAAAGCAAAGGCACTTGAGGATGCTGGTGCAGTGGTAGTCCCGCATCCAGGGGTCATGGGCGTTACAATGAAGCGGCTGCTTGAGATAGATTTAAAGAAATAGCTAAGTGATTGAAATACGAACATCAAAACATGGCTAGCTTAAACTATCGGAAATGCATAAACAGGTGCGCGAAACAGAACAGAAATATGGAAATATGCCAGAATCTCTAACCCCCTGGACCTCGCCTTCTCTTGATCTTCTTGTGGACTTCATCCATATGGCGCTTGGCATTGTCTGGCCGCTCCAATATGACCCCACACATCTTGCACTTGGTTCGAATTGGAGGACGGCCGGTACTCTCAGCCCAACTTTGGTGGTGACTCCAGATGTGCTTCTCAAGATCCTTTTTGTACTGGTAACGCTTATCACAACCCGGATGAAGAGGGCATTGCAGCTTCTTGTCGTGCCATCCCAAATGACGACTGCAAGAGTACCTGGAGTTAGTCGAGTTCTCTATCATCTCTCATGTAACCGACAGTATAATATGGATGAAGTACCATGAAAGCATCATCGTGATACAAAGAAAAGGTAAAACTTACTTGAGCTGATAATTCTTCTCAAAAGACTTTGAGCATCCATCTCTATCACACACAAAAGGCAAAGCCACGGTTGGAGACCCAGTTGGAGGTATCGAGTCGGCCTCAGCCCCTGAAGAAGGAAGGTATTCCACCAAAGTACCTGCAGTCAAAGGTCCAGATGTGTCTAAATTCATGGCATCGAACTCATTCTCAAAACTCTTATCGGAAGACGAGAAATCAGAAAAAGAAAAAGAAAGGGGAGACGAATTGTCAAGAGCAGCCATGTGATCCTCTGCTTCGTATAAATCATTGCTCGTTTCACCAGTTGTTCGCTCTTGGACTCCAAAAGGCGAACCTGTTGGTAAGCCATTCAGAATCTAAGTCTCGTCATGGGAGCGTTGAATTCCGGAGAAAACGGAGGGGACATAAGCGTCAACGGAGGGGCCTGTCGGTATACCTAAGGCAACCTCAGGGGGCGTAAGATCCGAGCTTGGTAACATGCTTGGATCGGGGGTGTGCAAGGCAACCTCAGGGGACGTAAGAGGCAATCTTTGTAACATGCTTGGATCAAGGGTGGACCCAACTACCCATTCCTGTGGCATGTACGCATTGTATCCCGTAGATTGATTCGTAGTTGCATTTGCTACAGCCTCCGAGAAGCCAAGATGCTCTTCTCCGCATGTCTCATTCCCTAGGAGGGGATCGGTGGCGCCGGGTCTAAAAGGACCTTTGCCGTCCGGGTCCATTCTGAATATTTGTGTTTATGGCCGCCACTCTAACATGGATCCTCGGGTTCCTGTCATCGGTGTATAAGAATATGTCGCTCGATGTTGCCAATCACGGCGATATTTTGATCCACCTCTGTTGCTGCTGAGATGTTTGGATAGAGATTGAGTGGGTAAATTCGGTCCACCCTTCCGGTGCTACTGGCTATAGTGCCGATGCCAGTGGCGTGCTGCCCTTAAGAAGACTGTAGTAATCCAACTGATTGAGTGGCACACCCTCTACATGCACGCAGCAGTCTTATAAAGAGCGAATTGGCAATAAGTATTCAGCTGAGGAAGACAGCAGCACAGTGTATGCTCACCAGATTCTGTATGAAAGTATCTTTGATGCTGCAATCAAGGGAGATGCTGGAGAATAGACTGAAAAATTAACAGATGCAAAAGTCAGCATGGACCAAGCTAGGGAATTAACAAGACAAATACCGTCTATATGAATCCCTTATATTGAGAATGGGAGCTATATCGAAAGCGGAATCGAAGAAGCAGAGTGTTCTTAAGTGCGTTTATGCTGTATATCAGAGCACACCAATGTAGTTTCCGTTTAGTTCTTCGTCATGCCAGAGTGTGTGCTCCGTATTCGACACAATAACCTTAGTCGTTCTCCCAGGCTCGTTGGGATGGAAGATGGGAATCCTAGCTTCTTTGACGCGGGTGGCCCACGAGCATAAGTAAATAAATCCTTGTTAAGAGCGGAGTCCTATTTGATAGCAGTGGAGACATATCCTTCAAGATGAGGGAGGCAGATGGATGCTGATAGGTTGACGTGGCTTGCTGGTGTTGAATTCGCCCAGCAATGTGAGAATCTACGTCTACCCAGTGTTTACTTGGCTTGTTTCCCCCCCATAACCGATCAGAATGCCTTGCATTGCATCTCGTGTCGGTGCATATCTGCCCAACATGCTCCCCAGATACAAAACCATGTTCTTTCATTCAAGCAACAAAGGCTGCAATGCCTCATTTGTGCGCCATCAGCCAAACATGGGCCAACACATGTTACCCCTGCAAGCTGCCGCTGGATGAAACCAGGCGCTTGCATAAGAAGCCCGCAAGGCTTGCAGGCTTAATTCTGTAGGCCACCCACAGCCGTAGACCTCCCACAGCCCAGTCACCCAATAAGACGGGCTCGATTAATTCGATGGGATTCTGTAGACCCCATCACAGCCTGGCTGGCCCAAAGGCCCCGTTTGTCGATTGTAGGCCGCCCAGACGTCTGAGACGCGAACGGATTACGGTCACATAGAGGGAGGCCTACAGGCTGACTGAGAGGTGAATTGTGTAGCGTGGCATCCAATGATACGACGGGAATCCCCATGTCGGCCCAAATCGCATTTTGTACGGCCTCTCGCCTTGAAATCATGTATGATGATGCCACACAAGAATTGTTCGTGTCTGGGAATTTGGAAGCGGCTTTCGACTGATTTAAATAGAGATGCTCGGATCAACTTGAATCGTACAATAATCGACAACAAGGATTCGCATCCGCATCAAGATCATCAGCCGCGAGACAAAGTGTCGCAAACATGCCATCAGCTACTCGTACTTAACATGTCAACCCACCATAATATATTCCCTATGCTAATTATTTATGCCTTGAAGGTACCGGCGCCGATATGGCGAAGCCCATCCCATTGCGCGCAAAGCTCGCCCGGCGCTTCTACGAGCCTATCCTCCTCGAGGTAGCTTTGAAGAAGATTCGACCGCAGCAGAGCTTCTCTGCCACGCAGCACGAGCCCAATACAATGAGAGATAACGTCGACAGCGCAGAACAGACTTTTAAGTGTTTTGTCAACCGGCTTGCTCAAGTTTGCGACAACAAACGCGGCGAGAACGGATCTACTGTTACCGGCATTGCGGTGCTGGAAGAACCCGAGGGTGTTCACTATATCATAGGGTCTAACAACCGCAAAGCATCAAAGTTGCCCGAGGTTAAGCTCTTTGTGGAGCAGCTACTCGAAATTGTAGCAAAATCTACAGAGCAACCTGCGAGCAATGGATCTCAAGTACACAGAGAAGCGCTGTGGCATATCCTCAAATTCGACGGAAACCGCGTCCGATTTTACCTTACCAGTACTATCGTATATTTGGAGGAATGCATTAGTGACTATGATAGGCGACATGGCCAAAATTCGTTGTGTGAGCCACCCCATTCGCCGTCATGAGTGAGAGACTTGGCTTATGTGTCTTTATAATCGGCAGCATCGGAAGCCGCAAGGTTTAAATCTCAGCTTTCTAAACTCACAGAATTGGTCAAGTTCGGCAACGACAAACAGCTGGAGGATCCGCAATGTACGTCGATTTCCCTGGAGCTGCTGGAGTTTAACCCTATTACTGACAAAGTCGTATATAGACTTTGCTGCTTGTGAAAAACTCTTCTTATTCCTTCACGAGGCTCAACGTCGGAAATTTGGAGACTCGATTTCAGAGCAAGCAAGAGAAGGCGAGATGGACAACTCCAAGCCGTGGTTGGAGCTTCGCCACTTCGTTGGTCGCTTGCATTCATATTACCTCGCTGTCGAAACAATAATTCGCGCGAGCCGGCTCTGGGATCGACTGTTCCACGAGATCAAGGTGACGGTAATTCCATCAGCGACTATGATCCCGCATCCGTTAAACAAAAAGCGACCAAACGCATCCGAAATAATTGGAAGAATGAGTTCTTCCGCAGAAATAATAGAAAGACACCGGTCTATGGCTGAACAGCTGCAAGTTCTCGATTTGGATGTAAAGATTTTGGAGGGGTGCAACTCTGCCTCCCTGACACACATGGTTCATGCTGAAGTTCTTGTCCTGGACTACGTACTGAACTACCTGCGTGACAATGCTGATGTCGAATTCTGGCACAAATGGCGATATGTCGGGAGCAGCAAGCCAACTTGCCGTCTTTGCAATTACTATTTCGAGAAACATCCAGAGGGAGTGCAAGCTCGCGAGTCACACAACAACCTCTATCCTCATTGGCGCGCCCCTGATGTTTTTGACAAGAAGGCCATGGATGCGACAGAAGGGCTACTAATCGAAATAAACAAGAAAATCAGAGTAACTGCGGCACGATTGCTTGAAGATCAAGTATTGCAAGGCAGAAAGCATGATTCCAATTCGTTCTCCAAACAACCGTGGCGAACGGATCAGAAGACTGACCCCAGTGACCTCACTTCCAGAATGGGAGGCTTGTCAATCGGAAGTGTGTCGATTCCTAATACCATTGAAGAAGAGGACAAACGAAGCCCTGCTGGAGAACCAGACGACGAAGAAGAGGAGGGTGGCATAATTGTGTTCCGTGGACGTAAGACGCGCCCGTCTCGAAGTTAAGAGTCGCTTTCATTTTATGCATTTCATGCTACCTCACAAGTCAGAATATTCGCGATATTTTCTATTTAGGAGATAAAGAGGATGAAGGAGATAGGAGCATATTATTTCCCGTGCATTAACGAGATGTCAATTATTATTATGCATCTGCTTGGAGAGATTGCATCTGATGAAAACTTTGCGTAGCTTGCCTATCCCTTAGAATAACCCTGTCAACTTATTGTTCATCTTTTTTCAGTCTGACAAAATGTGATTGTATTGCCAAATGGATCAATCACAGTAACTTCCTGAGAGTCCAGCCCTCCATAACCCTTTTCTATCCCTGGCCTCATGTATCGATATTTCTTAGTGATCAGCTCTTGATGATACTCGACAATTCCTTTTTTCATCATGACGCGAATCTTTGTGCCTGGGGTCCCATCTCCATGATGCTCGCTAAGGTGTAGAATGAGGCTGCCTTTGGAAATTTGACGATACAGTGGCGGTTATCGTCGAAACGGTGATCCCAATCCACCGTGAATCCTGAGAAATTTAGGTAGAATTCGTCGGCTTTTTTGACGTCGAAGATTCGTAAGATTGGAACGACAGACTGGAAATGAGGACTCATCTCGTGTTTAGAGGCTTGGGAATTGCAGATTATCGAAAAGAAAGGGAAGTTGTGATCAAAACTTGGGATAAAGCGATATTTGAAGAAATCGAGTTAACGGACATCGACTTCATGGTGAAGCCAGAAATTGAACGCCATGTCCGTAGCCTACACGTGACAAACCGAACAGATACTAACTATGCCTGCAGTAAGAAAACATTTGAAGCTGCAATATTATCGTGCATTTGCGTCGATAACGACGAGTGCAATTACCAGCTTATGGAATATCACCGCTTTGCATGTTCCTAATTGTCGCTCTCTCTGACCTCTACTAGTGCAAGTGAAACACGAGTGCTGCCCTGCTATTGTGCATACCTCTGAACAGACTACCCGGCGGCATGTTTATGTTCATTGACAAAGGAAAAGAAAAGAGCAACAATTGCACGGAAAGCTGATTCATAAATTAAGCTGCTACGTGAGTGAGATACCGAACCGGTGCACAGAGAAGCAATATCTTGAAGAGTCAACTGGATCAGGCCAAAAACGCCCAAGTCTCAGGGCCGTGTTCGGGCAATGTATGGCCGACTTCGGGTGCGGGGGAGTTGAGCCCGGATAACTCAATTGGGGAGTCGATCCATAATTGAGCTTTGAGGGAGAGGAGTTGATGCGGAGGTGCTGTTTTGGTCAGATCTCGAGAGCGCGTGAGCGGAGATCGATCTCCGCAGTCTTATGATCAACCAACAGCTTGCAATAGTTGTAAATAGAAACGGGAAACCAGATTCAGTAATGCGCACTTAGCCATACTCGTACTTGAAAGAGAAGAGTCAGAATACTATTTGACAGATAGTGCTGTGGCAACGCCAATCGCTGCTATGCTATCGATCACGACCACTCCAATTGTATTCATAAGCACGAAATGCGAGCTGTGCTTAATGATCAAATCGCACTCGTGCCTTGCTTGGGCTTACTAGTAAATATGCTGTTACGAGGGCGGATTACTGTCAGCCATGTGTACGGTACATGCAGCGCCAATTGTAATTAAATGGGCCATGAACAGCTTTCGGGCCATATAGACCGAAGTAACTGATTTCATCGCTGCATAACAGTCTTTAACTGGAGAATATAGTCTCGCAGCCAGCGGTCTAGATTCGAGGTGGCTTTGGGCTTCCAGACGATATCGGACTCCAATGGGCCATTGTCTGAGCACGTGGACATTCTGAGGCATCATGGCATACAACTCCCTGTGGTTATCTTTCTGCCGTGAGCTCCCAACAAGCGTCCACTTAGTAGATGTATATAAAGTCCACGATCATGACAAAAAATATTGTTTGAAGCACTTGAATGACACCCATTGGTAACAGTTAGTGATCGTTAGGCTGACCTCACTCCGCCGAGAAAATGGCCCACATCATCACATTACCCACGTTCAAACAACAGGGTAATGTCTCGCTATCGCACGCAAGGAATATTTCGGAGCGCTGGGTAAAAGATTTCGAGCACGCTCTGCAAAAAAACGACAGAGAAGGTCTCGAAAAAGTATTTGTCAAAGAAGCCTGGATTCGCGACTTGCTCTCTTTTACCTGGGACTTTCGAACTCTTCAAGGTCGCGACAACGTCCTCAACTATCTTCAAAACAACTACAATGCCGGTATCAATAGCATTCGACTGCGTGATTACGGCACGTTCCAGCCTACCTTCAAGAACCCATATCCGGAAATGCAATGGATTGAGAGTATGTTCGACTTCGAGTCACGTCACGGCCGTGGAAAGGGGATGCTTCGACTAGTATTGGATGGTGACGATGCATGGAAGTGCTATTTGATCCATTTCACCCTCCAGGAGATCAAAAGCTATGAAGAGAAGACAGGATTTACGCGCCCAGAAGGTTACGTTGACACATCAGGTGGCAATTGGCAACAGCGACGTGAGAGGCAAAAGGAGTTTCTCGATGAAGATCCAGCTGTGCTCATAGTAGGCGCCGGCCAATCTGGTCTTTCCACAGCGGCTCGGCTACAGCAACTCGGAGTGCCAGCATTAATTATTGAGAAAAGTAGTCGTGTCGGCGATAGTTGGCGCAAACGTTACAAGGTTTGACCCCATGACTATTACATTGGAGGTTATTCTGCACAAACTGACTCCAAGTTATATAGACGCTGATGACTCACGACCCAATCCAATACTGCCACCTCCCATATATCCCCTTTCCTTCCCACTGGCCATTGTTTATGCCCAAAGATAAACTTGCCGATTGGCTTGAAGCATATGCCAGCCTGATGGAGCTCAACGTTTGGTGCGACACGGAACTCCAGAGCACCGCATTTGATGAGACTACAAAAACATGGACTGTGGCAGTAAAGCGACCGGATGGTTCAGTACGAATCATTAAACCAAGACATGTTGTTCTAGCGACGGGAAATGCAGGAGATGCCATCATTCCACATTTTGAGGGTATCGAAAGCTTCAAAGGGGTTGCTTACCACGGAAGTCAGCACAAGGATGCATCGGAACATTCCGACCTCTCTAGCAAACATGTGGTAATAATAGGTTCAGGGACTTCAGCGCACGATCTTTGCCAGAATTTCCATGACTGCGGTGCCGCATCGGTAACTATGCTCCAACGTGGCAGCACTCATGTCTTGACAGCAAAGAAAGGCCTCCCAATGCTTCATTCGGGAACGTATGAGGAGGGTGGACCACCAACTGATGACTTGGATGTCGATAGCCAAAGCAAACCACTTCCTGTTCAGTTTGCACTTAACGTTTTCAAGACAAACGCTATTAAAACAGTCGACAAGGATATCATAAATGGATTGACCAGTGCCGGGTTTGAGCTCGACTTCGGAGAAGATGGAAGCGGCATATACCGTAAATACGTCACTCGTGGAGGTGGCTATTATATCGACGTGGGATGCAGCCAGCTCATTATTGATGGAAAGGTCAAAGTAAAATCTAACCCTGGAGGAATCAAGTCGTTTACACCCGAGGGGTTGCTTCTTGCAGATGGATCTGAACTCAAGGCAGACATAATCATCATGGCAACAGGCTACCAAACAATGCACACCACAGCGCAAAAGCTCTTTGGAGACAAAGTCGCTTCACGGCTTGGAAAGGTCTGGGACTTGAACGAAGAGGGCGAAATAAATTCGGTAAGATTTCTGATATGCCACGATAGAGATGCACTTGATCTAACAAACTTGCTCTTTTGTAGATTTGGCGATACAGCGGACATCCCAACTTTTGGTTCATGGGTGGCAGCCTCGCCCTATGCCGGACATATTCGAAGATGCTGGCATTGCAGATCAAGGCGAGCGAACTAGGAATTTATGAGGCGCCGGGGAAGCAGGCTATGAGCAACGGCGTGCATAATGGAGTTTAAGTTATAAAAAGTATTCATGGTCATCGCTAGCTCTCTATATTGAATTGTTTCCAAAGGACCATTTCAGCCCAGGATATTGTGGGTGTATCCGTAACTTCCGCTAGTGTTCAGAAGCTTATCCCATAATGCTGCTATGACTTCAGTAGTATTCCGCCGCAGAGAGTGTAGTCGGGATTTCAAGTTGCTCTGGATCACCCCTTTCGTTTTGACAAGAGATGATTCCCGCCGCTTCCTATGGCATTGTATTCCGTAAAGCAATATACTCAATTAAAGAATGGACATTTTCCCTGTGGAAACATGCATTCATTAACTTGCTAAACACGGGTAAAGGTAGTACCCTAGGGGCATACCGTGTAAGCACGCGTTCTACCCCGTGTGAAGTCTAGCGGCAGCTGATAAAGCATCCCCAAAGATGCTCAGTTCGCTAGCAACGGAAAATCCGACGTGATATCCAGCGTCCCATTTTCGGATTCTATTCCAGAAGCGGATTTGAATACATACTTGTATCCGGATGACCAACATACGGAAGGGCTGAAGGCGGATTACTTATGTATCAAGACTTGAAGCCAAAATTGGTAAGCCAGCAATCATGATCGCGGAATCGCCTTTCCCTAAAGTATGGGATGAATCACTGTTAACAAGTCTTTTTCATCTTGTGTAGATGAACTAGAGCGCGAGTTTCTCAATTTTAAAGAGAAATCTCAATACCATCTTCTCTCAAACCGGACGCAGTTAATGTTGAGAAGTTTAGAGATGGTTTGTTTATTCCTGTCATTACTCTCCCGGTAAAAGCTTCCGGACTACTGTATTACTCAATTTGACGAGCTTTATTCGTGGTTCCCGGTTCTACACGAGCTCTATATCTTTTATGTGCTGCCAGCGACTTACAGATCACTCACGCACGTGGCCCCAGCCCCCTTATTCTAAGGACCGTTGCGGTCGTCATCATTTCTGCCCTTCCCTGCACTTCCGGTACGATTCAAATACGCCGTAAAAAGTGACTGCTATCTTTGAGCGTGAGATACGGTTAGCTACCATCAATGACGTGTCGCTTGAATCGCTGCAAGCATTGCTCATCCTGACGATCCGCGTACTTGGAGCATCGGGATGAGATTATTGAACTTGTTAATCATGTCACTATTGTTATCATACAGAAGAGGAACACAACAAACATCCGCCAAAATACATACTGGAGATTATATGACTTAGCTTGACTATGATGTGCAGGGTCGACCCCCAAGTCGGGCTACGAGATACAGCCAACCATCACGCAGTAAACTTTAGAATTAGAACTGCGTCAGCGATATCCCTGGGAATAAATATCCTTCAATCTCAAAATGGCTGTAGAAATCGAGGAAAATAAGAGGGCCTTTTGGGTCGCGGAGACGTTGGACTCGACCTCGACGTTAGGAGCTGCCTGGCGCCATTCTCCGCCTCTCCCCTCCCCTCCCCTCCCCCTCCTCTTGGAGCGGGCGGTCTTGGTGCCCTGTAATAAGGATACACGCAAATTCCAGAATCTATTTTTGCGATACGTTTCTTTAGAAATCCAGACTTTCCCTCTGCGTTCTTTCACTTTGTCCGATTGGCGGTTCATAAAGTTTAGCATGTTCACCATCCCCTACGGCAATTCTACAGTCAGGGGCTGACAGTGGATCATCAACAGAGAATATTCCGCTGCAATTCTCTATGTCAACGACAGATGCCGTAGCATGCCACGTTTTGATAGGGATCTCGCGATTCGTTCGCCGTTCGTGGATTTATTTTCGACTTGCGAGGGTGTGGCTCAGCATCCTAATAGCATATTGATTTATAATATCGACAGTAGCGTAATACAACTGGATCAGCATTTCACCTCCTCTGCCAGCGACATCCCACAATGATGATGCCTCTTGGACAGGAGCAGTTGAGCGCTGTTTATCAAGTCGGGATGCTGTGGCTGTTGCCGTGCGAGGCATCAGAGATGCAACGCTTGATACGATCGATCCACATGTGATTTTCTGCGTGCCCATTGCTGCCCATCTCTTTATCATATATGCCGGGCTTCCCTGATCTGCCATTACTAGAGGAGCTCTACTTGCTCATCTATGCACTGGCTGTTTGGAGAAGTCGATGGCTTATTGCCAAGTAGCTTCAAACGGTCGGGAAGCTACTACAGCCGGTAGTCGGTCGGTATCGGCCGGTGCGAATCCGCTTCCCATTGCGCTTTATGATTTGCAGTATCTGTCGTAGGATATACGTGAGGCACTAAGAAAGTAGGCGTTGAGTAAGGACAATGCTTCGGTAGGTTTGGAAACGTGATTTGTCTATTGTTAATGTGAATATTCATTGCCTCGTTAAAATGTCGTCTCTATCATATATGCAAGTTCTCCTTTTTTCGGCTTCGAGTCATCATAAATCTGGGACTGGATCAACTTTCTTGACAACCCTGGCTGGCGAACCAATCGCAATAGAAAAGTCGGGGATCGATCTGGTGACGACACTGCCTGCTCCTATTGTGCATCCCTTTCCAATCGTCAAGCCCGGCATGATGGTGGTGTTGCCTCCGATCCAACAATCATCCCCAATGGTGACACTGCCACCGTACTCGATTCCGCTGCGGCGCGATTGGACTCCGGTCTCGTGTGTTGCACCGAATATTGACACATTGGGGCCGAACAGAACGCGGTTACCGATTGTGACCATTCCGCAGTCAAGAATCACCAGACTGAACAAACACGGGCTGGAGTCAGTCTCCAGCAGCGAAATGTTACTATTGGTTTTACGTACTTGAAATTGGCATAAAAGTTGTCTCCAATCGACGTGTTACACCCATAGTCGACGTTGAAGGGCGTCTCGATGAAGGGGTTCGTGCCGATCTTGCCCAGCATCTCGTTCAGGAGCCTCTCCCTCTCGGCCACTAGGGTGTCATTCGTGGCGTCGTCGGGGAAATAGGTGTTGTACTTGTGCATGAGTCTCCGAGCTCGAAATCTTCCCTCGATGAGTTCTGGAGCTTGAGAGTTGTAACTGTAAGGCAGAGATTAAAATCCGGGAGTCACTCGGCGGTGGCAAAGAGGCGATGGGATTATTTACAGCATCCCTGATATCATCTTTTCGTAATCCTCACACCACGGGATGTGGGTGAGAGTCTTTGCGTGCTCAATCGCAGCCGGGTCTTTTTTCGTGCTAGCCATGACAACGAAGACGATCTTTTTTTTTTCCAAAGTTAAAAATCACCACCAGGTAGCCGGGCTATGAGAAAAGTCTAAGGAAGAGGGGGAGAGAAAGCTGGCTCGAGAAGAGTCCTCCGCAATAATATACCAAATCTCTCTTATGCCAGCGAGGACAAACGTGTTCATAGTCCATGTTTGTTTGCCCGAGCTCAGCGGCGGGGGCATTTGGAGCCAGTCAGCAACACCCTTTCCCCCACCCCCTCTCATACCCGTTAATTCTAGGATGCTATAGTGAAAATGGATCAATAAACTGGATGTTGACAGTGTCCGAAGAACAACCGCTAGCAGCAGGAGGCTACGAATCCTTAGTACGTGAACAAGGCCTCTGTAACGGGAATACCATCTCAGCTTTCGGCCGATCCGGCTGCTCCCCACCACCACTGTGGGGATCCGCAGAGACCATTTTGAGATGAATTTCACTTGTTATACGAAGCACGGGGTTCCCGTCCACTATGAGCGTCCCTTGTAAATCGCGCTACAGGCACTTGGCAGCAGAACTTGTGCTCGTAGCATGTTTCATTGCTGAAAGGCTGCTTGTGCCAGGGCTGAGCCGTAGTACGAGTACAGCACATGGACCTTGTCTGTGTCCCCTTGCCAGTCCTGTCAGCCCTTCTCCGGCCTATTATTACGGCTGAGCCAGCTCAACAGCTCGCTGTGCCGCACGCCCAAAGTCCGATTCAACATGGAGCCCAAGCCTAGCATCCGCGAGCTGTCATAACGCGCTACGAGTTAGTCATTTGTCATAAAAGTGCGGTGAAACAAGGGGGTTATAGCATATCCGCCGGGACCAATCTGCTGGTTCTTGTACTCACCAGCTTCAATCCTTCCGTCGAGTTAGTTCCCTGAAGCCGCACGACAAGTGGGACGGCCAGGGTCATCTCCTGCGCGGCTCCAATGATGGATTCGGCAATCATGTCGCACCTAGTGATTCCTTCACAGTGTCAGTTCCGTTTCTGATAACATGGGGCGTCTCCAAGTCTCCAAGCACACCTCCATAGATGTTTATCAATATCGCTTTTACCCGCTCGTCTCCCATGACGATTCCGAGAGCTTGTATCATCGTCTCCTTGGTCGCCTGACCCCCGGCGTCTAAGAAATTAGCACTAGCCCCGCCGTGAAGCCCAATTGCATCGTTTGTTGCCATCGCGAGGCCTGCTCCGTTGACAATGTTTCCAATGTTGCCTTCCATTTTAATATATACCAGGCCGTGTTGTTCTGCCCTGACCTCATCGTGCACCTCCTGAGTCGTATCGCGCAGACCGAATATGTCTGGCTGCCGCTTTGCAGCATCATCGTCCACCACCAGCGTGGCATCGAGGCAGGTGAACAGCCCGGTGTTTAGTCTTGCGAGGGAGCTTATTTCCAGCAGTGTGACGTCTTTTTCTCGGAATATCTTGTACAAGTTGGTAAGAATATCACCTATATTTGTCTCTTCCACGCTTTCAACGCCGAGAAATTTGGAAATTCGCAATATCAGGTCCTCAGTGATGCCTTCTGAGAAGCCAAAGGTGAATGAAGAACTCCCCTCTCGAAGCACTGTTTCATCCTGGCTAGAGTTGTCGTTACGTTTGGAAATTATAACCACTGGACAGTAATTCTCCCTGTCAATAGTCATAGCCAAGTGCCACTGCTCTTGGTGTACCAGGCTTTCGGAGACCAGGATTTGGCTCACAGTCAAGGAACGGTAACGGATAGTGTCTGAGACGGCTTGGCGGTTAAGCATTCTCGTAGCCAGAGCCAGTCCTTGTTCTGGATTCTCGACCGTCTGGACCCCTCCTCTCAGTCCATCCTCAAAAAGGAGTTTGTCCGGGTGCCCACATAGAACTTGAGCTCTCAAAATGCAGCTTTTACCTAAAGTCTTTACTGCATTCTGAGCTTCAACAGGTGCCTGCACTAATATCCCACGAGGAACTGGAATTTCGTGCTAACGATTTCTTCTTGTAAGCGTTTAGTAATCGCCTTGGGCATAGCTAACGCACAGCTCTGAGTATGTCCTGCGTCTGATAGCCATGTAAGGTGAGACACCTCAGCTGCTTCACAGGCGAGGATCGAGAATTTCTAGTCTATCCCCAGCGTAATCTTAGCGACTCAACCCACCATCAAATTCTGCGCAAAAAGGAGAGAAGCTAGTTGAGTTGTGTTACCAGACCTTTGGTAGTCGAGTCAGGACCCCCGCCCGGATCATCGTGGCCTGACCGAGGTTCATTGAAGCTCCTGACGAGATTCAGTTAATTTGGATAAAAGGCCCAGTCGCCCCTTTGTTCAGTGAAGAAAGGGGAGATAGTTGAAGTGAATGTAATTTTATTTGAAAACAAACTGAACATTTAACGCCTTCTCCTGTAGAACAGTTCAATATGTGTCTCGAATAAGCAAGTAGCCGACTTCCGCCTGATCAGATTCCACCTTACCGGACACGGAGTACATTCTACCGAATATTCCGGCCTCATAAAGTATAGGCTCTGTCACGAAGGTCCCCACAAGCCATTCTGTTAGCTAAGCTCTGAGGCTTAGAGACATTGGGTTACAGCGGATTCCCACTTGGAACATGGCCCACTGTCAACGTGACATAATGGTTTAGCGGTATAAAACATGTATAGATTGAAAACACGGTAAACAGAGTCCAATAGACTAGATTTCAATGTACCGAAAATACAAAAATTCATACACTCGTTAGGTGCAATGATTCCATTGAAAGCATTCTATTCAAACTCATTATTTGACTAGCCTTCAAATTCGAGTAAACTTCTCCAGTTAAGTAAATTGTTAGTTCTATCTATGTCTTTTTGATAATCGAGGCTTTCATGATGATAACTCCATTCTTTTCTGCTGCCACTTCGAATACTTTGCTTTCAGTAGTTTCCAATATGTCCAGTGTTCGTATTTGATACTCCTCGCCTCCGTAAATTGGTGACATGGCCCGATATATGATTTCATCGGGGCCTGTGCCCTCTCCGTGGAAATCTCTCCAGTAGTCTAGCAAGTTGATTACATTCAGAGGCCCGTGTACCACGATGCCAGGGTGACCCTCAGCATTACGAGTCCAGTCTTCATTGTAATGAATCTTGTGACCGTTGAATGTCAGTGCAGAGAACCGGAAAAGGCCAACAGGTGACCACGATAGTTTGCGTATCGGAAAAGCTGTAATCAAGGGGTTAGCCGAGCCAAGCGTCGTATAAACCCAGTCTTGACAAATATATGCTATACTCACCGTTACTATCATTTACTACATCAAAAATAGATGATGCGGCTAGGATGTTGCCGTCGACGCTCCTCAGCGCTACGCCCTCCCGAGCATTAGAATGTAGCACTGGCCGAAATACCCATGACCGTGTATCAACCAATGCTAATCCTTGTGATCCATACATCTTTTTTTCTACTTCGACAAGTACCATCTCGCCGGCGGACCTGCTTGTCTTCGCCACCGCACTGATCAACTTGGTATGCTCTTCCACTTCCTCTCCGACTCTCAGGGGGTTGTGTCTTTCAAACCTCATATGACCACCTGCCCACATCCTCCTTGTAAAAGGGGCGGGTGCGTTAAACGTCCGGTCACTCCCGTCAGCACCAAGTTCAGCTTCGAGATCGTCGGGCGTGAAGTAAACAAGGTGGTAAGCAGGGGGTATTGGTGTGCCCGTAGGCACATTAACCCGGCGCGTGTCGTGGCCGTTGAGGACTGGTCGACCAAGCATTATTGCAAGCTTTTGTACTTGATTCGGGTCGATGTATTGGCTGCGTTTGGTGACTTTGTGCGCAAAGTGCTCTAACAAATGAGACGCTGCTTCGGCAGCTGTTTTGATATGCGGAACTGGGGTCGTTGATACATGACGAATTGTCCGAGAAAACAGCTGCTTTGCGGGCCTCATCCCGTTCTGTAGTCCCCTCATGGCGTCTGTGCTTCGTAGATATCCGGATGATGCGGCAAATTCACTCTTGGATTGTGAGATACAACTATCATAAACAATACCACTCTCAGGGCGGCTGGCATCTGTTGATTTCGCTTCAAGTGTCGAGTCTCTTTACTATTTCACGCCCGAGATATTCGTATTTGATATTCGATTGAGATTGATTGACACGATCGGCTACTTAGTTTTCTCGAGATGCCGACTCTAGTTGAAAATTACCCCAATTTCAGCCATTTTGTAATAAGCTTACAGCGGCCGATTATCCCACTAACCAACACCAGCTGCTAGCTGCTTAAAGCCCTATTCAATTTTGGCTAATTGCATTTATTTTGTCGTGCGTAAACTACATACCTGTAAAGTTCAAGATTGCTGGCGCTAAATTGCCCAAAATTGTGTAAGCGTTCCCGGTTCTTCGTTCAAATAAAGAAAATTAACGGCGAATCTGCGAATCTGTTGAATAATCACGAGTACCTATATCGAAACTTCATCATCCTTGGGTGACACTGATGTTACTCTTCTCACTCCACACTTATAGTAGTACTGCAGAACCGTCGGTCATGTAAAAGGAGGTTGAAACATTGCACAGACCCTCATACCTACTCTATATGGCATTATATTCGCTCGGCTTCAAAGCCGCCGCTTCAAGGCTCTCAGTAACGCCGTCAGCTGGTATGTGCTGTCGTTGAATGTCGAATTAGGGGACGGGATTCCCACATGCGCATGCGACGAGGGCGGGGATAACGCGGTGAGTGCGTAGCAAGACTCTGATAACTGTACGGAGCTCATGTTGTAACAATGGCATCATGGGCTAGCGACATCTCTGTGCCAGATCGCATGAAGATACCATTTGGGAAAAACTTACGCAGCCCCAGCAAGCGAGTCCTGGTGCAGGCAGATCTAAATTAGCCCTGGGAGTTTGGACCAGTCACCGCTAGATCTAGAACCTTGACATGCGCAAGTAAGCAACAGTAGCTCGGCCAACGACTTGACACACGCGTTAGCTCCCGAAATGCTGGCTGCGGCACAAGGCCTGTCTGTTGTGGGGATTAAGTGCCTATTCACGGAGTACGGAGTAAGAAACACCACGGCTACGGTACTACTATAATAAGTTCCAATGCCTGACATCATCGTCTGCCGGTGTCAAATCTTATTATGCCAGTATTACAAGTACAGGGGCTTCCCACGAGGGAGACGGCGTTGTAATTAAGGGGCGTAGCGGGCGCTGGAGAAGATCCAAGCCGCTGGTGCTGCTCTTTAGTGGTCTGTCAAATGGGCATAATTCCATAGGGTCACATACTCTTTTAGAGCGAGGACTGACGCTGAAGCAGCATCTACAGCTTATTCGACAAAAGCGGTTCAGACGACAGGACGCGGAGCCACCTCGCCGGTAAGTAGTTGCGAGAGGCGCATCGCAGATGCAGCAGATGCTACATGTAACCATGCAAACACGGGTGGAATTGGCCCTGTATTTATAGAACATTGGGTACACATGCATAAAACGCCGTTGTTAGTGAGTCTGGCCACACCCACTCGCAGCGACTCTATTACGAATGCACATGTAACGTCGAAGCAAGAACAACAATGCGATGGTGTTGAGGCAGGGATAGAATCCTCCGATCCCAAAGGCTTAATAGACGGAGTTTCCCCGCCTGTAACGAGAGACACAAGACCGATTCCAGTCGCGCGGAGTCACTGCATTTGGAGATTTCCGTCACTGGCCATTTGAGTACAGTACACCCACAATAGGCAATTAGTCGTGTGCCTTGGGAAGCACTTTGCTTGTGAAACCATCGGATTCAGAGATGTTAAGAACAATAGACTCAAATATTATCACCACTGCAACTCTGGATAGCACTGCGAGTAAAGAAAGAGACAAGTGATATCACTACTCACTTCAATAATAGCGTGGCGCACCACTCCGCATTCACTCATGAGCCAATCTGCGATGTCGGACCGGTGACGGATGTGGCTCTGTAGATCAACTCGGCATTTATTTTGAAGCATTTTGAGTGTTAAATGTATTGAAGTGACAGTTTTGTTTCTCGCAAACAATAATTCTTCAATTAATAACTGCTACTACACACACTGCCTACCGCAGCATGGTAAAATGGCCTACCCTACTGTTCATGAAGAACGTGAATTGAGTCGCGTCCTTGAAAGTACACATCACGACCAAGAAGAAGGCTCTGAAGATCCAATACAAAGGCCGCAAACACTGCCCCCAGCTGACCATGGCCGCGCCGCCTATCTTGCTCTTGCATGTTGCACCATTGCACAAGCTCCAATTTGGGGTATTCCAACCTTTGTCTTATCACCATGTTAAATACTGATAGGGTATGACAGGATACTCTGTCTCCTTTGGCATCTTTCAAGAATACTATAGCGATCCCATGCACGGCATAGATGCTTCTCCCGGGGCCATAGCCACTGTGGGGTCTATGCAAATGGGCATCATGTATCTCATGATGCCTGTCATATTCATGATATTGAACAAATATCCGCATCTCCGGCGTTGGTGTGGCCCTGCCGGACTTTTGATCACAATGGCAAGCTTGTCTGCTTCTGCTTTCGTCAACACCATCGTGGGTTTGATCGCCACCCAAGGCGCACTCTACTCAATTGGCTGTGGGCTTCTCTTCAGCCCCATCTCTCTGTATATGGACGAGTGGTTCATTCAACGAAAGGGACTCGCCTACGGAATCATGTGGTCGGGCAAATCATCAGTTGGTGTCGCCATGCCTTTCGTCTTCAGCAGCTTGCTACGCCGCTTTGGTCTTCGCGCAACGATTCTTTCGTGGACCATAGCTTCTGCCATTATGATATTACCAACGCTCTTCTTTCTCAGTCCCCGTATTCCACTGTCTTCTACGACCCGTTCCCGACCTCTCTCGTTTGCGTTTCTCCGGCATACATCGTTTTGGATGATGCAAATTGGAATCATCATTCAATCTCTCGGCTATCTCATGCCAAGCACGTATCTAGCCAGCTACGCCTCCGCCATTGGTCTTTCTTCAGTAACGGGTCCCATTCTACTTGCATTATTTTCTACGGCATCGGTGCCTGGATCATTGGTTCATGGCTGGTTGGGAGATAAGCTTTCAGCGACCAAAGTGATCCTCCTTTCATCCTTTGGAAGTGCCCTCCCTGTTTTCCTTCTCTGGGGACTTGGCCATCAACTTAGTACCATGGTTGTTTTCGTCGTCCTTTATGGCTTCTTTGCTGGAGGGTTCAGTTCTACCTGGTCTAGTATGTTGCACGAGATCAAGCGAGAAGATGGAGCTGCAGAATCCTCCCTTATCTTCGGTCTTCTTTTGGGAGGTCGGGGACTCGGATATATCCTTGGTGGGCCAATCAGCGGCTCACTTTTGTCTATCAAGGGGGCTATTGCAGAGGAACCGTTGGGTTATGCCACCAAGTACGGTCCCATGATTCTCTGCACCGGTATTACTGCCGTCATGGGAGCCTGGGCTCCTTTGTGGAAGGGGGCGAGGATCGTGAGTAAAGAGGGACTTACAACTTGCTCTCATTTATTCACGACAGACTAAAGGGTAAGAGGACTATGCAATGTTATCGCAAAGACATATGTGCACTAGCACCACTGGCTTCATGAGCCGTAAAAAAGGTAAAGGTAATGGTGGTACACAGAGTTGGCTAGCGCATCCTTGTGACGAGTTTTCTTCTTCTATTTCGCCGTTTTCTCGTCTATCTCGACACACGCCCAAGCATCTGACTCGGGTAGATTCATGCGGTTACTACTTATAAGTGCTATTAGCTACAGAAGCCCTTTTTAGGGTTTTGCGAAAAAAGACATCGTTCGTTCACTGTACCTCTAATTCCGGGTCTCAGCTCCATCAACAGGGTGGCTTGACTACAGAGCCTTGTTTAGCAAGGCAACAACAGATTCCAGAACAGTTATATCTGTATTTAACGTCATTCACTTTATCGATATCTAGTTTTATCCCACATTGAACTGACTTCGTAGCTGACATTGTTCTGTAAAGGAGCAAGTGCGTAAAGTCCGGTCTGCATGATGGACAAAAGTTGACGCGTGTCCACTAGCAACTCATTCCGGTTGGTTTGCACACCATGACCGACACGGTTATATCTCCTAGCTATCGATAAAGCAGCCTACCCAGCCTTCAGGGAATCTGATAACTTCCTGCAAACTGATAACACTAATGCATTAACATGGGGGAGGGTGGATCTAAGAGCTAGATTTGCTGTTGGTTGAGTTCCCTGAGTTTATTATTCTCCGTACGGCTCCGTGCTGGGGCAAGGGTAGTGTGGGGAAGATACCTCCAATTTGTTCAACCAATGCCGACAAATGGGAAACAGTTACAGTTGCTGTAACTACAAATATCTTCTTAATAGTGCTAAAAAAGTCATAGAAGAAGTTCTCTCGTCTTTGTCAATTACAGAGGCGACAATATGAGCAGCTGAACTATTTTCTCGCAGTCGAGGAATATTTGAAGGAAATTATCTCGATACAAGAGGGATTGCTGAGACTTATCTCAAGAATAACACGTGTGACTAATTCACCCATATTTCAGAGCATTACCCTATTAAGTATTAGTGAATGTATCAAGTAAGGGTATGTTTATATGATTGCCTTCCACTTCCTACTGACATTTAGCCACACCTCAACGGCAGATCGCTCTAACCAGCTTAAACTTGTTGCGCTTGAAGACGATGTGTATGTCGAGTTATTGAGCTTCGTGGTCATCATTAAGTGGATTAATGAATGGCAAAAGACAAGACACTCTAGCCGGCTAATTGGATCATCTCGTAACTTGATGTTGGTGGGAAGGGATTAAATCATCAATTATATGGAAATGAAGTGCCAAGTGTTTCCACATGGTTGCTGAGGGTTGAGATGTAAGTACCAATATTCTTAATGCTAAATGTTTCTTCTCACTAATTATATAATTTACTCTGATTTATGTCCATGACATTGATGTTCCGCCACCAAACAACCGCGATGAAGCCACCGGCCCACACTGCCATTGCTATAGCCAACAATTTCCCTTGGGTATCTTCGTAAGCATGCTGAATGGCGATGCGTGTCTCAGAACCAATGTGATATGAGAGCTGGGTAGATAGATCCGCATAAATTTTGGCCACATTTGGAAGCTCTTCTATCGGAACAAACTCCATTAGCTTCCTGCGGAAAATGTTCTGCCAAACTGTTGATGCAATGGTTAAACCGATTGCTCCTCCAATATTACCAAATAACCCTAACACAGCCAGACAAACAGCCGCGTCATGATTAGGGGCAGCAGCCAGAATTGCAACTTCATCACAAACCATGATGACGCCAGCAGCGACGGAAATGAAAATCTGAGACACAACTATGTATCCAATTCCACTTTCACTATTTCCATAATATGACATTGATATTAAACCCAGAAGACTCAATGGGACCCCTACATAGAGGCACACTGGCTTGAAATACCCAGTCAGGTGAATTAGGGCGCCAACGGTGATGCTGCACAAGACTGAAAAGACGGTATATAACTGCACCACATAGCTTGCGTTTTCGATACTGAGGTTGTTCACAACTTGGAGATACGAGCTAAAGAAGCTATTCCAACACCAGAAGCTAATGAATAAAGCGGAGGATAGAATGCAAGCGCCCAACACGGTGCGATCAAGAAAAATTGAATATGACACGAAAGTGATAGTCGCATAATATCTCTCCCATACCACAAACAAGATAATGAAGAGACTTCCGGTAATTGACAATGCAATAGCAGACATCGAATTCCAGTCTTGTAGTGCGTAGAGGTTGAGTGATACAAGAAGTAGTGCAACACCTGTTGATAAGAGAATAAGGCCAATAGCATCGAATTGTCGAAAATAGTGGAGAAATGTTCGTAGAAGACTACGACCACTATCACTCTCACTCTCACTCCTTTGAGGTATGCCCATTTTCTTGAAATTGAGATAACTCAACAAAAGGAAGAAAAGTGGGAGCGTGATAGACGGCACGAGAATCGAAAACAAGCCAAATGCCCAACGCCAGCCTGGACCGTTCATAAATCTTGATGATATGGGGCCAGAAAGCCAAGACGTAATAAGATTCGGGGAGCTGACTATGGCTTGCACCAGGCCCCTATTGCGCATTGAAGAAGTGTCGGCAACAAGTACAGTCAGGCTATAGAGAATGCCGTTGTTTCCAATAGTCTGGAAGACTTGAGCAGTGGCATAGCCTTGGACGCTGTTGCAAGTACTCATCATAACGAGGCCACTCGTAGCGATAATGATGCAGAAAAGAAGTCCGTGAGCCCGGCCAAAAATATCAAGAATTTTAGCGAGAGTAAGGTTGGTGACACCACCAATCACACTGCTTAAGATACCGACAGCAGGCGTAAAAGAATGCTGGGCAAAAGTGGAAGTGACGTAAGGTGTTAAAATTCCGGTGGTAGCTGATAGAATTCCTTCGACGAAATAGGTGAGCCAAATAACAACGTAGGCGAGCACCAGAGCACTCGTATTCCATGGCGCATTTACAGCTTCGAAATCCTCAATATCCGAATCAATATCAGAAGAAATGGAAGATTCGTCATCATTATCAACGACGAGACCATCGTGATTGTAGTGGGAACCAGTATTGTTGAGGAGATTCACACGTTCGTCATCGAAAAGAACAGTTTGGGGTAGATGGCTGACTGGAGCAGGAGGCGATGGCACCATGACTTGTCAAGAAAGTTGGAAGTTTCAGCAAGATTATACCAGTTCAGAGATAGTAAAATTTTAAAGAGAGTGTGAATAGAAACTATGTTTGACTTTTCAAAATTTTGGCTCAACTTTGATGAGCTGATATCGCAGGACAGCCGCCAAGTCTTCTGCCCTAAGGAATGACCGACCCATTGCAGGAAAATTGGCGCATAACAGCAGCATGGCACTTCTTGACTAGGACTAATAATCCTTGTAGAGCAAGTTTACAAAGGAACTTGCTCATATGACAATCATCATTCATCGCGAGCCCCGGTAGCCTATGATAACTTGCTCAGTATGCAAGGGTATGGAGAGGATTATCTATCCAGATCCAGAAATGGAAGACCATCTTTCGTGATGCACAGTAGAATTTAGTACTGCTATATGATTAAGCAAGATAAGTGATTTGACAAAAGACCTGAAAAATCACGGCTTCATCAAAGCTGTATACATTGTCCTATGTAGCTATGTAGTCCGGTGCTGTATACGAATACGCCAAATGGCCAGAGTTGTCAACTTTGGTGTTTCAAATGCATAATTAAGACGTTAAACTCCAGTTATAAGGTCAAAACCCATCTCAGTATGTTACCCGCATGAACAATGCTTAAATTTAATGGCTGGAACCTACAAGAGTTGCATATTTCGTAAACTCCTCATCGTTCATTAACATCTCCAGTTCCTCAGGGTGTGTACCCATGACCAGTTCCACGCCTCCATCTTGTTTCATTGGAAAGATGACCAAGAATCTAAATCGCCCATTTCCGCGCTCAAGTTGTGGCCGCATAGACTCTGGGGAGCCTCCATTGGCGAAAAATTGGTCTCCAAAGCAGATCTCACTAGTCTGGAATAGCATCATGTTGGATATCATGGCGTGCATATGTTCAAGACCCATATTGGCAGTTGAGAACCTTGTATGATCTGGAAGCGATTGCAGTATTGAAAATGCATCATGAACAACCGAGGGTGTAATGCTCTTAGCAGATTGACGAAGCAGATACGCAACGTCTCCTATACTGGTCTTCGGAGAACAGAGTGTTTCGACTGACATACTGGACCGATTCAAGATGAGTAAGCTGCCCATGTATGTTGAAGGCAACAAAGAGGAAAAATAAGGGCGACCATCAGTAGGTAACTCGAGAATGGATATGTCGTTAGGTCCAAAGGCATCTTTGCGGATTTCTGTAGCCACGCGATACCGCGCCTTGATGGCACTGCGCCAGAAGAACGCTTGTACAATGTCGCTAATCGAGCATGTCACCCCCTTAGCTTGGCCATCAGGGACGCTGTTCTGTCTCAACTCTTCCAATTTTTCGGGCGAAATTAAAAACAAAGTCGTTTTCAAGCTTCTTTCAGCGCGAGGTAATGGCCAAATAGGATGGAGAGTGAAGTTGAGCTGAGGCAAGAGAGCTGTTTCTTTTGAACCTTGCGTGGAAATTGGATTCTCGTCTTTGCCCATTTTTGCCGTCTCCTTCGTAGCCAAGATAGCAGTTTGGCTTTTACCATCGTCTGGGGGGAAGAATGGTAGATACCTCCATGTAAATGGGTCGATTTCATGAAGTGGTCGGTCCCAACCCTCTTGCTGATGAATAATCTCCGGCAAGCTGTGATTGAAGCTTTCGGGGTCATACCATTGACATGTTGCTGCCTCGTTGCCTTGCAAATATCTACAATTTTCGGCCCAAGCTTTGATAGCAACCATGGCTCCAACACCATCAAGACAGCAGTGATTCAAGTCAACTGCTAGAATACATCCGCCAGAGACAAAGTTGGCCTGGCCGACGAAGATATCGGCGGGCATTTTTGGGAATGGATCGTCTCGTAAGACAAGACCGTCTTTAAAAGCAGACGGTGGGAAGCCTGCATCTCGGAGCTCGTCGAATGACGGGAGAATATTGGAGAGATCCTTGTAGACTAGACGATTTCGTACAGAAGCTGCCATAGAGTCAGGTGGGATAGTAACACAGAGATTCCCTCTAGTATAACCAATCTCTTGCTCAGAAGAGTTCATAATCTTGCCACTCAGGGCTGGGATTAAGTCGAATGTACAATTGAGGCCTTCTTGTAAGTTGGCAAAGACTTGGTCGTAATCAACACCTTTATGTAGGGAGAAATAGAAGACCAAGCCCATGCCGTGGTTAGGATTGACATAGTCGAAGGCATTCAGTCGAAACGATTGCCGCGCCTTGTGTTTGGCAATTGCAGCCTTCAGCTGAGCTACATCGCTTTCCATAGGCTTTTCTAGACGGTTTGCTTCCGTCATAATCTTCTCTTCAGCCACCAGACGCAAAATAGCTGAGGCGAGACTGGCTATACTTGGATTGGCGTAGACGTGACGAGGAGCAATCCGTTCACCTAAGCCTGAAGCTGCTCGGATCGCCCTGATAGCCGCGAAAACGCCAAGAGAGTCCAGCCCAAGATCAAATAAGTTCGTATCTAGGGATGCTGTTCGGGATGCGGGGAGTGAAGACGCGAGGATTTCACGAATGCCGCTCTGAACTGACTCAGCCGAATCCATATCGAAAGGGTAGCCATAGCAAATATCGTCATTACGAGAGCTGTAAAAACGTTCGATATAGTCGGCGTAGAGCGTTAGTGTAGCAGATCTCTTTACGGTGCCCTTATCTGTACGAATAAAAGGCGCATTAGGATCTGAAAAGGTGACAAAGTCCCTGAGAAGTTGGTCTTTGTGTCGGGAGATGGAGTTGGCCTTCTTCACGGTTTCCCATATACTACCGATAAGTTCGTCAGTTTTATTCGAAGGGTCTTTTAACTCGATCAGTAGACCAGCTTGAGGTTTCCCTGTTCCGAAAATAAGACAACTCTTAATGGCAGGATGTGTGGCGATGAAAGCCTCTGTTTCCAAAGGCGCTACCTTATACCCATTGGACAGGACGACAAGATCATCGCTTCGCCCTTTAAAAGACCACAGATTTGGTTTCGTTGGGTGCCTCACATATAGATCCTTAAAGTTGATCGACTCCTTCTCTGGGAAAGTGTGAAATATGCCCTGGAAGAGAGGCCAATGTTCGTTTCGATGCACCCAATGCTCATAGGTATTCTCCTCAATTTCCTTGAATTCGAAACCAGAGTACGGGTGGAAGCAGAACCAGAACCAGTCTTCTCTCGATGTGACGAGGTTGCCAATAAATAGACCCTCCGTGGTCCCCGTTAGGTTCAACACTCTGATTGTCTCATTTACTTTTCCAGCGCTGACTGGGCTGACAGGACCGCCAGAGGCACATATAAATTTGGACCGGCTCAACTTGGAAAGGACTTCGGGTGCTTCTCCCAGCTCGTCCACAAGAGACGGTACCATGCTCCAGATGTCAACCTTGGCCTTCTCGGCCAGTTGTTCTACAAGGTTGACGTTGGGAAGAACACCCCTGGGTCCCAATATACAGCGCAAGTCGAAAAGAGCTGGCATTAGAATATCCATAATAATTCCGGCTCCCTGTAGTCACTACAATTAGCAAATTTGGCTGCCATTTCTCCAAATAATGACAAGGTGAGGAATATAACATACATGACTCATAGGGAACGATGAATATATCGTATCACCTGGCTTCCAATCCGATGTCCACGGAGGCAAATCATCGTAGCCTTCCGCGGATGGTAGCAATCGCACTGCATCCATTGTACCAACCAAACCATGGGACCAAGGGATAGGCTTAGGCACTCCCGTTGACCCAGAAGTATGAAGATAGCAGAAAGGCTCATTGATGGCTTCCTCAAACGTTTTGGTATAAGGAAAAGGCTTGACAGTATCAATGCTCAGCAACTCGTTGACCTCAGGGACCTGCAGAAGGTTCATGGGGCGTTTCTCAAGGATGTCATTGACTAAAGGAATTAGGGGCACATCTGAAGCATTAACCCATATATGGCAGTTGACTGATTCAAGGACTGCCAGCGCCTCCTCTAGGTTATTTTTTGGCGATAGAAAGAGTGCCTGGAGGAGGAATTTTGCATTAATCAGTACAATACTCCTGGAATACTGAAATGGTGATATGTGTAAAATTACTTACAGCATATCCAACTTTGACACAAGCGTATGTCAACAAAACGTATCGCAAATCATCTTAGCGAGTCGCATAGTCAGCACCATTAATTTACAGTAAGTTTTCTGGAAGATGTAAGGTTTTACTTACGAGGGCCGATATATCCAATGGGCTGAACAGAATCAGGCTTGCCAACCAGGCTGCCCAGCCACCAAGCAGTTTTATCAACAGCCTTGCTGAAAATGCGAGCAGATATGTGATCACAATTGAGTGAATCGCCAGAGAGCGTTGCCAGAGAGAAAACAATACGTTCTGGATCAACAACTGCTACCTCGTCTATGATTTGAGGGAGAAGTCGTTTACCATATGGCACTTGAGCAGGTCTGAGATCTTCCGATAATGGAGCAATGTTAGACCCATCCTCTGCGCCGACTTCCTGGAAGCTTGATGCTAAGCTTGGGGGCGAGGAAGCTTCTGAAGCTGAACCTCCGCTACTGATCATATTGGCGCGGGGCGAAAACACCGGAGAGTTACTGTGTGAGGCGGCATTAGGGGAAACCAGAGTAGGCGTGGATGCTTCGCTGAAGTATTCGACTGCGCTTCGTGGTCTAGCTTCTTGGAGGTAGCTTGCTGATGTCTCGTCGATATTGAGTCCGCCACGATGCAACGGTTCCTCCTTGAAGTAACTAGGTCTGCCAGCTTCATAAATGAGCTCCAGTCTGTCATCTTTGCTGAATTCAGCCATAGGAGCGCTAATCCACTCTCCATCGGCTAATTTGGCGACGCTACAATGCCACGGGGTCGTGTAGCCTGTTTTGGTGTTGAGCAAACATATCCAAAGCTTGTTTACACCCACTGATTCGTGGATTGAAAGTCGTAAGTGATTGGGGAAGGCATATTTGATTGCGCGCGCGAAAGCCTAATAATGATTAACAGATCGAACATCACTTAGTAGACGAGGGTGGCTGTTCCGCTTACGTCTCCTCGAAGTAACATTTGTTTAGCAAGATATTTGCAATCCCTCTTATATTCATTGGCAGTTCGATTTACTCCTCGAGGAAATATGTACTTCAAATCAGATTCCAAGAACCTTTTGTATCCGAGGTATGTCAGTTTTGTGTCGGGATTTGTGGCGATCTCATGGTCGATATCCAGGTCGGCCCGGCCATATTGGTTAAGGAGCAGACGGCGGAAAGTGGTACAATTCGCAACGTAAATGATCTCAGTCATCTTATCTGGCACGGGAAAGTTGAGTAGGTCCTTCATTCGAGCAAAGTTGATGTAGTTGAACTTCTTCTCGGTAGCCATATCTCGTAGAGCCTCTCCATAAGCCCACGTATCTTGATCAGATATACACAACAAGTCTGTGAATGTCATAATAAGCAAACAGGTTAGTGTTACTTAATATAGGAAGCCCAATTCCAGGGTATTGTGGCAGAAAACTTACCGTTATATGTAATGCCATCTGATATGATGGTAACTTCAGCACCCGGAGCGTATACCTCTTGTATACGCACACACATTGTGTTCAGTCTATCCAATGCTAGCTCTTCAGCCTTATCAGGCAAACTGCCCAGGACTTTGTAAACCTTATTTGCGGATTTGAATGGGAATGCGGGCAAGCATGTCTGTATTCGAGTCTCCGATTCGACGAATTTGTCTATAATCGACATGAAGTTACCCGCACCTCTCTCCAAACGTTCTTTTGAATCATCAAACTTGTTAAGAGCATACTCAAAGATAATGTCTAGAATGCGACGAGATACCTCCTGAACTGTACTGCCTGTTTGGCAAGTGTTGGTCCAGGAGTTGTCGACATTCCGTGCAACATCATCGCTTATTGGCTTCGCCTCCATGATATCTAGATTAGACATTGAGTAAGAAGGTAAGGTCTAGGTTGTCCAAGAGATAAGGGCCTACTAGATGTGTACCGGAAATTGAAGTAGCTGATGGCAATATGTATAAGGGATGTAGCAAAGAGCTCATCATGATTTCACTACTAGATCCTCCTTTCCTTGGCACAGTCTTCCGAGCACATTTTGCAAGGGAGCTTCCCATGGAGTCTCAAGCGATTACGCAACGAAGTCCTAAAACAAAACAAGACTCTCCATTCGTACCGCTCCACTGATATCGTGTCGAAGAAAGTGATGGGGCTGGTGGGCATACTAGGACGGGTCAGCACTAGTAGTTGTTCAGGTATCGCGATTTGTCTAGGATTAGAGCATGTTTGAGGCAGAAATCTGCATCTGCATCTGCACGCATAAGTACGCTAGACTGCAAGTCTGCCGAGGCGGATTAGAGTGAGAAGGTTATGTACAAGAATGTTTCGGTATGACTCAAATAACTACCTTCATTTTTGAGCAATCTGAATTTCCTTTTCAGTGAATTATGAACAAAATGTCTAGCATTCAGCAACTGAAGAAGTTACGGCCTCTAGGTAGTTCAAACGAGATCTAAAACAACCACGATGAAATATCGCATGATTCTAATCAGTTCCTTTAGGCAAACTCGAGCAAGTATCTGCATCTTGTCACCACCTGGGATATTTTAACAACGTCGGTCTCTCGGCTCACTACTATCTTCCGAGATCCTCTTCTCTTGCGATATCCGATCTACGTAAGCTTGTCTACGCTGCGGCCGGGGACGTGATTAGCAAGCATCCTGTATTATTCGCCATACCTGCCAACGAAGATAGCCCCAATGCCTACTTTGTTTCTCTTCCCTCGATCAACCTCGATCAGCGTATCAAATTTCTCATCCGTTCTCAGCCTTTAACTGTTCTCGACGAAGGAGAAGACGAAGAACTTGATGCCGTCCTTGAAGATCAGCATAACACCAACTTCAAGAATGATTATGGAAAGGCACCATTCTGGCGTCTTATTATTGTTCAAGATGCTGAAGGAGATATGAGTTTTACGGCATCATTCATCTATCATCACGCTATTGGCGACGGCTTCTCTGGTCTAGTGTTTCACAATACGTTCCTCGATTCACTAGAGACTGTTTCTTCTTCTCCTGTATCTGGTCTCCAGAGTAAGCAGATAATTCTCCCAGATGACAACGTTCATATAATGCCAGCTCTCGGGGAATTGCACCCTCTGCCGATAAACCCGAGCCCGCCTCTTCATTCCGCGACAAATCTCAACGAGTGGACTGGCAACTCCATCCGTTGCCCCTGTAAATCTCGCTGGATCTCTTTTCATATCTCATCAGGGACCTCTGAATCCTTCTTTCGCAAATGCAAGCAGAAAGGGCTATCTGTGGCATCCGTCGTGTCATCTGTCATCGCCACGATCCTATTTCGTATTCTTCCACCCGATATTGAAGCCCTCACTTGTATAATTCCAGTTAATCTTCGGCCATGGCTTCGATCATCTAATGCCGAGGCCACTAAGACTGCAATGGGTAGTTACTTTGATGCCACCAGAGTACAGCTCATACGGCCTAGTCAACACCCTGAAGATCCTAACTCGGCCGACGATATATGGTCCTGTGCTCAGCAAGCATCAAAAGGGATCAGGCAATACCTAGATAACGTATCGCCTTCTGGGGAACCTTATACGGCAGTTTCAGTATTGGAAACGATCCCAGATATCTCGGCTATCTTCACCTCAGTTGTTGGAAAACCTCGCGACGCAGCGTTTGAAGTAACAAACATTGGGCTTTTCTCGTCTGCCGCTGCTTCTGAGAGGAAGGCCGATAGTTGTTGGCAAGTAGGGAAAGTTCTACTCAGTCGAAGTTCTTTGGTATCAGGTGCTGCAATCACTATCAGTATCGCCACTGGAGGAGATGGGACAATGGCCGTCGGGTTTAGTTGGCAGGAAGGTGTTGTTAAGGATTGCCTTGTTCAAAAAGTCAGCAGAGAGGTTAAGAAATATTTTAAAGACAATAGCTAGGAGAGGCATGGCAAAAGCAGGCCCTCATCCATGTACTTGACTTCAATTTTGACTTTAGCTGCTCATTCAGCGTGCTTAATGCCACCATCTCAGAGATATTAAGATTCTGTTGGTAAAAACATTAGTATTTCACGATAATGCGCCAAGATTGAAGTATCTACACCTCATTCATTATTCCTTATATCCGGGATTATAGAAACAGAAGATCGTTTTCAGCGCGTGAACCAAGGGAACCTCATATACAGGAAGCAGCTGGGTTTCCACAATTATATGCCGGACCGTTTAAGCGCTGAATAGAGTACCATACGTACTGGTTTGTACAAAAGGCGCAGAGTCTCCCGTTTGTGCCTACCTCCTACATGCCCAAAACCAGAGCAGCAGCAAAGATTTTCATCGTCCATAGAGGGATCACCCCATACTTCGTCATTCATTATTGAGACTTCTCAAAATGACTGAACAACCTCGCAGCTATCCGTTTCCCTACTCTCAGGCAGCACAGCTGGATTCAAGAATTAAAATTCCACGACCGGTTATTGATCCCACACTAGCGCCCATCATCGACTCGTTTCTTCTCCCCGAGGAGGTAGACCTCCAACTAATGCGTGGCTTCACAGCCATTGGCGATGGCGAAGAGTGCATTCACCCTGCAGATACCATTATAAAAACCGCAGTGCATATGAAGCATACTAAGTATCACGCTCTTGGTCCTAATGGCAATAACGTGACGCTATCTGTTTTTGCGCCAACAAATCCAACTTGGAATGTTCTGCCAGCTTTATACCACATACATGGAGGAGGGATGATTGCAGGTGATCGCTTTTCTGGCATTGCCGAGCTATTAGACATCATCAAAGGTATCGAGTGCGTCATCATAACCGTCGAGTACCGCCTTGCTCCGGAGACTCGGGCTCCAGGAGGAGCAGAAGATTGTTACGCTGGGCTCATCTGGGTATCTGAGAACGCTACCGTCCTCGGTATTGACCCAGCCAAGATTGTTATCTGGGGTGTTTCCGGCGGAGCAGCCCTAGCAGCCGCAATATGCCTGATGGCTAGGGATAGGAAGCTTCCCGCAACTCCCATCAAGGGCCAGATGCTTTTATCTCCCATGCTAGATGATCGCTGTGACAGCCTCTCAGACCAGCAGTTTGAATATGGCAGTCCTTGGTGCGGTATTACAAATCGCATGGCATGGGACTATGTTATTGGGGAAGACAGGGGGAGCGACAAAGTATCGCAATATCAGTCGCCGTCTCGAGCAAAAGACTTGTCAAACCTCCCGTGTACTTACATTGACGCGGCGGAGTGTGAAGTATTTCGCGATCCTGCTGTGTCCTTTGCCACCAACATGTGGCGCTGTGGTTCAACTTGCGAATTGCATATCTGGCCAGGGGCTTTCCACCTGTTTGACGGAATAGATAACCCTAACGTGCCACTTATTCATGCTGCAGTGTCTGCAAAAACAACTTGGATGAAAAGAATCTGGTTCTGCTAGGGCAGACTCTCTAGACAGTAACGCAACACTACAATCATCATGATTTAATACTAGCCAGTACTTAAGCTTATGCTTAAGTACTTATGCCAACATGCCCGGCAATTTTCAAAACTCAATAACTCTATCAATTTTCATCGTGCACCTCGAAGGCTCGACTTTGGTGAGGCCCCAAGAGCGATACATATCAATGCCAAGTGATGATATATCAAGACGGCTTCGATTTCTTATTCCACCTCCACTACATTTGGTATCATCTGCCTACAGCAGGTTTTCATTCAAACTAGCAGGATGAAGAACGCTAAAATTTGATGTCTTGATTGTGCTGCATACCAAGCGCAATGAGCGAGTTAAATTGAGCTAGTTTTATTGGCGAATCCTTCTACAAGGGTTGATAACACATGCCGAGAGATAAAAAAATGCACACTATGCATAATTTGACTGTAAACAGTCGAGACGGCGAGCAAGCGAGTTAGATTGAGCAATTTGTCATTGGTGAAGCTGAAGACAGGGATTGGACGCGGTATGCAGGAGACAATGTGGAAGCACGTAATACGAAGTTCAACAGAGCGCATCATACTCGTATGAATAATTAATAACTCAAGATAGGATGTACATAATAGAAATGCCTATTAGTAATTGGTTGAAAATTGACATAGGAAGACGGACACTACTGTCATTGCGCTGCAAGTGGTGGACAGTAAAATAGGGACAAAAATGTAAATCAACACACACACACACACAAAATTGTCCCTGTTTTACTGTCCCCCACTTGGGCTTTTACCTTTTCCGTACACGCACGGGTTGGGGTTCCATGTGTGCATCCCACAATAACAAGTGATACAGAGAAGGTTAATAATTCACTGCTGGTTGGCCTTCCTCCTCACACCTCTCTTTTTATAATCTTCATTGCTCATTCATATCCTCTCAACATCCAAGATATGAGTGAAGTGCAAAACCCAACCTCATCGTCCGATACCAATGGGCGCGCCGACGAAAAGCAACCCGCAATAATTCAAGATGTTGACACCAAGTCCCCGAGCGATACAGAAGTAGCTGTGCACCAAGATGCTCAAGCTGGCGTTCAAGGAGTCGAGGCTATTGCCATAGTTTGGTCGAAGACATCTCTTATCATTATCTACATATTGATATGGATCGTTTATTTTGTTGTATTGATGCAGCAAGGTGCCGAAGCAGCCCTCAATCCCTTTGTTACTTCGGCGTTTCAACAACATTCTCTTACTCCCACAGTTGGTATCTTGGCTAGTGTTATCGGAGGTGTGTGCAACCTGACTGTGGCAAAGATACTCGACATCTTTGGGCGACCACAAGGTTATGCCATGTCCCTTGTCATTACGACCATCGGCCTCATTATGATGGCAGCGACGACGAATGTGGAAATGTACGCTGCAGCTCAGGTGTTCTGGACTGTTGGCAACAATGCGCTGCTCTACACGGTGAACATCTTTGTTGCTGATACGACAAGGTTGCACAACCGTGGCCTTATGACAGCCTTGACCTCATCACCTAACATTATCACTACCTGGCTAGGCGGTCCGATCTCAACTGCTTTCCTCGATGGTCCTGGTTGGCGCTGGTGCTTTGGTGCATTTTCTATTATTGTACCTATTTTGTGTCTTCCTTTATTTTGCATGTTGATGTTCAATTACTTCAAGGCAAAAAAGCAGGGGATCATCACCAGTACAAGAACTGAAGCAAAGTCACCTTTGCAACAGTTTCTCTACTACTGCCGCGAGTTTGACGCTATTGGCCTCCTTTTATTAACAGCTGGCCTGGCCCTGTTCCTTTTACCCTTTAACTTATACGCGCTGCAGCCCTTGGGGTGGCGATCACCGCTAATAATCTGCTTGCTGGTTTTTGGGTTTCTTTTAATCGTCTCATTTGCGTTATGGGAGAGATTCTTCGCGCCTATTACTTTTATCCCTTACTCGCTGCTCCTTGATCGGAACATGATTGGCTCTTGTATGCTCGGCATGGTCCTCTTTATCAGCTTCTTTTGCTGGAACAGCTTTTTCAGCTCTTTTCTCCAAGTTGTTAACGACCTAAACGTCACCGAAGCGAGCTATGTTGTCCAAATTTATGGTCTGGGCAGTAGTCTATTCTCAATTGCCACAGGTGTGGTTATTCGATATACGGGTCGATTCAAAGCGATTACTCTTTACGGCGCTATACCTTTATACACTCTCTTTATGGGCCTTATGATTTATTTCCGGCGGCCAGACATGAATGTTGGTTACATCATTATGTGCCAAATATTCATCTCCTTGGCCGCGGGAGTCGTTATCATTACATCGCAGATGGCCGCGATGACTGCCGCATCACACCAATATATTGCAGTTGTCATGGCCATCTTATCGATGTTCTCTTCCATCGGTGGTGCTATTGGCCTTACAATTGCCGGTGCTATTTGGCAAGCTATTTTCCCCATCAAGCTGGCTGAGTACCTCCCGCCCGATGAGCAGGCCAATCTCATAAATATATATAGCATGCTAGAAGTACAGTTGAGTTATCCAGTTGGTACGCCCACTAGGATTGCTATCCAACGTGCTTACGGGGATGCACAATTAATGATGCTGGTGGCTGGCACGGCAATCTGGGCTGTTGGATTTGTTGGAGTTGCTCTTTGGAGGAATAACAACATTAAGAATATCCAACAAGTGATAGGCCAAGTAATTTGAGTACATATAGACTTTACTCTTAATAAGATGTATGTTTATTGACGCTTTAAGGCGTCTGCAATCTTTTCTACCGCTTAACTTGAACTGGGGCCTGTAAATTCCACATTACCATACCGGACTAACTACAGCTATAGCCGACTGTCACTGGGCGTCTTCACATCTATTATTTTCTTTCCCATCAAATCGGCTGCCATCTAAGCGTTAAGATCTGATGTTGTTCTCAGGCTCACGAGTTCGTAATATGACCATCCACATATACATATCATGTTTCACTCTACGAATCAGATATGCCGCCTTTCTTCTCCAACATGACTTGCATCTTCTTGACCTTCTCCAAATCCTCCAGATTCTGAACTTGGGATCCTATAATTCCATCTTTATTCACCCAATGATAAAGCACTGCCAACGTTGAACCCTTCCATAGAGGCACGTCGCCAGTTCGCTTCGTCCCAACAATGGTCACGAAGAGCGCAATTCCACCTAGCAAATGGACTACTAGAGGCAAAATGAGCCATTCCCATCGTACGCGGATATATACGACAGCTTGACTCGTTGTACCCTGTGCTATTTGCATTCCGCTGCCCTGTCGTATCATATCAGTGAGACTTAGCGAGATACTGTCGAATATGCCTGATACGACTTCCAGAGTTCCATTGCCAAAAAATGTCGTGGCTCCTGGAGAAAAAGTGTGATCATCAGGGGTACTATCGCCAAGAGTGCCAGAGAAGGCAGACGATCGCAAAAAGCTGGAGGTATAATGAAAATCAATCGCAGAAAAATAGACATCTGGTAGATCGTCATTGGTGTGGTTCCACCACAAAGATGCCTCCTGATGAGGATGATGTGTATTTCCCAGCATGTCTGAAACAGTAATCCCAGTGATTACGCCGAGGGGAATCTGTTCGATGACGCCGACGGTGAAACTATTTGAGATTGACGAGATATCTGAATAGTTGTACAAGGAGACTCTGAGTGCACACTCAATGATCACCGAATTGTTCTGTAAGAGGGTTTTGAGCTTAGGTATCTCTATGTCCATAGAATAATCAGCTCCAGGTTTCCACGTCCAGACAGCAGCATAAAAAGCTGGTGAACCATTCAGGTAATCGCTCATGTAAAATCTACTAGAGTTAATATTCATATACGAATCGGATATCGCTCTTGCCCCTAACTCGAGTTTCACATCGTTGGGCGTACTCATTCTGCAAGGTAGTCCCTGTTTCCCTGTAATTGAGTGAGTTTGTGGACCATCATTACATTTCAGAGTTTCTAGAGTCTCTTTGGTGGCATCGTTACAGGCACTACTGAAACCCAATGTTATGTAGTAGCTGTTCCAAGTGCAGTTTGAATGGCAGCTGAATGTAAATGTCCTGCTCTTCGGTTGCAGGCCGCTGAGGACCGCGCTATTTATGTCATTATTGATATCCACTATGGAAAATTGCATTAGATATGGTGGAGATCGGAGCACATGCGGTAAACCTTTAGTTCAAAACTTACTTCCAAGTGATTCATACTTGTAGCTTTTGTAGCTTTTGTAACCATGCGCATACCCAAAAGTTGCTGAGCCCTCTTTGTAGGTAGATATTGTTCCAGGTTCGAGTTGGACAACTTGTTGCACAAATGTATCTGTGAGTAGTGATAAAAAAACGACTATCGCACTAATGCTCGCAAATCCCCATGAAATCTTATAGAGCATTTGTAAAGAGCCAAGAGGTCCGCGGCTTGCTGTATCAATAATAGCAAAATCCTGCAGGCGATGGGTCCTCTTGGTAAAGCGAGTCCATTTCTCCTGGCTAAGACAAACCGAAATGGCAGCGAGAAGCGTTGCTCTTGCGGCTGTTATTGCGACGGCAACGGTGGCATTAATACTGATAAAGAAGGACCACTCTGTCAACAACCTGTTTTGGAAACGCATGAGGATAGAAATGAGCACAGCTATACAGCCGAAGCTGATGCTCATAGTGATTATTTCCATCCACCAGGTGGAAGATAGCCTGAGATGGACTGTCTTCTTCACATTGGTGGCGGTTTCGACACTGGACTCACTGTCGCAGTCTTCGTTTGCTGTATTGGCTTCGTTACCGAGTCTCGTGCCTTGGGGTATTGGCGTTACTTCAGCCACATCTGGCGTATCCGACATCAAAGGCTGTCTTGTGCTTCTATCGTCCATGTCGGCGGCTCTGGCTTGTGTTATATCGCATTATATGTTCTTTTTATCTCTCAAGATATCATTCAGTTTAAATTCGGATATTAATAAAAAGTTACTGATGGTGAAAGAATAGATGAGACAAAGAGGGGTAAACGGATGCATATAGCCGATTGAAGCGTTGCAAACCGCCATGTATCACCACAAGATTTGTTATCGTGTTGCAGCCTAGGCTACACAGATCCTTTATAAGGAGGCTGTAAGAATGGGGCTGTGTTGGTTTCCCGAGCTTATCGACCATTGATCTATAATAATAACCTACACACCTTAAATGCACGGCGAATGGGCGTAAAATACTTGCAGCGGTTAATATCTAAAGCCTGAGGTGACCGTTTGGTACAATGCTGACCAACGATTGTCCGTATTCTGGAAGCTGCTATCTACAATGCAGGTGACCAACAGCATAACAAATGTTGGAAACAGATGAAAGTCAAGAATGGTGAAAGTCAAAGCCTTGTGAGATGTGATTAGTCTAACAGAACGACGATGGAATGAGAATCCCCAGGTGTCGCGTAGCAGTTCTATATCTTGAATCTCCGCAACATAAGGCGGTTCCTAGAAAGAAAAAGGTGTATAGAATCCTCCAGATTTTCTGCTCTTATATCGCATAAATGAGGCACCTATACACTTGAGAGCCGATTGGAGTTATATTCCAACCGTATACTTTCACCTCAATAATTCATTCAAGCCCTTCATCCTATATCTTACAAAGGACAAAAGGGGGTTTCGGTAGATCCTCTGGGTGTCTTTCATTTCTATATAATACTGGTTCTTGGAAGTGTGTAATCTCTGAGTTCGATCTCTGAAATAGTAAACTAATTTTAGTCCATCCTGAATCATAGATACTAGCACTTACCAGAGCCTACAGTCATCTTCTTAACTCTGCTCTTCTACTGTATATTCCATTAGTACTTCGGTTTATACAGTATTGGTCACCGAAGTGAAATATCGACTCTCTAATATTAATACACTGGTCACAGACAGGGCATATTTGAGAGATAATGACATAATTCTTTTAATACTGTTATTGTACAACTCTTTCTGGGGCTATACATTTAGCTGTATCTATTGTCTTGTAATTTTGTAAGTCTGTTGGCCGCTTTCATCAAAGCCCTCCTCTCGAACCACAAATCCATTGATGTTATGTATGGAATTACCATCCTCTGAGCCCACTCCGATAAAAAACTCGCTTCCATTTTTGTCCCCATAAATACAAGCGGATTTATCCGCAGGGTGGTAACGGATCTCAGCGGTTTTTCCTGAATCAATTTGTGATGGCGGATCGATCAGATCGATTTCACCCGGGTAGAGGTAAAGTGTATCGCCAGTGGCGTTGTCTATGAATATAGCTGTGTACAATGAATCAGCTCGTATTAGCTTTTAACAGTGGGTAAACCTTGAACGTACACGACATTTTTAATTGAAATGTTTAAATCACTCTTGTAGTGTTTTGCCTGATATGCGGATGCTAGTCTAGTGGTAAGCAGATACGAGAAAATACAGTGAGGCCAATGCCATCTTTATAGTTCATTCAACTCGAGATTTACGATCCATCTGAATGCCGGGCTATGGTATTAACAACGCATCTGGTCACCTCCGCATGTGCAAAACTACCCCTCGTTTGTTACGTGGCAGAATGATGTGCAGACGCGATCAACTATGATCTTGATTGGACAATTATAAATTCTGCAGCTGTCAGATAGCAGCTGAACATCTAGATTAGGAGTCGCTCCCTTTTAAAAGACCGGCTTAGCACTTTTACGGATAGGCTTATTTCGTTGGCTTGCGACATTTTCCCATTACGAGCAAAATCGGGCACTACGGAGTACTTGGAGTCGGAAACTCACAAAGCTATTAGCCAAAGGTCAGTATTCAGGTAAATATTAGCAATAAAAATACGGTACAATCACGAAGGAGTAGATTTAACAACGAACCCAAAAGATTGAGAGCCATGCCAACAACGGTGTAGTCATCACTGTCATCGCGCCTCAAAGGGCTATGGGCGAATTTTTTGTTCTTTTTTTCCGTTTTCACTAACTTTGCTTCACGTTGGAATTTCAGTGCGTGTTCACTCCGGCTATACTTATTGTGCCCCTCGCCGCGCCGTTGTAATCGGAAAGCCCTTGCTCATACTTGTGCTTAAAAAAGCGGAACTATGGCTGTACTGGTAGTCGCTCAATCTCTTGCCTCCGTGGCCATCCATGGTGGATTATCTCCTACCGTGCCATACCTTTCTTCAAGTGCGTGGATCGATTCACGGATTTTATTGCACTACATTCAGACTATGAGTACCTTACCTTCAGGCTAGCCAGCCATTAAGTTAACGAAAACACGTCGTGTTAACGATTTCGGTGACAGACGGCAGAAGGCTTTTGAACTGGGAGAGGCCTACAAGTGCGTTCCCAATATATAGAAGTAACTGTTGAATTTGAATAGCTTTAGAGTGCAAGAATATTCTCGCACTCAGTATCTAGTCTTAATATACATTTCTCAACCTAAAATTACAGCCGCGCTCTAAAATAACAAAAGCCTGCCTAGGCTTAACTCCGGGTATTTTACTAAACACATGGGAAAAAACAAAGGAAAGCCCTTCCTATCTATCCTCTAATAAAGGCCAGAATCCCTTTCTGGGATTATAGTTTAACGTCTTGAACCGGGAAGTTGAACATGCAGTTAGGCAACGGGTTCGAATCATCCATCTCCAGAAAACCCTCGAAGTCGACAGTATTACCTTGAGGGCAACCTCTCGCATTATTGACGACGTCGTTCATGTTAATCCCAAGGTCATTCAGGGCAAAAATATCGTTGGCTTTTTGCGCACCATCGATGACGTTTCCGGAACCTACGACAGCGCCGATGCGGAACAGACCACAGCCTCCACTGAGTGGGATACCACCTTCTGCGTTGCAAACGACGCCAGGCTGGCCGGGAGGATCTGCCAGTGGAGTGCTATCAATGAACAATGCATATCCAAGGATGCTGATGATTTGAGAAGCTATCCATGTCTTCATCTGCTTCTCCATCTGAGGAGTAAGATCAGATTGTGCAGGGAGGTCGTCGAGAAACCCGCCATGGTAGGTATTTATGAAGGCAACAGTGTTGACAATCTGGTCGTCATCAACAGTGGTAGGGTCCTGGTTCGGTCCGAATACCTGTGCGACAAGATCCCTCATACGCTGCTGTGTGCCAGTAACAATAGCCTCCAATTGCTGAGTGAGGGTGTCCTTGGTTGCTGCGGCCTGCTTGTCAATGTCGCTGTTTGACTCCAAGACGCTTATGATGTCCTTGCCATCGTCCTTGATATCTTTTTTGGTGGCTTTCCGTATAATCTTGAATTTCTTAATAAATGTACTAGCGGCTTTAATCTCGCCGCCGACGGGAAGAATGTCAACGATCAAGTCGGCAATGAGATTAAAGACAGCTGGCCCGATGGGCTGCTTCTGCGGCGCCAGCTTGTCGACCATGTTGCTGATGAAGTTTTCATTCTTCAGGTTGTCAGCGGCCTCGCGGACCGCGAGGAAGTGCGCACGCAGGCCGTCGTACTGGTTGATCCAGTTGGCCGCAAGGAACCCAGCCTCGGGCGATGTAAAGCCCAAGCATAATGTGCCTCCCAAGTTGTTGAAGATGCAGTTTCCACCATCCGGATTTTGTAAGCCGTTGATTTTGCAATTGGTCGGGTCTTCAATATTTGAACAGTCGAAGCCGGCGTTTACACTCTCTTGACCTTTCGGCGCCAACTGCGAGAGGATGAACTTTGGGAAGTTGTCTGAGGTTCCGAATTCCCGGATCATGGCAAACACGAAGTTATCGATGCCAAACTTGTCCCAATTCGCCTTGTTGATATCTCCAGCCCCACAGGCCGTCACTGGTGTTGGGCCAATGATGCACAGCTCAGCGGCCACGCCCGTGGCGGCGACGAGAAGACAGGAGGCTCTGAGCAGCATCGTTGCACAGAGTATAGTGAATTTGGGTATTTTTATACTTCCAGGTGTGTTTGTCCCCGAAAGACTGAGAAGGTTCAGAGGATACGAGACTTGGAAGGAGGCGATTAAGTATTAACTATGAGCATCGGGGAGTTGGTTGCCCAAGTTGGTTATTGCAAAGTTGCTAACAGTTACAGTTCCACTAAATAATGCTGACCAATGTTAAAGTATTAAAAGCCATATCGAATGGTTCAAGCTAATATAGTTACAATTAACTAAAAAAGTAAGCACAATCCTAGTGATATTACACGATAATGGTCTTTTGGGATGCAACTCCACCAACCTGAGATGTGAAATCATGCGCCACAAAGCACAGCCTCCGGGAGCGTAACGCCCGCCCCGGGAGTGACCACGGAAAAGTGTTCACCGGTAATACTACTTAATTATAAGCTTGGATTATTTATAGTCTTAAGCAAAACAGCATGCTTTTGTGAAAGCCTGAAACCGTTATAAAGATTTATTTCACTTGATGGCAGTCTTCTCACTGATAACGCCTGTTACACCCAGTTCACACTAAATGGATACGTCAGCCGCTAAAAATAATAACTGCTTATGAACTTGACGATATAAGCAAAGTAGTCAATGTTAGCCTCGTGGAAACTGCCCCGTACAGTATACTGGTGTCGAACCACGAGAATAATTAAAGCACGCTTGGTCATGAATACGCTTACTATAGATGCTAAATATAATCCATCCATACAGTATGACCCATTAAAATGCAGCAAAACAGGCACCGCGTTAAGCTTAGACTTGTGAGACTTCACATGTGGTTTGCATAGCCACTGTATGGGACTTGAGAGTATTTGATCAAAGCATCTGGCAACTCTTCTGATCTATTTCCAAGAGACATACAGCTCAACTTCATGTTCTTTTGTTCCATTTGTTAACAGCACAATCCAGAGAGTGCAACCCCTCTTGTCACCAATCATGCCTTCTGGTGACCTACATCCGCCTACGGCGTACGAGCCGTACAGTCGGCCGCTCAGCGCAGAGCATGACCCTGTTCATACCGAAAAGCTCAACCAACAGCGCATCGCCACTCGCAACGCCAAGCAGAAGGAAGGTCGCAGTAAGCGGATTTTGGAATCGGTGCGAGTTGTTCTGCGACTTTTAGCACTGGCTTTCGCCGCTTCGGTCATCGGCGTGCAAGCTCATATTGCTCGAGTTTGGGACCAGTCGAAGAATGAGACGGTTCAAAATTCCCAGACCGGGTTCCGCATGCGCGCTTGGGCCGCTCAGATGGACCTGTGGCCGACTTGGGTAAACATTGGCGCGGGTGTAATTGCAAGTGTCATTCACATCTCGTCCTTGCTAACGCTGTGCGGTGGTGTAAGTTGAATTCTGCGCTCTCTGTCTTGTATCGTCCTAATAGTATAATTCCAGCTTCGTACCTTACGACAGAACAAGCTCTACCCTTGGGCTGTTGCATTGACGTCCATATTCTCAATCGTCGCATGGATCGCCGCTGTTGTCTACTACAAGGTTGACAATGCCAGAGGGAAGAAGCACTGGGACATCTGGTCATGGTCATGCAGCCACCAGACTTGGAACGCCCCCAACGTTAGCTTCGAGCCGCTGTGTGTTGAATTGGTATGTTTAGAAACGTATCGCTCATTTGGTTCGCAGTTCATTCCGTTAATCACCCTCCCAGAACTATAGCTTTGCCGCTCTCATTATCGCAGCAGCCATTGAGGTCATGTGTCTCGTCATCTTCTTTGTCATTCGAGGCCGTGAGAAGAAGCTGCGACGGTACAGGCAGATTGTTACGGTCACTGGTTCGGCTTAGATTGAAGACACATCGGTTTGACTAGTGTCATGAAGAGGTGATATGTGGCAAAGAGGAGAGGCAATGGCGTTATGTAATAGGAGGTGATGATTGGGTTCTTAAATTGTTGGCGCATTTATATATACCAGATGGGCAATAGATGGAGTATAATGTCTAAGCGCTCTCAAGATTATTAAGTTACGGCATCACTACAGTATTCACTAAGCATCACAGTGTGTCAAGCATGTAATTGAAGTGTTAAATGCTTTTATAAGGCTTTAATAGCCTTCGCCAGCTTCAAGAAAATGTTGATCAAGGAGCGAGGTCTGTACATTTATGCAGACAGGTAGTCACAAATGGGAACCATGCACAATGATCCGTTTGTTGAAGACGATGCTCACAGCTGGTGCTCCCTAATCTACCTACCTGATATGCCATCATCACTCTGAAACTGAAATTCGGCAGCGCTTCTCCAAACTCTCCAATGAAAAGCATAGACCAGAGGGATTGGCCACCAGGGACTGCAAATTGATATCTCTCGTTTGGACAATCGTAACCACGCAGATAATCATCATACATATTTTTTGTTGAATCCTCTTAAGTTATCATGGCGAAGGATTTTCCAACACCAGCGATCTAGATTTCCGTCTAGATTTAATGCGCTTCCGTAGCTCAGTTGGTTAGAGCTTCGTACTAATACTAGATTCGCTCTAGACTTGGTTATGCGAAGGTCGCAGGTTCAAGCCCTGCCGGGAGCAAAAGCTCTTGATGCGCAATTTCTTTTTTCTTTTTGCGCTATTCTCAACCTGAGTTTGTGTGCTCTCTATTCTCAATTGTCTTCTTTTATTTTTTTTATTTTTTTGTATTTCGTTTGTCCTCATTGCCTCCACCGTCTATAAACCTTTTCATCTGGTTTCAGTCGAGTCACGCTCTGTTTGTTACCTTGTTTCCTTGACAAAGATGCTGACAGTGAGTACTCTCATGTTTGACAACCGCTCTAAAAGTGGACTTCGGGTTTTTTTGGTTCGCTAATGCATAAACAAGCCTTGAAATAGGGAGATAATCTGCTACAGCCTTTATTTCCGCGCAGTAATGATGGCAAAGCTAGAACAGAGGATTCTAGTGCAAACACTGGTGATTAATTTGTCTTCTATTGTCAGCAAAACTTCCCCGTTTGGGATTACGACGGCCGTATTGCCAAATAGGATACTTCGATCCATAGAAGAAGGCTTTATCTTCAGCTGTTTTACATATTGTCATCCATTCGCGCCTAAGCGAGTAAAGTCCAGTCAGCTTTACGCGAAGGTTGCCATCATGAAGAGCGTCTTCGAAATATTTAAACCCTGGTTGGTTCGCGACCGACAACTGAGAAGTAAGTCGATAGGTCAAAGACAACAATCCAAGACATTACCCAGTCTGCTAGAGCCACAAATTTATACAACAGCAACGGCAGCAACAATACTCTATTCACCACTTCTCGTCCACGCACGTTCTACTTCTCTTTTATAAACACAATGACCACCGTAGCAACGAGCCGTTATGCAGAAGCCCATGCTAAACAGCATGGCCCGGGCGACGAACGGCCGACTGCCCTGCAGATTGTCAAAGACGAGCAGAGAGAAGGAACCATGGCCGACAAGGTCGTTTTCATCACAGGATGCTCTTCAGGATTGGGAGTCGAGACGGCGAGAGCAATGAAGGCCACTGGAGCAACCGTTTTCGTCACCGCTCGCAATTTGGAAAAGGCAAAAGAGGCGCTTGGAGATATTCTCAATGGCGATCGAATTCACCTTCTCAAGCTAGATCTCGAATCTTTTGACAGCGTTCGATCTTGTGTCAACGAATTCAAGTCAATGAGCAACTCTCTCAATATCCTCATTGAAAATGCCGGTATTCGACACGTCCCGTTCGGTCGGACGCGTGACGGCTTCGAAAAGCATTGGGGAACAAACCACCTGTCTCACTTCCTCCTCTTGGAGCTTCTCAGGCCTATGCTCCTAGCATCATCGACGCCAGAGTTTTGCTCTCGTGCCATTATTGTTTCTTCAACGGCCCACAGAAACGCTCCTATGGACTTTTCCGACCTGAATTGGGAAAAGCGAAAATACGTGCCCTCGGTTGCTTACGGCCAAAGCAAACTGGCCAATGTCTACACTGCCAGCGAGATCGAGAGGCGATATGGCGCGCAAGGACTTCATGCATGGAGTGTTCATCCCGGTGGTATTCGAACGGGGCTGCAGGCACCAAGCACGTTTGATATCAAGGACTGGCTTGTTGTCATCAAATCCGGACCCATGGCAACGCTCAACACCATGATGAATGCTGAGCAAGGCGCTTCAACGTCTGTATGGGCGGCCTTGAGCAGAGATCTGGAAGGCCAAGGAGGAAAATATTGTGAGAGGAACCGATTTAGTGAGCCGCTGAAGAAGGGCTGGAAAATGATTGATCCAGGACATGCCGAGTGGTGCTACGACGAAAAGGCTGCGGCAAGACTTTACGACTTGTCCATGAAAGAAGTCGATATGTAACAGTTTGCACTTTTGGGGTTGCCATAGATCCATTTCCTAGAAAGCTTACCTAGACCGACTACCCTTATTTGTTTTGGCTTGCTTTGTTTTATGGTTTATACGCGCAATATTATATAAATCTGAATTGTTCGTCCACTAAAGCATTACTCTGAGTTGTCGCGGAGTTTACAAGAAAGCAGCTCGTTTCAAGTGATGGTTCTTAGCATAAACACCGCTCTACAAAGTGTCTAGACTCAAAACGGTATTACACCTTTAGCGTTCAGGATGCATAAAAGCCATTGATAGTCAACTCTTCCCAGCTTTATTTTGCGGCTACGTAGAGCCAGACAATGACCACTGAAAGCTATCTGTCTCTTTCTATTAACACTGCCTTGCCAATTGTAGCTGTTGTCTAATATTGAACATGTATCTAGCTTCCACGGGCAATCTTCTGAAGCTGCGCCAAATCTCCATTAAAAATATCAGAATCACCACCCCAGGGAGCCGCGTCACTGTTTTGCCAAATAGTATAATAGCTCCAGCCATTGGGCAGCGTACCGACGGAGCTGGCATATCGCGCAACCACAAGAGGAGACTTGCTGCCAAACGAGCCATTGTTTCCGGTACACAGCTGCCACCAGCTTGTAGAAGTGTAAATGAGAGGATACTGAGAAGTAGCGGTGTGATAAGTGTTGATAAAGTCATTAATCCAGCTGACCATGGCGCTGGCGCTCAAACCATAGCAGCTGTCCCCGCTGGGAGCATACTCGAGATCCAGCATTCCAGGCAGAGTGATGCCATCAGATGACCAACCTCCTCCATGTGCCAGGAAATATTTGGCTTGGGCGGCGCCGGAGGAAGACGCAGGTTGCGCAAAGTGGTAGCCACCACGGATGAAGCCGGCACTGGTGGCCTTGGTGTAGTGATCACTAAAACTGGGATCGGTATAAGTGGTTCCCTCAGTAGCCTAAAGAGGAGAAGTGTTAGCTTTCTAGAGCACGATGAGAGACAAGGTTTCAATACTAACCTTGATAATAACGAAGCGTGCGCCATCCGAATATGCCTTGGCAAAGTCAACAGTGGGTTGGTAATGAGAGATGTCGAATCCTTTGACGGATGCACTGGCAACAGAGGCAAGAGCCGCTGCCCCAATGGCAATGGAAGCGAGCGACTTCATAGTAATAGTGTTTAGGGCTGTTCTTTATGCAAAATTTTATATAGAAGCTAGAAGGAACTGCTGTACAAGAAAAGTTCTGGAAACATGGAAGGGTTTATATACTCAGAAGCTTCCAAGTTGGAGACGCGAATGTAACCCCTCTTGCGACGATCCCGACATATTAGAAGCCAAAAGATCCTATCGCTATCTGTATCCCTATAGATAACTAGAATAAGATGTCATAATCTACTACGCAAGGTAATGTAGGCATGGATGGAGAAGCGGGATGTATTCCCGGCCTTCCTAACCAGCTCATTCGACGCATGAGACGCTCCCTTTGATGCCCGTGGTATCTCCTTCGATCACCTTTCGGGAACGATCCCCCGCCGTGGAGTGCGGCACAACCACTCATGATCGGCAGGTAGCTGAGAGCTGAACTTGATCCCTGGCTACGAATGGGTCCTTGCATCAAGGCCCTTGGTCGAGTTTGGTAGGTGATGTGCTGGAGAAAACCGGTTGAGAGGGCGCCAATTCGATGGCCGCATTAGCATCGATCATACAAGGCATCTAGTAATTAGAGACATTGACTAATAGTTTGAAGCATTGAAACACCGCATCGCCTCATTTGAGACATTGACACATTAGAATCATCAAGATCCTGACAAACAACGCCATCAAAACGCTAGAAGAATTACTTTACATCTCGTTATGCAGATAGCTTACACAGTACCTGGGCCATATTACTCCAACCCGTGCTTTTCGGAAGTTTCAGCCGATCGGGTCATCATCTCCCCATCCTTATTCTACGCACCCGTGTTGCTGCGCACTGCATTCTCTACATGGCATAGCGCGCAGTATCCACAGTAAAATAAACAGCATCAAAAAGTCTTGGCGAATTGGATGCAAAGGGGCGAGTTGAGATGCATCAAGTTGGGGGCCAAATGTGCTTCACGTTCCTGAAATTGCACAGCCGTTCGTCCAATGGCCATTTATGACGATGGCCAAGAATGAAAAGACAGCGCCTATGCCCATTAAAAGGAAACGCAAACTGTATGCCGCGTATCCGCTTTTGTGAACTTGTAAAAGGCGACTACACCATTAGCAGAGGGACGTCGGTGTACAGATTTGGACATTTGACTCCATCCATACTGGCATCAACCAACCCGGCTAGAGATCGTCTTCCCATTCTCGAAACCACGTGAACATACCACCATTGCATTTACATTTTCCTCCATAGATGCTCAGTGGTGGGAGTTAGATAGGGATATAATGAATGGGGGCAAATCGCGTTGCAAATATATATTGTCAAGTGGTTGGTGTAGAATCGTCTAATCAAATCCTCACTCCGATTAAATAATTAAAACATACATGTAAAAACAATCAATACCCGAAGCACATGTATCCAAACTTAGTCCTATCCTTGTCCATATGAAATTATTTGAGGGTGCTAGATTCGGAGTATACCCATATTAAACCCGCAGAGACGAGAGAGATAACCATTGTTTCCATAAGCAGAGGTCGATACGGATGCATATGGGACATTGTTAGCGGATGCCTGTTCATATTCCGTGTAGCCCTTGATTGATGCTGCTGGCCCTCCACTACTGAATATACTCGTACGCCGCGAGGCATATGACCGGGCAAGAGGTAGAGGACAGGAGGGCGAAGGACGGCGTTGTCATCGACGGAATAGCGACGCAATCTGCGGCTACGGCGCTGTCTATCTGGGGACAGGTTACCATCGAGCACCCAATAACTCGGATAGAATACAAGGTCTCGCATTTTTGCAATCCTTAATCTCCAAATATTGTAGAAGAGTGAGTCGTTTGTTAAGAGATACACAAAAAGGGTTCGTAGATGGGAAAGGTTGTAGGAACTGTAAGCAAAAAGCTGTCGGGGTTTATATGGCATTCTAGTATGCTCTTCTTTCCAAATTATAAGACTCTTGAGGCTGTTTTAAAGTTAATTGTAGCAGATGATATCGCGTTCCATTCATCGTAAACTTTTGCATCGTATACTTGAACGTGGCGTCGTATACTCTAAGGCTTTTACACAGAAATCGAGCTAAATCATCTGATAGACACAGTTGGGCTGATAAAATAAGGCGTGTTAAACTTAATCAAGAAACAGCGCGCATAAATTAGATTTATTATATATAGTTGATTGTATTTGCTCAGATTCATCCGTACCTAATATTACCAAAAAGTACTGATATGGATTCTACAACAGACGCTGAATGGAAACTCTGATGAAAGGGCGGATGTTATACTTTTAGCACAAGATAATGGTGAAACTTTTATGATGAACAGCGCAGACACATTAATTAAGATTGTATTATCATAGTCAATCATCTATTACATTAAGTTTCGTGGTACGTATTCCCCCTCGCCTGATTCATCGCCGTTTCCAATTATCACCAGCTGTTCCGTCTGGAGTAAATTGTCCGTTCATATAGTGATTCCAAGCAAATTCGTTTCATTTATGGCAAGTTGGCCGGGGCGTAGCTCTGGTTGGGCGAAACAACCTTGCCGCCCTGAACCTGGACATCGGTATAAGCAGGCCAGGTGATGAGCTTCTTGGAGAAATCGGTAACAGCAAAGGTGGTAAAGCCGTTGTTAGGTCCAAACTGTCCGCTCCAGCTCGATGTGATAGTGTAAGGGCCGCAAGTAACGGGGCCGCCGCTGGCCTGAGAAGCGTTGGCGGTGGCCTTGACGGTGTATGTGCATGAGGTGGCGGTGGCGAGATGTGTATCGACGCCAAAGGTCCATGTGCAGGAGGTGTTGGCGGTGTTGCACACTCTCTTCAGGTTGGTGATTGTCCACTCAGGGACAGCGGCCATCATGGACTTGTCCGCAGGAGTGGGAGCCGCAAAGGCGGTAGAAGCGGCAAAGAGGGTAGCGATGAGGCTCTTGGTGATCTGCATGGTGACTGATTGTATGTGTCTGTATGAGAACTAGTTTCAAGTCAAGTCTTGATAGCTGCTGGAGCAAAGGATGAGATGGACGAGGTGAATGAGATGGAAGATGGACCAGAAAGATGGACAATGGGTATGACCTCTCTCTTATATACTTATTTCAGCTATGCTCGCATACTTTAGAATTAGGCAGGGAACCAACCCGAGTGGAGAAGGTATTCTCGTGTTGGTACAGTCTGGATGTCTTCTGGAACCTAAAAACTTGGCTTTTGCCCTGCTCCAGGGATGTCGGGACAGTTCTGCATCGGACATCGGATGCGATCACCCGAACAGCTTACTAGAAGCGGTCACGGTTTGCAACGGCGACTCGGAACCCTTGCATCATCTCGTATCGTGAATGGAGGCCTGCCGGTAAGGCTGTTCTGCCAATGTTGCGGTGGCAATGCAGCACAGTCGGCCATCGTCATTGAGCATGGCATGCAGGGGGTCATCCCACATATCCGGCGGCGATGGGCCGATCCCAGGTCTCAGTACTCTGGACATGACACAACATAACGTAGGCAAGAGACATATTACACGGCTGAGTGATGTAATATCTCTCAAATGTCTTACACTACAATTCCGCCATTTGTGTTGCTGATGCCGAGCTGTAACGTTGCCAGATCTTCAACCGTTGGTTTACACTGCCTAAGCTCTTTGGCCATCTCATGATGTGCGTTATGCGTGTGGGGTTGGTTCCCGGCCGGGATTCATCTGCCGCAGCTCGTATTCCAGGAATAGGGTCAAACAAGCAGAAAACGGTCGCCGCATTTGGCAGTGCCACCCCTTACTTCCACAGAGGATCAATGCTGTTACGAAATGCCACTCCATTTCAGTTGAGGCTTGGATCGTGGCGATTCATGTTGCTCAAGAACTCCTTTGGGTAGTAGTAATTCTAGCGGTCGCGAACCAACATTGGATCAGACATGTCAGTGCTATTGGCGGCTGTCGTTATGCAACCTTAGTGAACATACCCCTGTCGGAATAAACGGACAGCCGAGCCACCAATTGAGGTTATAAGTATGCTTTCTTACAGCCCTGATCGGCGCGAAACGCGTTAAACGAGAAGCGAACAAGGTGTCGGCTCGCGCGTCTTTTCTTGCAGTAAACATTCCTTGAAGAATTGGCAGCTCGAAGCTGAGCAGAACAGAGCAGACTCCGATTATCTGGGCGCAGGGCGGCGAACGTATTCGTCATGTCGTAATACGGATTATTCTGTGCTCAGACACTTGTGCCAGGAATTCAATACGGCTATCCTCGTTTTGTAAAGTGCTTAACAGAAAAGCCCGTGTTGGCTGGGATTAATACGTAGGCTCGGCCGACGCCAAAACGGCCCCGGTCACCTTAATGCCGGCCTCCCCCGCATGATCGTGTTACCCTAAAAGAGGACAAAAACCGAGGTCAGCTGGCACGATCAAGAGGAGTACAGACAGGATACGAGTGTACTCGTATATTACGGAGAGAACGGAGAGTAGGGATCACACAGAGAACTTGTGTAGATTCTAATCCGGCAAGGACGGTGAACATTAGCCACAAGTGTGACAATCACAACAGGCTAAAGTCAACTGAAGATCTTTGTGCAGAGTTCAAGCTCCTAGACCAGCGAAACTGATCATTCTTGAATGTCTCACAGCCCCCACAGAGTTCTCATCAAGTTCTCATGAAATGGAACTGGAAATCAACGGAACATGCTACCCTACAGGGAACTGAAGCGGTTGAAATCTCCATGATGGTTTATTGCCAAAGTTCTGATTCTACTGTGTTTTCGACCAATTGCCACTGAGTCTTCACAATCAATTACTTTTGCCATCCTTCTTCATGAGAATATTCTCGCCGACTGACAAGCCAATCAGAGCGCCTCAAATGGGCGGATGGTTTAGTGGTATAATTTTCCCTTAGCATGGCCAGTCCAATTAATTTGGCGGTTCAGCTTCTCATTGGGAAAGGTCCGGGGTTCGATTCCCCGTTCGTCCAGAGCGCAAAGCAACGGCTTATCTTTTTCCCTCCTTTTTGCTCTCTTTGGAAAGTTCGTATTCATCAATTGCTGATATCATCAGTACAGAGGAAAAGACAAACAAATACTCGTATGCATGGAGGCAAACGAAGGACATGTAG